CATGGTGACTGAAAATTAAATGTAAAACCTGGGTGGGCATGTTGAAAGAGGTTGGATTTGTGCCTGGCTCCCTGATGGTGTTTCTTCATAAAGAAAACTGCCGTCACACGCTGTTGGTGTGTTTATTTGTTTCAGCGTTGGTTGGCTGGTTAGTTGGTCCCCTTTGCTTTTCAATATTCCAGTCATGATTTCTGGATTTCGTCACCCACAGGGTGCCTTGATGATCATGACTTTTATCAGGTTCTATTGGGTTTGTTAGTGTTCCTGTTACCCAATCGGTTATTCTGAGAAACATCTAACAAGCAATTCTCTCATAAAATTTGGAAGATTCAAGGCCAGACTGAAAATAAATTTTGTCTTAGAAGTATTGGTGTCTTAACTATAAAATATTTCAATACATTTTAATGCTGAAAACGTATTTCTCCCTGAATAAACAGCAAAAACTTACTTCAGCTCTAGTTTCATCTATCAGCATGTTTAATAGAGAAATATGATGGGGCCAAAAGAAACCAAGAGCCCCCTAGTGGCTGGCTGCAGTACATGGTTTAGGTCCCACACCTACATGTCAACAAATGGGACTGAAACCTAAAACTTTACCTCAGATCATGGTCTCTTGGTACCTGTTAATGTACTAATGCAATCAGGATTCTAGTGCTGCCTACTTAGTGATTTTAGAGTTTTGGGACATCTCTTATTTAGAAAAGGACTAGCAATAGATCTTGTGACTTTTTCTGGTGTTATTGTAGATGTTTGGAGACAGATGTGAAACCACATGTTGTTCTTAATGCTTGTCTCAAAGCACTTATATCTCATTCCCATCTGTACCTGGTCGGCCCTGCCCGGATAGCTCCAGTCGGCCCCAGCCTGGCCCGGTTGATTCCACACAACCTTGCTTAGGTATGTAAGGAATGCAGTCAGTGACATTTTCAGCTTCTAAGTAATCAGCATGATAATGAATGATGATGAATTGAGCATGCCTAAAGCCCATGTGGGCTGATTCTACCCACCAATCAGAGGCTTGCTCTAATGGAAGGTGTGAATTTGCTGACTAATAAGCCGGCTTATCAGTCAGCAGTGGGTGTGTGTGTGTGTGTTGGCCCTGGTCAGCCTGAAGCAAACCGCCTCAGAGAGAAGGCTGAAAAACAGTATCGTTGCACCCTAGCCACCAAGATATGTAAGCAAGCTATGCTATCCGGGCCAGGCCGACCAGGTACAGATGGGAATGGCCCATGCGGCCCTGTTACCTCAGTGCAATCACCACCTCCCCACTTCAGACAGGGCAGGTTTTCTTAAGATTAATGTTTTTATCTTAAAGGCTTTTCAAGCTTGTTTATGCAGCCATGGAATTTCATTCTGGGTGGTTCTGCCCTCATTCCTATCCAGATTCATATGACTCCAACATCCCATTCAAGTACATGAAAATGAGCCTTTTGATTTGTTTTGGTGAGCTTAATGGACAATAACTGTCATTTTAAATTCTTAGAGTAATCCTAATAGTTTTTGGTATTTGCTTTCAAATAACTTCAATTTTAGCTTATCCATCCATCCTCTTTAACCTATCAATAATGAGGTCACAGAGGGAACTGGCAGTGGGCAGTCCACCATACTCCATCAAAGATGAAGCAAACATCCTATTTCTGAATAAAGGGCTTATGTATGTCTATCTGCTCTTGACTGAAAGAAAAGCCCAAGTCATAATAGTCCAAAGTTGATGCCAAATCCATTTCAAATGAGCCATGCCAGCTTTGTTTTTTCAGTAACATCCCGCCCACCAACAGACTGCTGTGATTGGCCCACCAAACCAATAGAGCAGGGGTCCTTAATTCAATTTGTTCAAGGGCCTGAGTTTTTTTCCAGTAGACATCGTGAGGGCCAGATCCTCTTCTAAAATAAAGTGAAAGTATTATTGTATCTTAATTTATTAACAATTAAAATGGCTTTGTTTTCCATCTAAACTGCTTTGATTGTAGTTAAAGTAGTGTTTGGAGAATGTAAACAATGGGACTGCGGAAGTTCTGATGGAGCATGGCAGGACCATCATTTTGCTTCTGCAAACTGATGGTCTTGATTCTAGGCTAAGAGGTAACAGGACCAGTTGGGAATCAGATCCATCAGGAAATCTAAAATTTCTCCTTTAATTTCAGCTCCTCCTTTACCAAAACAGACTGGAGCAATGCCTTGGATAACGACTTTCTTTTGCCCAATCCTGCAGGACACCACCTTGAACTCCTCTGCTTTAGGCAAAGATTTGCTTCCAACCAAGAGGGAGCATTCCACCTGTCTCTGATCAATGACAGGGCCCTCAGACTTGGAGCTGAGTCTTGTTGTTTCAGGCTCAGCTGGGGAGTTTTCAGTAAAGGTTTGGCTTTAAGACAACAACAGAATCACATCATCTGCAAAAGGCAGAGACTTTGGATAAGGATAAAGTTAGAAGTAGAAAATGCATTACTAAACTGATGCAGGAAAATGTTTTTGTTTCTTAATTAGGTGTTTCTGAGCCTTTAGTGATTCATGGTGTCTGTTTGTAATGCAGAGTACTTTTAGTTTTTCGGAGTATTCTTTGGGTTTTCTTGAGTTCAAGTTCTCTGAAGTTAGTGTTTGATATGTTTCATCAAACCCAGTAGTGTGACTTTCCCTGATTTATTTCCTCCACACACATAATCCCAAAAGCTTCTCACTCCCAACTTTTTCATGTCAGCTACTTCAGTGCCCTTGAAGCAATGGAAAAATCTGCACAGCATGTGTTACAACCATTCCAAGAATGTAAAACAGACCTGCAGAAGTTTTCCACCCACTCAAAGCGATCCAATATTCAGGACACTGCAGGATGCTGCAGCACCTTTTTGTTGCCTTTCACACCTTTTTAATCTGGACAGAAAATTGCAGTCACAGAATATTTTGGGTGTTTAGCATCAGTTGACTGATGCCTCCAAATGTCCACAGTAGTGTGTCTTGGCTGTGGAAAGCACAACATCGGGATGCAAATTATTCAGGGACCAGCTGCTGTGTCAAGATGATTCGGCAAAAGGCACCCTTGAAAGTTCTAATGAGCTCGCCGGTGTGAATTATGTAGACAGTGAGGTCACACAAGTCAAGATGTTTTGTGTGTGTGTGTGTGTGTGTGTGTGTGTGTGTGTGTGTGTGTGTGTGTGTGTGTGTGTGTGTGTGTGTGTGTGTGTGTGTGTGTGTGTGCGTGCGTGCGTGCGTGCGTGCATTTATGTAAAAACAGCCACCTTTATATTCAGTGTAGAAGGACACCCGGCAGGAGGCCTACGAGTGCCTAACAGGTTGTTATTGTATTGTGTCAGAGAAGACAAAACAGTGGCACACACACACCTGCACACGTCCAACATAGCCTTGGCTTTCCTGCACAATAATAGAAATGGTGTGAAGAGTATTTCCAGTAACATATCCTCCACACACATATCTTTGATGGTATTTGCATGAGAAATTTTGAGTTATAAATCAATTTGAGTGCAAAACACAAATAGACTCGAGCAGCAGTGCAGAAAAACAGTCACTGAAGGTCACTGTGTTTTTCTCTTTCCTCTTGCAAAGAGTGTTTTATAACACATTTTTTAACAGGAGAATGATATGTCACGTTGTGTCTTCTTCAAACTTATTCTAGACGAGTAATCTAGGAGCAAATCTGAGATGGTTTCAAACCAAACCAGCATGTAAAACTGGAATGACCACCACTTTAGTTTTCTCCACCTTGTTTCACTCAACTCCAACATCGCTAATGATCCTCAAACACCACTGATACTAGCACAACGTGGTACAATAATGGACTTTAATTTGGCCTTTTGGTGACTCATAGCATTTGTGATCAGTTATATTAGCATTAAAATTCTGGATGAGTCAAAAGTCTCACAAGAAGAATGAAAATTTCCATCATAAAAAATAACCAGTGAGAGATGAAGGGGAAACTGGTTTGACCCTGCTTGAACCTGTTGTTGTGATTATCACTCACTCCAGTTATTAGTGAGGACACACTTCCTGACTAAGGGGGAATCTGGTGAAGGTGGACAAATTGTGCAAAACTCACTTTTTTGCTGCTATGTGGGTCTTCACTGCATCTAAAAACACTCCAAACATGAAAAAATCCACCCATTTGTTTTCTGTCAGTGTTTGGTTTTAGGAATTATGTGCCTAAAACAAATTGTTTCAAAAAGACCCTATTTGTGACATCACAAACGGGGGGCATTTACTGTAGCCCTTTTTACAAGAAATGCTATATTTTGCTGCTTTTAATTATATTTATGCTTAATCAACCACATAATTTCATTTAAGTGAGGAAAAAGTTTATTTAAGAGAGTGGAGCTGCATACAGACTAGCATTTAGCCCATCAGTCTTTCTACAGATAAGCACTGTATTTTCCTAACAGAGGCTGTTCAGGAAGCGATTGGATGAGACTGTTTATAACCTTTTAGACAGAAACATGGTTGTAAAAGTCCAAAATATAATTTGCACAAAAAATGAGGATAACTTCTTCTGCAGAGCCAAAACAACAAAATCCCCACTGCTTTAGCGTGAGCAGGATTGTTTTGTCTTACACGGGGGAGGGGGAGAGCACCCCCACCCCCGACAACCCTGTTTGCTGATCTGATCGTGCATAGAAAGGACTGTGAATGGTCATCGTTGGTTTTGAATAGAATCACTGAATCACTAACATTTGCCTCCTCAGTGGATGCAAACAGCTTTGGGTGCTTTCAGCAGAAGAGTGAGTCTTCTTGAAATCTCCTTGGTTTCAGTTAACTCCTAAGGGACATATCTATCATTAGCTCATATGTGTGCAGGCCTTTAGTGCCCAGCAGGCCATGGACTGCAGCGCCACAGAGAATCGAAGCAGTCGAGTCACCGGCCGTAAAACTAATAGATTAACCTCCAGAAATAAAGCTGTGATGCTGTCCTTTCACTAAAACCAAGTCCTCTTTTTGTTCTGAAATGTCTTTGTGGACCCAAAAATGTCTTAAAGACACAACAAACACTGCTGCTCCAGAATTAAAGGTGTTTAATCACTTATATACCTAAAAATACAACATAGCAGTTAAATTCTGTACACATTTGTTAGGTCTGCAGATTTACAAAAATGTACAACTCTCGCTAACACTGGGATGAAAACTGTGCTTACGACAGGAAGAAAGTTATTGGTTCTCTGTAACCACTGAACACTGTTTAAGTTCACATTATTAGGAACATGAAATAAAATCTCCTGCTCTGTTCAGCACAAACATTATGAAGCATTCCATAAACATTTGGGGATGAAAATGTGGAATAAAAATAGCCATTCAAGGGAAAAGCTGTGCAGTCTAGCAACAGTGTTTGTAGATGTGTTACTTCTCTAAAGGTTCGCTAGAAGGATATAAATGTGCTTCTATAGTAAATCTAGTTAGAAACCTTTAAATCAAGACTAAGAAAGCACTTAGTGATGACTAACTGCTGTCCATTTCCTTCTTGAATCTTTAAGTTCAGCTTCCAAAGTGCAGCCACAGGACTGCACCGCAAAGACCGTCAATGCTGCCTCCGTATTGTGAGCAAATCCATTTCCGCTGACCCCAAGGCAGTTTGTAATTGTTGGCACAAATCACTCTCCCGTAAAAAAAAAAAGAGGACCATTAAATCGTGGAAGTGTCCCAACATCGAGCAAAACTCCTCGGGTTACGCTGAGAGTTCATCTCTTTCTGTTCCGATTGTGTTTCACCGTCTTCTTCCTCTTCACGATCATCTCGTAGAGTTTTTCCAGGCCCGCCTGCAGCCCCTGACCGTCCACGGCGCTGCAGCCCTGCACGTGGTACAGCGTGTACATGCTCAGTTCATGTACGGAGAGCAGCTTCTCCACCTCGCTGACGGACAAGGCTGAGTCTTGGTCCTGCTTGTTAGCCAGGATGAGAACAGGAACCCCCTGGTTCTCTGAGGTGCGGGTGATCTTATGCAGCTCCACTTTGGCCTCCTCCATGCGTTCCATCTCAGTAGAGTCCACCACAAACACAATCCCATCTGTTCTCCTCGTGTATGACTTCCACAGAGGGCGCAGCTTCTCCTGCCCACCCACATCCCACACCTGGAAGTTTATGGCCCGGGATGCTCCCACGGACACTTTGATCTTCTCCATGTTGAACCCCTTGGTGGGGATTGTTTTGACAAACTCCTTAAGCTTCAGCCTGTAGAGCAGGGATGTCTTGCCAGCTGAATCGAGGCCAATGACCACCACGTGCAGATTCTGGAAGTTTGGCAGGAACGAGGTGTTGGGAGCCATATCAGTCAGCTGATTGCCCATGATTCCAGGCAACGACTGGGAGTCGAGGGAACAGATTCCTGGTTTAATCCTCTCTCTGAAGACCAGCACCTTATCAAAACACAGAGAACTCCCGTTAGCACTGAATGAGAAGATCAGTAAGGCTCATTTGCAAACTAAGAGTCATTTCACATTCACACCTTAAACTACTTGGTGTTGTTTGACCCAACTAGCGTGGAAGTTCTCACCCTGACCTGGATCAGCAATTCCCGGATTGGCTTTAGTTATGTGAAATACTAAGTGCCACACAGAAGAGTTGAATGAAGAATGAACCAGGAGTCTGAGGTAGTATTAGGTTCAGCCTAATCCCCTTAAGACGGTTAAGGTGGAAGGGCTTTTCCTGAGGCAGATCGGTGCTGCAGATGCAATATGTATTCTGGCTCTGGAGGCTGTTTTTGCAGCAGCAGCTATAATCCGGCTGTTGTTGATATCCTGATACCATCAATCATCTGCCCACAGCTACCACAGGACAGGGACTCATTCCTTCTGATAAGGCTTCACATATATGAAGGAAATCCTCCAGCGAGGTGAGAAGCTGGGGTAAAACGCGGCGCCACGTTTCTCACTATTCACATACATCACTTTAGTTCACTACCTTCTCCTGTGCTTGTTTTGTTTAGATCGTTACCTGGTAAACTAGGCAACTTGGGCGTCTTCTCTCGACTGAGCTTGAAATGGACTGGAAAGCCATAACGACTCCATAATAAACGCGAATCCGAACATTAAATGAAACACCAAGCTGCCTTCGTCCCAGAACAACAACAAAAGCCCTCATACCTCTGATATGTAAGGAGGAATAATCACCCACAAGCGATTAAAACATCCATAACGGAAGGTGTTCTGCTCCTCTCTTGATCTCCTCCAGCGGGCTGACTGACAGGATTTATAGAGACGCTCGAGCTACGCACGAGTTACGTCACGGCCACCTGAAGGGAGCTGCTCCGCGCCCCCTGCAGGTAAATATACGAAACTACAGGGCCTGCTGCGTCTGAAAGCCACTTTGTATGGAACTAGGATTGGGACAATCCTACATGTAACTTGTACCAAGCTCTGTAACCTGTAACATGTTTTGTAATTGTAACTTTTGTTTTGTAGCATAATTCTTGTTTTGTAACACATAACTTCCGTTTTTGGGCTTGTTTTTAAATCAGACAACATTAGATGAAACTTGGTGCACGAAAACGAAACAAAAAAATTCTTGAAATTTACCACAGTAAAAACAAGTTTTTTTTTTAATAAGTGAAAATCAACTTGTGAAAATGATATGCTGCTTTTGATTTGTGGGTCATCAGAACATTTTTCAAAAACAAACTAACACCACTGGCCTGGACTAAAATGATGCTACTCAGAGACAACACTGAAGCCCCACAGGGACATGTGCTCAATTCCAGTCCTGGAGAGCCAGTATCCAGCACGTTTTAGTTTTAATTCTGCTTCAACACACCTGATTTCAATCAGCAGGTAACTAACAGGCTTCTGCAGAGCCTGGTGAGCTGCTGTACAGGTGAATAAACAACTGAAGCAAGTGTGGTGGAGCAGAGAAACCACTAAAACATGCTGGATACCAGTCATGAAGGAGCAGAATTGACTAACTCGGATAGGGTGTGTCCTGTAATCAGCATCATAGGTGTCTTCAATCTTTTCGTCAGTCCCCCTGCCTTTTTAGAGTGAAAAGAAATCACACTACTAAACAGTATAATATTGTCCCACAGGGAAAGTGGGACACAGAACAGCGAGGACAGAATTATCTCAGCAGAGACAGAGGAGCATCTAGAAGGTAAAGGCTAGATCAGGAGTTCTCAGTCCTGGGGGGCTGGTATCCAGCACGCTTTAAATGTTTCCCTGCTTCAACGCCCCGATTTTAACCAGCAGGCTTCAGCAGAGCCCAATGAGCTTCTGATCAGGTGACTCAACCACTGAATCAAGTGTGTTGAAGCATAGAAACAAGGAAAATATGCTGGAAACTGGCCATCCAAGACAAGGATTGAGAACCCTTGGCCTAAAGGATGATCTCCAGGCAGCTGAAGGCCAGAAGACCACATCTCAGCAGCCTGGTGTGCATCTGACTACAGATTACTAAGAAGTTTAAGGTCCTTGGGTCTGTAGCCACCTTCCCAGGTTGTAAACACAAGAGAAAATCTAATCCCAGGTTGATCAGGTAGCAGTGGATAGTAGAAAAAGAGGCAAAGATACCACCCAAAGATGAAACACTGTTTTCAGTTTTTATTTCATGTAACCAGGTAGATTAATGAGTGGAAACATCTCATATACAGGGTTCCTGGCCAAGATGGTTATCTCGCTCCACCTTGTGGCCAGTTGACCAAAGAACAAGGTTTTGTAAAAGGCTCAAGAGTAATTAGTTTCAAACTTTTCATGCGTCACCTTTGGAAATCTCAAAATTTCTGCTATTATGACAGAAAAAATCAGTCAAGGCTAAACATAGGTCAACTCAGTCTAATCCTCAGTTCTTGTGTATTTTCAGTCTACTCCAAGGTCTACCCTCATGCATTTAATCACGCGACTCCCTCCCAATAGAAAGGCTAACGGCTTATCAGGAAGTGTGTGTGTGTGTGTGTGTGTGGGGGGGGGGGGGGGGGGGGGGGTTCAGAGTGAGTTTCTGCTTGTTAAGCAACAATAAAGCTCAACCCTCCCATATTCCAGTCAGAATTTACAAAGCTCTTCGGATTGAGAAGTGAAACATCTTCAAGAAACCAAAGAAGTCTAGTTATTTTCATTTGAACCCTTTTGGATTATTCTAAAGGTATTTTTTCCACTAACATACATTTTTAGAGCAACAATATAAAATAAAGCAGCAGCAACAGTACTTAAATCCTCCCACAGAAGACAGAATACATGATCCTGTATAAGAATTGATGAAGCTGGTTTTTGAGGAGCATGCTGATCTTGTTAAAGAGTCTTGAGTTTTTGAAATTTAGAAACAGACACATATTAGATTTTTACGGAAAAGTCTTGTACAGATTACATGAAAGGATAGAAACTCAGCGCCAAACATTCATGCTGATAACACTACTGACCAGGCATCTATTTGATCAGCAGGGGTCCCCACTGAGCCAGAAGTAGTCTCCGCCATCAGAAAAAATGGTCAAGCTCCAAAATGTGAAAAATCATTGGTCTAATAAAACCACAAGAAATGGATAAAAGGCTGTCAAACACTATACTGTTACCACTATGGAAGTGTGACTATGAAAAAGAAACTCACACTGACTTTGAATTTCACAATTATAAATTTAATCTTCATTAGAGTGGAAACTAAAAATGATTTTGTTATTTTAAAACATTCAAACTGTTTAGTTTTAAAATGATAAACATTATGGCATTGATGGGCTTCCATAAACCCTACCACAGTACCAGCAAAGCCGCATGAAGTTTCAATGTCACAGTTTATTAAAGTGCAAACACTACCAGAGGTCAACTCTCTTACACCAAAACAAAGCTTTAAAAAAAGCCAAATCATTATGACATAAAATACACTTTTATACAATACCACTAGATTTTCCACCAAACATATTTACACTTAAATGTAAACAAGTGACAAAACTGCAGAATTTTACAGAAATTTCATTAAACCATACACTTCATCGTCTTTGTAGTGACGGATTAAAGCCACTGGGTAAATTTAAAACGACACAAAATAAAGGAAATAAAATCACATTTATTGGAGTGATAAAGTGGTGGTGTTGGTCTGGATTTCATCATCTTACGGGGTGCGGGGTGGTTGAGTTGGTCCCACAGTCAATATACTCAAAGGTGTCCAGAGAGAGCTGCTCCGTGTGAGAGAAGTAGGAAATGTTCATCGTCAACCTGAGTGGAAAAATAACCCAAAACAAACATGGATATGATGTTTTCATCTCAGACAGCTGTTTTTTATGACCTCTGTGATATCATCTAGGCCACATGTGTCAGACACAAGCAGGGGCGCCGTAAAGCGGTGAAAGATTAGGAAGATTCTAAGGGCCCACAGCTGTCAGGGGCCCAAAATAAGTTTCAAAAGTTGAATAATAAAAAATAAAGTTTAAAAATCACAAGTACTTTACTTTGCAATATTTTTTTTAGTCTTTGTGAAATTTATATTTATTCAGAGGTCCCAACTTTATTTTGACTAATTAATTTGATATCAATCAGTAAAAATGTATAAATGGTTTTGGATGCTGCCGGGCAGGTTGAAGCATTGTTATTTAGTCTGTTAATGTAACATAAATTACTGTGAGATTATTACTGTGAAGCACCTTTTTGAAGGCACCATACAAGAAAAAAGAAACCTCTTCATCTACTAAACACCTTGAAATGAAATGTTTTGAATCTGACTGAATTATGGGAGGTTTTACAAGATGTAATTTGTTTATGTGGCTTTTAGAACACAAACCAAAAATCAATCATTTCAAAATAATTCATCAGAGAGCAAAAATGAAACAAAAGCTATTAACAATTGTAATAAATTTACTTAATATAACATTGAACACAATAAAATATGAAATCTAGTATTGATGATGGAGAACTACAGCTAATATCCTGCAGGAGTCTGTGCTGCATTTTCCCTGTTGTGCATTAAATTTAAAGACTGTTCTAACTTGGATAAAGATTTTGTCACAAATGATGGCCTATATTGTAACACATATATCAATTTCATTAAGTACAGAGCCTGGACCTTCCCAATGTCAGGTTTGGTCAGGACAAAGAGTGGAAGTGAAGGAAGAAGGGAGAGTGTAACAGCTCAGAAGATGGAGAGACCCAAAGTCAGCTGAATAAATGTGACAGGGATTCCACCAAAGCAGTGTTTTTGTCCAATGACCCAGATTTGTGGCCACCAAATTTTAAGGATAATGAAATTGAGAGGATTGTAAGAAATTTGGCCAAGAGAGCTGAAGATCAGGACATGCCAAATGATTCAGAGGCAAAGTTGTTTCCTGAGTACCTCAAGTATACAAAGGCAGCCAATGGGAGACTGGGTTAGATACAGCCAAAGCTTTGCGAATATTTTGCACATCGCCTGTGACCATTTCTGGAGGTGAGAGAGCTTTCAGTAAGCTAAAACTGATTAAAAAAAAACTATTTGAGGTCCACTATGTCCCAGAACAGACTTTGCAGTCTTGCCATGTTATCCATTGAAAGTCAGTTGGCTAGAAAGATGGATTTCAAAGACTTGATAGATGACTTTGCTCAAAAGAAGGCTCGCCGCTAGGCTCTTGGTGGAACAGACTAAGCAAGGACCAGTAGTAACTGTAAAATAACCAAGCTATTTATACTGCTGCAAAAATAATGGTGACAGCTTTGAACAAATCAAAAACAAGATATGTCATCCAGGAGCATTATTAATTATATCACTGTACATAATAAATCTTGTTGTGTACAATCAAGGCTGAATATATTTTTAGCTGTTGTTTTGTTGTTGAGAAAAATGGGTGTCTAGAGACTTATATACGTATTCATTCAAAGTTGTCCAACTTTAAAATTTTATGTAACCCTAACTGACTCCGGTTTGAACTGTGTGCTTATTCATTTTGTGTCTATGATGAAGCCATGGAGACTTAATAAAGAAGTCAACTTGTGAGCAGTGAATCCTTAATTTTTGTCAGTCATACAGAAATACTTGATTTCAAGAGGAAAGACAGCTGAAAATGTAGTTATGTAAAGCTTTGACACAACATGGAAATTTAATTCGATTTCCAAATTTGAATTTTATCATCAAATAAAATTTTAGAATAAATAAACATATTTTAAGGGAGTAAAAGGGAAAAGGAGATTAACACCTTTCAGCATGTGCATTTCCTGCTTTTCCAGCAGTGATATTGCTAATTCTGTTGAAGGAAATTCACTGTTTAATGAGAGACAGCTGGTGAAGATGATATGTAAATAAGTAAGAATGCATGTAGACCTACATAATTAAGTAAAACTGAACCACTAATATGAAGTATATATATTGTATTTTTTTCTCCCTTCGAATCTGGGAGGGTGGAACCCCAGCTCCAGCTATGGACGAGCCCCCAGGGGGCCCAACTTGATATTTTTTCATGTGGCCCAAAATCTCTGGCAGCCCCCCTGGACACAAGGCCCGTAGGCCTGATGTGGCCCGCTGAGCAATTTTATGTGGCCTGTGAGATAAATATCGGCTGATTTTATCGCAAAGACTACAACTCCCATGATGCTTTGCGGCGTTAGCGCGGAGCCAAAGCGCCCCCCCCCCCCCCCTTTTGTGTTTTTTCCAGCGTCTGCTGCCGGTGTCTGCAGCTCGCTGTCTCGGACAAACTAAACACTCCTCTCACTCAGCGCCAAGTTTACTCAGCTATTTGCCGACGTTGAAGCCCAGAAACAGATTTTAACCGCTCAGTAACGTGTTCACGACTGAAAGAGAAAGGCCGTGTTCGAGATGAGCCAGTTCTGCGCAGATTTGATCACCGGTGATCGGCGCGCAGTGCTTACCGGTTAGCTTTGTGTCTGACTTGATGTCGACTTGCTCCGACGTCATGCAAACGTAGGCAACGATAACCTCGTGAGATCAAGGCGGCCGCAGATTTTGGAGAAAGGCGCTGCAGTTGCTCTCCACCGGCTGCAAAAGTTAGGGGATGACGGGAAACGCCTGGCTCTCACCTGATCTAAGATCTGATTGGCTCACATTCTGATCCAAACATCCGGTGGCTGAATGCAAAATTTTAGTTGGTCACATGTATTCTGTAAATCATGTAATGTTGACGATGACAACTATATGGGCCATAAAGAGGAATGTGTTTTGTGTTCTTTTGCCACGTTTCCTATGAGCACACCTAAGCTACGGCTGATAACCTTTACTTATTATTACAGTCATGTCTCCATGTACAATATAAGATATCCACAAGCACGTGAGGATGTGTTTCGGTTGCTAACAGGCACCAGAATTAAAATAAATAATTAAACATGTATGAACGCTAACGCGATATCTTCATCCTTCGTCACCCGTGAGCTACATGTAGGGAAATCAGTCCGACTTAAATGCCGGCTTTCAGCCACTCCTCCTGCTGCGTCCGTCTGCTCTCGTCTGTTTTCCAGGCGAGGCGTTGCTCAACTCGAACAAGGCCAAAGTTTTCCAACCAACTTCCAGACAGAGTTGATCAAACTCCAGCGAGCAGCGACACGCTCAAATCAGCATGACTCTGTGGCTGCTGTAGTTTTTATTTTTCCTCCGCCGACACACAACAACGTGGTCAAGCTGCTCAGTCTCCATGTTCAGCAGCACAAACCTATGTGAGCACCTGCTGTCATCTAATGTTGTCATTATTATGATGAAGATGAACAAAACAACATGAGTCTCCTCCTCAGCTCAGAGCTCATCCCCATGATGCAGGTATCTGGCTGGAACAGGTGAGCATCACAGTAAACCAGTGGAGCAAACTGAGCTTTAAATATTTAGGTTTTATGCTCTTTTTCTGCTCCAAAACATGAAAGTTAACAGGTGACATATTGCGTTTTCATTTAAGATAGTTATTTTTTTATTTTGTTGTTGGCCCGTGAGAAAAAATTTAACCTACAGTAAACAGGAAGTGGAAAGGCTGCAGATAGATGAATAGAATAGAAAATCCCTTTATTGTTCCTCAGTGGGGAAAGCTAGATGTCACAGCAGCGATGACACTTATTACAGGAGAAAAAAAGGAGAATAAAAATAAGAAAAATGAATAAAAAACAAAAAAAAAAACATAAATCCTGAATAGATTTCAAAAATGCTGAATATACCACAAGTAATGAATACCACTGATGCATTTTATTTAAAATTGACTTGCTCGTGTGTAATTTGGTTATTCCACATTCAGCGTTAATGCAAAAATAAGTTTGTTTCCAAATTAAAAGGTTCAAAATTGCATATATGTTGATAAAGAAAATGTGCAAATTTGCCGTCACTTTTTCAAAAAATATTAAGTTTGGCCCTCGACTCCGTCCCAGAGTTTCATTTCGGCCCCGTGTGAGTTTGAGTTTGACACCCCTGTTCTAGGCAATACCTCAATTTTCTTTTTGCTAACCCCACCCCCACCCCAGTAATTTGAATTGAGCCCCGCTCAGCATTAGCTAATAGCGTTAGCATCTGCTTACGTATTTAAACGGATGCAAAGCTAGCAACATTCCTATTGAACAATTAAGTCTTTAAAAAGATGATGTATGAGAATATTAATTTTAAAACAACATCTTTTAGCTCTGTTGCCCAACTAGAGGTGAGCATTAACGAATGAAAGGTGTTGCTTCCAGGATCCGTAGTTACTGAAGCAGGGAGAAGCACTTAACAGTGCAGTACATTTTTCCGCCTCTAGATGGTGCACTCTGTGTAAAAAAAATCTGACTTTTTCTTCAAGTGAACTTTTTTTTATTTTATTCTCTGTAACAAACAGAGGAGGAAAGGAAAATAAGAGGGTGTAATATTATTCGCCAAGAAAAATGTATTCTTTACCACATCCGTCCGTCTAAAATAGAGAAATGATAATTCAGCCTGAAACTGAAAGCACAAGTCTAAGTCAACCTTTTTGACACCAAAGCTGCTTCATACAAACTAATGAAGGAGTGGAAAAAAAATCCCTTGTGTTCAAAACTGACTGCTAAGTGCTAAAGTAGTCACATCCTGTTTTATACCCCGAGCCAATCAGGTGCATGCAGAGAGGAAGCTGCAAAAAAAAGCAGAAGTGCTTTTTTTCGCAGGGACAACACAAACACCAGATGAAAACTGAAAGTTTTCGGCATTGTCTCGTTTAGACCCTCTCCTGTTCATTAAGTTTTCTGTCACTGTAGTCTAAAGAGGGCATTTTAAAGCAGAAGTCTGAACATTTAGTGCCTTTTGTTTTTTCTGTAGCTGTGGTTTGTGGTTCTGCTTTGTATTTGCATGTTGCCTTCAACACTGTGTCTTTGAGATAAGCTGCTATTCATCTTCACACTGACATTAACACTTACTGCAGCTCCAGAAATAACGTGTGGATCTTGAATTTCTCTGACTGGCAGTAATCTCTGAAAGACATTAAACACAGCGGTTAAATATCTGCTGAGTTCAAATACCAGGGACGGATTCAGATTCAATTATTGCTTCTTACGTTAAGCCTTTGTCTTTGATCAGTAGGTTGATCTGAGTTGTGTACTGCACAGAAAAAAAAAAGATGTAAGGATGTGTGAATATCTCAGTGCAACACTTAAGTCTGAGTGAAGCTCACCGACTGCTTAGATCGGGACTTTATGGCAGTCAGGTTGGTCATCTTCGTCTTCCCCATCACCGTCTTCGCAACGAGACCCTGCATGTTAAAGTCTCTGATCTGAACTGGGACAAAGTTGTCGTTGGTGATGTTGAGGAGATTCTGCAATAAAAGGAAACATGCAAACATTCAAGCAGCTTTTCCACCATTAAAACATCTCAGGGCACTTGACTGCCATATAACAGCCGCTGTCATGTGAATGGCTGTCAGAACATTCTGCACGCAGTTGTGACACACACCATAAACCTGGAATTGCTCAATAATTATGTGCATTAGTGGGAAAAGATGAGGTGTTAAAGATGGTGTGAACTTTTGGAAGTAGTTGCAGTAAAAACGAAACAGAAAGGCTTTATAAAAAATGACCCAAAGAATCCAGACTCTATTGTTATCTAAATCATGCACAACAGGTTATACCTTGTTAGTTTGTGTATGTGGATGGAGGAGGGGGAGAGAGAGAGAGAGAGGGAAAGAGAGAAAGAGAGAGAAAGAGAGAGAGATCATTTTCAGCATTCCATTGTAAAAGTAGCTCACACAGTGAAACAATGTGTGCACTCCTCGACTAATGTGAATCCATCTGGAATTAGGCCACACAATGATCTCCAGCTCAGCAACAACTCTCCAGCAGAGCAGCTGAAAAAGTAAAGAATTAAGAAGCTGTGATGGTCCAGTCAGAGAGCAGACCTCCACCTGTGGGAGACACACTGAGGAAAATGTCTGCAAACCTCAATGTTCTAAACAAGAGTGGGGCAGAAGGGACCGATACAATCAGACGAACAAAAAAACTATGAAGTTATCACTGAAAAGGTGGTTCTGCGACTTGTTGGTTAAGATTCTAGGGACAGCAGTAGCCCAGGAGGAAGAGCGAGTTGTCCATTAATCGAAAAGTTGTAGGTTTGACCCCAGCTCCCACCAGAGAATGCTGCTGTTGTGTCCTTGGGCAAGACACTTAACTCGCCTTGCCTCCTGGTGGTGATCAGAGGGACCGGCGGCGCCTGTGTTCGGCAGTCTCACTTGCGTCATGTGTGCCCCAGGGCAGCTGTGGCTATTGTAGCTCATCATCACCAGCATGTGAATGTGTGTGTGTGAATGGGTGAATGACTGGGTGTTATGAAGCGCCTTGGGGGATTGACGAACCCTAAAGCTTGGTTTATGCTTGACGCATTCACTTTCCGCTTGGTGATGCGGCTCGCGGCTGGAACGCGCTTCACAACTCGCAGCTTTTATGGTTCATGTGGCTCGTCTGCGGTGAGCCAATATTCTCCCAAACTGTAGGGGGCAGCATGGAGCTCTACAGCATGCATCCAACACTACACCATAGTAGAAGTAGAAATTACTGTTTACAACATGGCATTCTAGCATTTTTAACAGCGTCCTCGTCTTTTCCGACAGTGCGAGCTATTTCTCTCCAAGAATTATTAACAACATGTTGATCACGGTGATCTTTGAGAGCTGAATCATACAAATGTCTGTATTTACGAACCTCTGCCATACTAGTTCTTGCCGGTCCGCCATGTTTTTCCGCGTCCGACCGTCCGCGTGGTTAGAAAATTTCCTAGGTGCACAGTGTGGAAATTTTGGGTCGTGCTGAGGCGCGGTGGAGGGGCGCGGTTGTTAAAATGACGCAAAATGATGCAACTTTTCCGCGCGGAGCCGTGCGGACGCGTCAAGCATAAACCAACCTTAAGAAGGCACCAAGGCCAGATGTAGAAGTGACATTTGAGTCAAGAGCAGAGAGAGGTACTTACGCCCTTTATTTAGAAAAAGGAGGTATTTGCATCTTATTCAACAGTGTGAGGCGGACTGCCTCGCTGACTAAAGCCTGATTTATGCTTCTCCGTCTGCGTCAGTGCGGAGACACGCAACGCCATTATCCGTCCTTGCGTAGGGCACGCAAGTACGTACGGAGTCGAGCCCACTTTTTTAAACATCCGTCGAACGAGACGGATTACGCAAGCTTGTGATTGGTCAGGACGCCGCTGTTGTTTACAGCGCCGCCATTGCAAAGAGAGCCGAGTTTAACTAGCGGCAGACACGGAGAAGCTTGAAGAATACCTCGCGAAAAAACTCTAAAAACATGAACGTTTAATTCTCCCGTGACTGGAGGAGTGAAAAGATGCGCAGCAAGCGTTTTATTTGTGGACGGAAATAACAGGAAACGTGGGTTTAGAGGTGGGGAGCGCATGAAGCGGTGGGAGAATGAGAGACAAATATGTCCGTGTTAAAAGTCTCTTATATACACAAAAAACACAAAATAAACACACGATCTTGGACCGATACACGACAGGATACCACAGAACAGCGCTACGCCCTCTGTTGTCCTGCCGGGCAATTGCTTTGCAACACTCTCCAGGAGACGGAGAAGTAAAAGAGCAAAACGCTTCCGTCAATCCGTGCGTGTCTGTCCCTTGCGGAGCTGACGGAGAAGCATAAACCAGGCTTTACATCCGTAACAGTGAGTATGTCATGTTGATTGTTGTCCAATAGAATGTGGAGACAGTTTGAAAGACAACCGTAGATCCCGCCCCACAATTGAGCTCTGTCTATGGGTCATGACCAGACTATACACTCACATATGCCAGGCCAAGTGACTCAATATTTTCTCTAGAAATCAGATTTTCCCATAAAGTAAACATGTAGAATGCTTTTCTGACGGCAAAGCTTTAGCATTTAGCATCTGAAGCAGTGACTTACTTTGACCTCCATATCAACAGAATCTGGGGTGAAATAGACCGTAACTGACAGAACGGACACCGGTGTGATGGAGACACTCCGAGGGAAAAGGAAAAAGAGGATCAGGCAGCAAATAAGTAGACAGATAACCATGGAGATGAACACGTACAGCTTCCTGAAAGGCACAAAGAAGAGTTTTTAGAAATACTACAATATCCAACTCCAAACTAAAAACACAAATCTAATGTGGTCCGTTAAATCTTTCCTTACGTGCGTCTGGGTTTCAGCCTGACATCATTGCATGGTATTACTGCAACTAGCTGGTTTTCATGGCCTGAGAGAAAAAAGGGAAAAACAGGATTGTTTCTACCACAAAAGTGATGTGCAAACACTTTAATGAAGGACACATGAAATCCTGTATTTTTTTTTTTGCACTGTTACTGAATAGGAAATGAAAGCATGAGTTGCAAAGGAAGAAAATAAAGAACTATGAAGAGATTTCAAATGTGATTTTTCATGACACAAAACAAACCTCTGGGAATGCGTCCCGTTCCCCGACAGGTAGGACAGGTGTCACTCGCTGAGCTGCCATCAATGCTCCCGTAGGGAGGAAATTGCTTGAGTACTTTATCATTCTCTATCCCCTCTGCGAGCCGTGGGTCCAGAGCCATGCTGCTGTTTTTCCTGGATGGATTCCTAACACTTGACTGAAAGAAAAAAATCCAGATTAGATGTGAAAACTAAAGACACTAAAGAAGCTGCATCAGTCCTCCCTCTCCTTTAGGTGTCCTCACAAAACTTAAGCATCAATAAAAGCTCATTCCTGCACAACATGTGAGAATGTTAACAGAGTCCAAAGTATCGGAAAGAGAGAAGAAATGTTGTCTTTATGGTTTGCCGACAACTTCAAAACAGAAAAAGCAGCTGACACTGACAGCCTTCTGGAGAAAGTCAGGCTTTAAAGTAACACTAACTAGTTTTTAAAGTTTAAACTAGAGCTTTAACATTGATCTCAGGGATTGTTGGGTTAGAAACTTGCCCAGTTTCATAACTGACACCACTCAGCTGCCGTCTAATGACCAAAAACTGCACTTGATAGTTTTGTGGAGTGGGTAGGTGTCCTAGGGGGCGCTCTTTACCTGCTTTATGGCCGTTAGCTCTAATGCTAGCGGTTAGCATTTTCAGTTTGCTGATCGATAAATAAAAAACACAAAACAAAATAAGGAAGTTTGCTTTTTCTGTGGGCATCATGGCAGAGCCTGGAAGTAGAAGTAAGAGAGTAATGTCTTTGGAGGTGAAGCACCGAGCTAAAACCAGAGTGATCACTGGCGTGGACCAGACCAGTTTCAGGAAGCTAAAGGAGGCTATAAGCATATGGCGACCTGGTTTTGTTGCTACTGGAATTCTAAGTAATAATAATTGTTGTTCAACACTGTGGATCTTTTTACTCTGTGGTTTATTTTAGTACTAGTTGGCTCATGATGGTTTTAGCTCGTTGTTAGTGCTAGCTACAGCAGGGTTGTTTACGACAATTGTAATTCCACTTTCAACCAGTAGGGCGGAGGAGCAGGAAACTGCTCTGTGTTACTTTAACTTTAAATAAAAAAAACTTTAATTTTCACATCTCCTGCTGAAGAAAGGGAACAAATGCAGCATCCAGTCACACAATGTCTACTCTTATATAAAACTAAATTAACCAGCTACAGCAAAACTAATTAGAAAGATAAAAATCAGTTAATAGGAAGAAGCAATTTCGGTTTGATCAATGGCTAATAAAAATGACACAAAGACTTTTTATTGGTTATTTTGTGCCAACTTGTACTTGACATTTGATCCAACCTATATAGTTTTGAAAGCTGAGATCATACAATGAATTAGGAAATCAGCCATGCATTTAATACAGAAGATGTTTGGTTGTGCTGAGAAGCTATTCTAGAGCAAACATCTCACACCTGTCATACCAGAGCTTTGAACTAAGATCATCATGCTGATGAATGATGCAGTTATGGCCATTTGGGTCAAATTTAGGGCTGAGTGATGGCACAGTTAGTAGCAACTGATGGTTGTAGGTTTGAATCCTGGCTGCAGCCTTCTTATAAAGAGTTTGCATGTTTTCCACATGCATGTGTGAGTTTTCTCCAGTTACTCATGCAAATTAGGCTGATTAGACTCTGACATGTCGCTGGGTGCGAAGGACTGCGTGACTGCTTGTTTGTCCCTGTGAATGGACATGTCCAGGTTGTCCCCCACCTAACTGCTGGAGACACCAGATTACCATACCGAGTAGTGAGCAGTTTTAAATTGTCAAAAATTTAAAATACTTTTGAGGGCGGCATCAAAAGATACTGCACAATCTATCAGCATTTTGAGTGACTCTACCAGCACACCGGACTTTAGCTCAGTATCTGTAAAACTGACAGATTTAGAGCTGTTTCAGTTCCGATCATCGGTTCAATCTAATGGGCCATGAGGTATTTGCACACGAACCTTTCAGAGGCTGACTATAACAAATAATCAACCAGGAAGTTTTAGTTTTAGAAAAAGCACTGCAAACACAAATGTTACCACACACTTAAATACATTTGGCTTATTCTAGAGTAATGACTTTAAGAAAACCTTCAAATCCAGTATATATATCAATGGCAGAATAATTCAGAAAAAGTATTTTAAGGGTGTTTGTGCTTTTCACACACTTTGACATTTCACACATAAATTCTAGTTGTGGTTTTGCTGTGTGTAATTAAGCAGATATAAATACTCTCTATGTTCTATAAGAGCTGAAATACCCGCTTTAGTTTCATTATTTTTCATGTAAAACACACGGTGACAATCAGAAACAGCGGTGACGCAATATTCTTTTAATTGTGCTTTTTTAGACATTGTAAATTATTCCTTTTTATTTAAAATATATTGTCAAAATGTTCGAAGGGACAAGCCTCCATAATAAATCATAACACGTTTACTAAAACATTAAATGATGAATAGACCCGAAGACATGGCCGACCCCTTTAAAACATGTGGAACAGTTGTTAAACGCAAACAAAGCGCTGATCCTCACCTTTACAGCAGCTCGACTCGTGTTTGAACCAGCCTTTATCCAGAGTGAAGACATGGAGACATCTGCTCACAAAGGCAACACAACAGCGCTTATCTAAGAGAAACGCTTCCTATTCCCTTAGGTCAGTTCTTCCTACAGCTAACGATCACATGTTTAGGTTTTCATTAACTTTTATTCTTTCTCTTGTAAAGCTGTTTAGATGAAGCAGTTGCGCAAACGTATTAAAGGTTGTTACATTTTTATTAACTACTGTTTTTACGTATTTTTATTAATTTGGGCTTGATCTGACTGCCAGACTGTGACAGGAAGCAGTGATGACTCAGATTTTTAAACATAAATCTTTACCGCCACCTAGTGGTCAGATGTATAATGACGCAGCATTTAAGAGGAAACGTCACGCGGTGACCCTTTCGAAATAAAATCCAGCAACCTTACCTAAGATCGTGAAAAGCTGTTGTTTGAACATATTTTTCACATTATTGTTTCATTCTGTTCTGTTGCTCAACTTTACGGAATGGACGGCTAAAGCAGTATCGTTGCTTACTCTTGAAACTTTATTATTAAATGTGCTTAATCCAGGTATAACACATAAACCCAGCCTGTTTCTGGCTTTTTGTGTTACTTCTAAACAGTTCCCCCTAGAAACACATAAAAAGTATATAAAATTCCTCTTGTTGCAATTATCAAGTTACTTAAAAAATATATAGAACAAGATAATTTAACGTTAAAACTAAATGTTCTAACAAACATTTAACATTTCAACAGATGTATCTTGAAAGGGTGACAGCAACACACTTCTTTTTTTTTGTAGTGTTTGCTTTTGTGCTAAATCAATTTTTTTATTTCCACAAATAATACCCAGGATTCGTGCAATGACAGAAATTTCAGCCATAGTGACAAGCATTCATTACAAATATCTACACAATGTTATCATTTAAGAATTGATGATGGAGTGAATCAAGCTTTTCAAAAGTACAATTCCACATTAATCAGTCACAGCCTATTTATTATAATTACAGCCCATTGTATTCTATATTTCTGCCTTCCTGCTCAAATTTCTACATAAATCAAACCTGCATAAATAAAGAAAAGCAAATAATACTGTGCAACTACTGTTAAAATTATGTATAAAGTCAGCATGTAGTACTGGGTGCTCCAGTTATCTCCGACTGACTAGAAACATATGCTTAGATTATTTTGAGATTCAAAATTGTCCCAAATTGCGATTATAAAACTGTAAGCCACTGACTAATGTCAGCAAAATAAACAAACATCAATGTCATTATTATTACAATGTTTACGTTTGTAGGTCAGATCTTATGGAGCCCAACATTCAACCCTCTCATGATTCTTCGATGAGTGCATCAAATCTGTGCCATCTAAAATGAGAAAACACTTAAAAATAAATAAGTTAGCAAAAAGCTCATTTTATTTGTTGAAGTGCAAAAATAAAAACACCTTGGCCCTGTACATGGCCTCTGAGCATGGACTGATGGAAAGAAGGATGATGCCTCGACTGATTTAATTTAACTTTAGCTGTCCACTCCCTTGTCCTCTTGTCTCTGTGTCTGTTTTGACTGTTCCTTTGAACAGAACCACGTCAAAATGTAGCACAGTTTAATTCTGTTCCCAAAAGAACAGAATTATCACTAATGGATCAGACACGTGAAATGGTTTGTGCTTTTGCAGATCCCCCTGGTTACTTTTATGACGATAACCCACTAATTTGGGGTATGGTTAGTTTTTATTAAAATTAGTCTGCAGCATGACATTTATGCGTCTCCACCGTGGTCATTTGTCTAACTTCAAAGCCAAATTCCACCCCCAAGTGAAACTTAATGTGTTGCTATATTCTCCATGGTTAGATAAGTGGGAAAAAGCATTTAACCAGCCCAGTCATCTCCTATCTGGCAGTATTCTGTTAGCTTTAGCTGAATTACACAGAGGCTTCTGGGGAGCCCAGTTGTGGGGGGTGGGGTTCTTTTTTGCCTTGGCCCCCAAAATGCCTTGAAACGGCACTGGGTGTGTGACTTAGTTTTGCAGGTGATCTGAATTGTATCAAATGTATAAATATTACATGTGTATAAAAACGTGTAGTGGAGATACCTACATTTTTTCTTGATTTTACACGACTATTTTCCTGGCCTGTCTCTGATCCTGCATCACCTCTAAATTCTCTACAAAATCTGCTGCCTGCATTCTCACTTTTTCACCTCAGTTACTTTTGAGCAGATCAAAGGGATCTCCTGACCGCAAAGTGGAGAGCGCGTTTCGATGCAGTCAGTGAGGTGAAATCACTGCAGCACAGGTGATAAGCTCCGCAGTAGCAGAGCTTCAGACGTTGCCAGACACATTTTTCCGTTTACAACTAGAAAACTACAGCGTTGTGCAGTACAGTCATGATTTCCATCTTTTTTCTGATTGGTCTTTTGAGCTGCCTAGTCCCACCCATCAAGTGCTTCTCTGCCCGAGTTACCACTCATTCTGTGCAGAATTGCACAGAATGAGTCTGGCAGGCCTGCCAAATTGCCCTAGGAACACGCTTCCCAGCCCCAGTTTCAGGGTGTTGAGTCGCCGCACATGTTTAAGTTGGGTAGCGCGTCATGTCTGCCATCTTACTTAGCAGCTACAGCTTTGGGCATCTCAAAAGCACATTTTGACTTCAGTTTTATATCTGATGATCTTGTCATACAACTCTTGAGAGTTTTAGTTTGAGCTTTTAAACTACTGTTTTAGTCAAGTTTAGTTTTTAATCTAAAGTCAAATAATGGCTTTTATATAAAGATGATAGTATTCAGTTTCAAACTTAATTCACTTTATTTAAGGAAACAGCAAAACTTAGTTTCAAAAGGCTTATGAAATTGCCAAAAGGTTCTAAGTGCTGCAGAAAACGGACTTCATAAACATTCAAGAATGTGTAAAGTTGAACTTTAATGTGGCAATGCTAAACTGCTCAGTATTCTTCTCCCTCTTCATCCTCCTCCTCTCCAATGCTGTCAGTGCCAACCTCTTCATAATCCTTCTCAAGGGCAGCCATATCTTCTCTGGCCTCTGAGAACTCTCCTTCTTCCATTCCCTCTCCAACATACCAGTGGACAAAGGCCCTCTTGGCATACATCAGATCAAATTTGTGATCGAGGCGGGCCCAGGCCTCAGCGATGGCTGTTGTGTTGCTCAACATGCACACAGCTCTCTGTACTTTGGCCAGATCTCCACCAGGAACCACAGTTGGAGGCTGGTAGTTGATGCCTACCTTGAAGCCTGTGGGACACCAGTCCACAAACTGGATGCTGCGTTTGGTCTTGATGGCAGCAATAGCCGAGTTGACATCTTTGGGAACGACATCACCACGATACAGCATACAGCAGGCCATGTATTTACCATGGCGAGGATCACACTTAACCATCTGATTGGCTGGTTCAAAGCAAGCATTGGTGATGTCAGCCACAGACAGCTGCTCATGGTAGGCCTTCTCAGCTGAGATAACTGGAGCATAGGTGGTCAGAGGGAAGTGGATACGAGGATAAGGCACCAAGTTGGTCTGGAACTCCGTCAGGTCAACATTCAGAGCTCCATCAAAGCGAAGTGAAGCAGTGATTGAAGAGACGATCTGGCCAATCAGCCTGTTCAGGTTGGTGTAGGTCGGCCTCTCAATATCCAGGTTCCTACGGCAGATATCGTAGATGGCCTCATTATCCACCATGAAGGCACAGTCGGAGTGCTCCAAGGTGGTGTGGGTGGTCAAGATGGAGTTGTAGGGTTCAACTACTGCTGTAGAAACCTGAGGAGCTGGGTAAACGGCAAACTCAAGCTTTGACTTTTTCCCATAATCAACAGAGAGTCTCTCCATCAACAGGGAGGTGAATCCAGAGCCAGTGCCTCCACCGAAGGAGTGGAAAATAAGGAAACCCTGCAGGCCAGTGCACTGATCAGCCTGAAAGAAATCAAATGGTCAATTTAAATATACAAGTTAAAGCTAATTTTATATACTGCTTTGTACGAGTTCTATTCTCACCAGTTTACGCGTCCTGTCAAGAACCAGATCTATGATCTCCTTTCCTATGGTGTAGTGTCCACGGGCGTAGTTGTTTGCAGCATCTTCTTTTCCTGTGATCAGCTGCTCAGGATGGAACAGCTGACGGTAAGTTCCTGTACGCACCTCATCTGTTTAAGACAAAAATGTTTGCTTTAATATCTCATGTTTAATACAACAGCAAATTTCCTCTTTTAACCACTAACCTATGACAGTGGGTTCCAGGTCAACAAAGATGGCCCGGGGAACATGCTTTCCTGCTCCAGTCTCACTGAAGAAGGTGTTGAATGAGTCATCTCCACCTCCAACTGTTTTGTCGGAGGGCATCTGTCCATCAGGCTGGATTCCATGCTCCAGACAATACAGCTCCCAGCATGCATTGCCCATTTGGGCCCCAGCTTGGCCCACATGCATAGAAATACACTCACGCTGGAGAAAAAGAAAATGGGTATGTGGCAAACAGGAAGGCATGGAGTCTTCCCTCTTTATCCTCACTTATTGACATTTTATGGAGAATACTCAAACAAATGGCTGCCATTTTAACTATTCAGGCCTAACAGCTACTCTCCCTCCCCCTATTCCCCACTGCCACGATAACAATGACCCACACCCATCGGTCGGAACATATCTAAATAGTTTCTATACTTCAAACATTTCCAGCATCTGGTTATCTGACCTATTTAATCCAACCGCTCTAAAACAGTTCAACTTTCATTTTACCGTTATTTTCAAACAAACCAAAAAGTTTTTTTTAAGCTCAGACTCCAGATAACTTTATTTTCTATGACTAGAGTCGGTTTCGTGTTGGTAACCGTTCAAGCAGCGGAACTAGTGGAGCTTTAAAGAGACCCAGACACTTTAAAACCACGAAACAGCCACAGTTTTACTTTATCTTTACGGTTACTTCCCCTAGCGTTTACTACTTGAACACGTCTGATGATTATGTATCTGCTATTTGCTGTAATTTGTTAAAGGTTTAATAACAAATAAACAACTCACCATTTTGTCTGCTTGTCCTACGAACAGCCTTGAGGATTCAGACACAAGAAGTGCAGGAAAACGAGGAGCTGCGGCTTTTATAGTCAAGGGCGTGAAGGGGCGGGGCCAACAGAACAGAGACGTTACGTGGTTCATTGGCGGGAAGAAGCCACAAGACAAATTCTAAATACTTCCTGTTTGTTAACGATTCAAAATTAGAAAAAGGTATGAATATTTAACCTATTGTAAAGCGTTCTATTTTCAGTGTTTTTGTGATTTCATTAAGTTTGGGTTCTTTTTAGGCCTTAATGTTTTTTTTTTAATACTATTATTCTTTATGCGCTTAACTAAAGCTAACAGAATACTATCAGATTAGGAGAATGGTCTGGATACAAAATGCTTTTTCCCACTTATCCAACTCTGGGGAATGTGGCAACAGATTTATTTCACTTATAGATGAAATATCCATTTATAACGTATTTTAACAAAGTTGGGTTGGTTTTTGATCAACCTTAACAAGGATTCCTAAGTAAGGATCTGTCACCTGACAGTGACGTTACTGTGATTACCGACAGCTCGGTGGTAAGCCTATTAGCTGCATCTTCACAGCTAATTCCAGATAATTTTAAAGCTTTCATTTAGTATGTGGTGCTTATATATTTACACAGTGAATTCAATGACATTGACACAATGACTGCAACAAGCAAAGATGAGCTTCTTTCTGCTTCAGCCTTTCACTGGTAAGACTCTTACCGTTGTTGAGTTTAATCCAACTATAATAAACTAATATCAGTATGTATGTCGATGGTTTAATCACCAACTCTCTACAATAACAGAATTCACATTTAAAGGAATGATTTGCAACTTTCTTTATAGAATTTCATCAAAGGAAGGATGAAGAGACAAGAAGCAGATGTGCAAATAATTTATTGGCAGATTGGGAGAAGACAATTTAAAGTGTACACTCTGTAGCAGAAGAATAATTTGACAAGCCATGTAGATATATTCAGAATTATTCTGTTGAGTAGTTTTTTCTTCTTTTTAACATGAACAATCATAAACGTAAGAGATCAAACAGCCTCACCCACCCACACACGCACACACACACACACACACACAGTGTACATCAACATAAAGCTAAATAGACAGTTATAACATTATGTGAATGTTTCAGTAAACTAAGAATCATCTTAAAAGTATACTTGGTTCCACCATGTGGTTGAGGAATGTGAAAAACAGATTTTTGCTCTAGCTTAGGCTAAATGAGAGTTGGTGGTTTAATGAGAAAATGCAGGCAAGCAGAATAAAAGATGAGGCAAAGCTGATTTTTTTTTTACCCCTCTCCACTCCGACTCCCCTAAAGCCTCTACCTGGCATGCAGGTGTCTTCAGAAAACACAGTAGAAAACATCCGAGTCTGAGTAGTGATCCGTTCTTTGGACAGTTTGGTTTACATTCCACATGTCAAAACGTCTAAAATAACAGTACTCTGATACAGAAATCGATTGCATTGTTAGGCAAATTTCACTACGATAATTAAAAGGAGAAAAAAAAAGTCCTAAGTATCTGCTTTTCTCATTACTGCACTCTGTTCCATAACACTCAGAATAATCATGCAACTTCAACATCATCACTGTACATCAGAGCTGGCTCTTTAAGACATTCAGCAACTTTCCTTCTCACTTGTGTGTAAATAAATCATTTCACAGCGCAGAGGAAGCAGCAACAACAGCTGTACAAACACAGAGATGAGGAGCTCAGATGCACTTTTGTCTCTCTGATATGTCCGTTTCTGATCGACGAACCAAAACGTAAAGCGCCGGGGCTGATGTAAACAAAGTAACCACTATCTACAATAATCTACAAGTCGTAGTTTAATATATGGTTAACTTTAACAAAGAGCTAAAAGGCAAGAGAAGCCTTTCGTTAATACTCTTTTCCTCTGAAATCTATGCTATTTTTACATTTTTGTTCTGTAGTTTGGAGATATATAGCTGTAGTGTTGATCCCAATTTCCCATCTATGCTTTGGAGGAAAAACATCGAACTAAAAGTTAAACTCTAATATTATTTAAAAATCAAGTTTTAGATCCTTCCTGTGAGGCGTTTTCGCTCGTTTCAGTTCAGAGCATCAACGGCTTCGTTCTGGCTCTCCTCCGCCATCTGCACCAGCTCGTTGACGGTGTGCAGCAGGCTGTAGTTGTGCTTCCTCAGCAGCTGCAGGTTGAGCCGCTGATCTTTAAAGCCCATCTCCATCAGGACGGCCATCATGGAAGGGTCCTGCCGGGTGGCTGGGTCGATGCCTCGCTGGAACAGAAATACAAAACGGGAGAAGATACAAGTGAAAAATGGGGAGAATAGTTTTAAAATAATTAGAAGTTTGTTGTAATCTGAGTAATTTTATTGCACTTAGTCCTTTGTTTCTTCTCTCGTTGCCTTTTCAATGTAAGATAACGTATTAAGATTTTGTGCCCGCCCAGATGCTGTGATTGGCTTTGACTGAAAATGAACAGCAAGTCATGTCCATGGATGCTCACCAGAGCAAACGTGGATTAAATTTAGAGCTTCAAGATAAATATTTCCATGACATCACAGCACGACAGCCAAAGTCCTGATAATGACACAACGTTCCTGTCAGGTGGGAAAATACCAGACATTGTGAAAGTCATCACACAGAACAATGCATGTTTGGCTTTTAGAGCTTGAATGCAGTTCTGAAAAGTGTAATAAAGGTTGTTGTGTCACCTCTGCAGAACTGAAACAAACAGAAGTTTGAGGTCAGCTTCTCTACAAGATCTGCTTCTGCACTTTAACCACATTTACTTGCTGGTTGCTAAAGCATCTGTTGGACATAGGGATGGGTGGCCAGTCAAGTTAAAGGTCTATTTCTTTACTATCAAATATTAATTTTAACAGCCCTCTCTCATCCATTTATATCTAGTTATGAGGAGTTTAGTTTATCAGGAGAGGGACAATGGTGGAGAACTGCTAGCCTGGCCTGCCAGACTCACAGAGAAAGAGTCTGGTAACTCACAGGCAGAGAGGCACATGAGGGGCGGGACTTGGCAGCTCAAAAGTAACCAATCAGAAAAAAGACGGAAATGCCGACTGTATCGCGTGATGCTGTAGTTTTTTAGCTGTAGTAAAAAAAAAGGCATCTGGCAATGGTGCAAACGTTATATATATATATATATATATATATATATATATATATATATATATATATATATATATATATTTATAGAAGAAATGCTTTTGGCACTTCTACTTGTGGTTTTAATGACATTCAAGTCATTTAGAACAGAGGAAAGAGCTGCAGCGAACTCCGCCGCTGTCTTCGTTGTTTATGAGAAACTGAACGTCGCTGTGTGTGACGTCCGCGACGCTGTAGTTTTTTAGCTGTAGTCAAAAATGGTGTCTGGCGACAGCACAAACATTTTTCTTTAGAAACAGGGCTTTTAGTGCTTCTACTTGTTGTTTTAAAGACGTATCCGAGTCATTTAGAACAAAGGAAAGAGCCGCAGGAAACTCTGCTTCAGTCGCCATGTTTATGACCAACTTGGCGTAATGGTGTGTGATGAACGCTACTCAGCGCTGATTGGCTCGGTTAGAATTCAGAGGGGGTGGGGTTATTTGAACAGAAGAGTTCCCAGACCCTTTCTCTGTGCAGAATTAAACAGAGGAGGAGTCTGGCAGGCCAGGCTAGTGAACTGCACCTTTTAAAAAGAAATTAACAAGAGTTCAGAGACACCAAATCAAAATATGAACGACTTGCCTCTGAGATTAAACAGCACTGGATCTTATACTGTTCATTACTTTTATGACAGGATTTCTAGGTGCAGCCAAAGTGTTGAGGGGTCTAAGGATCAGGTCTCTGCTTTTTGCAGATGATGTGGTCCTGTTGGCTTCATCAGAACATGATCTCCGGCTTTTGCTAGAGCAGTTCTCAGCCGAGTGTGAAGTAGCTGGGATAAAAATCAGCTCCTCTAAATCCGAGTCCATGGTCTTGTCTCAGAAAAGGGTAGAATGCCTTCTCCAGGTCAGGGATGAGGTCCTGCCCCAAAAGGAGGAGTTTAAGTATGTCAGGGTCTTGTTCACGAGTGAGGGAAAGATGGAGCACAGGATCGATAGGCGGATTGGTGCTTTGTCTGCAGTGATGCGGGTGTTGTACCGATCTGTCATGGTGAAGAGAGAGCTGAGCCAGAAGGCAAAGTGCTCGATTTACCGGCCGATCTACGTTCCAACCCTCTCCTAAGTCACGAGCTTTGGGTAGTGACTGAAAAAACGAGATCACAGACCCGAGCGGCTGAAATTAGTTTTCTCCGCAGGGCGTCTGGGCTCTCCCTTAGAGATAGGGTGAGAAACTTGGTAATCCGGGAAAGGCTCGGAGTAGACCCGCTGCTCCCCCACATCGAGAGGAGCCAGTTGAGGTGGCACGGGCATCTGGTTAGGATGAGGTTTTCCGGATACGTCCAGCTGAGACCTAAAGGAAGACCCAGGACACGTTGGAGGGACCTTGTCTTTCCGCTGGCCAGGGAACGACTCTGTATTCCTTCGGAGGAGCTGGTCTACGTAGCTGGGGAGAGGGAAGTCCGGGCCTCTCGACCTAGGCTACTGACCCTGCGACCCGACTCCGGATAAGCGGTTGAAAATGGATGGATGGATGGATCTTGTACCCAGGAGCAGTTCTGATATTGTGTTGATCTGAGATGACTGATGGATGTCTCAGCAGCTGGGGTACATAGTTTAAAGTGCGAGTCACCCCAAAATCAACTTTTGTTGCTGATGAACTGTATAAATGCGTGTTTAATATTGCTGTAGACATGTGTAGTCACTATATTAGCATTTTAGTGCTTCTTATTTAAAATTTTAAAATGAAACCTAAAACCATCTCTTCAGATTGAAACTCTGCTCTACACTGAATCAGTCATTGCTAATAGCTACGATGTGCCCAGTGACATTGCCTGTACCGTACTACGTGGCTGCACTGAACTTTGCTGCTGCCAGATCACGGCCATGCCTTCAGCTGGCTCGAAAACTCGCAAGGCGACAAAAAACAATACAGCCAAGAGCTGCTGTCAGTCACTGCCTCAGTGCCTCTCTTGGTCCGCCAGACAACACCTCCTGTAGGCGCTCAAAGAGGAAGTGTGGGTGGAGTAAGACTCCAGTAGAGGGTTACTTGCTCTTTAAATAACCTCCAAATCCATAAATGTGACCATCTGATCCTGTTCTATGATATAAAGTAGGTAATCGTTCATAATTCATATTTCTTCTAAGTCCCTCCCCGGCTTCTACAGCAAAATGAATCATTAACTCGAGCCTGGAGCCAGTAGAACCAGCAGAACCAGTAGTTGCATTTCCACAAGACCCAGTTCCCAGCAATGCATGACGAGCTGATGCAAGAATTTTGATATGGAGCAACCAAAACGGGTACTGAAGATACAGATTCCACGACTGCCTTGTACGTATCGAAGAAAATCTGATCCAAATCTGTTTTGTTGCAAATCCAAGTAGAGTATGATGACATGCATTTAATTTTTGCTGTTTAAATCACTGAACAGAGTTGTGCTGAGTCTGGTCTTTTGTTGGCATGTCAGTGTTTTGGTGTGTGTGCTTGTTAGAGCAGAGATGTCACAGTGTGACCATCACTCAGAAGACCTGCTGCTTTCTCACACATAAAAAGGTTTAGTAAATACGTTCACGTTACACTTCTCTTCATAAATCGTGCTGCTGGACTGAACATTCAAGGGAAAGTTACAAGTTTTGCTATTAATCTTTAGGGAACTGGTGTTAGGAGAGTCCGTGTTTGAGAGCCGTTAGGTTATAGTGTTGGATTTCACACGTAAGCGGGTAAAGGTGGATTTAAAAATTCCAGATGTTTGCCGTTACGCGCCCATGGCACCGAGCGAAAAACAGACACACAAACTTTAGAATCAGCAGAACTTTCCTACTCTTAACATGCATGAAGTAAAAGTGAAAACCTCCATAGAAAAGCTCCTATCAAACTACACTAAATATGAAACAAATCTGTGCATTTTAGTACATAAGCTTGTGCAAATAATTAAAGAAAATGTCAAAAATTGTTCATATTTCACATGCCCTCCTGCTGAAATGTTTTGCCCTGTGTGGGTGAATGTTTTGCTGCTGCATTTCTCCATTAACTGCACATTATTGGGAGGGGGTGCTTCGACACAATCAAAACAAATGTGGGGTTTATGTTTAATATGCTGCTGCACTGCTGCATCATGTACCTGTATGGAACAGTTTGGTCCAGTGAAGAGAGCCTTGTAAGCAGATGCAGCTACAGAAAGGGCCCCTTTGACAAATCCCTCTGTGATGCCTCCTTGGCCTCTGTTGCAAACAGAGTCATGCTCACTGATTATACTAGTTAAACCTGAAGTTATCAGATCAAGTTGTGAGGCCAGAAAAGTGATACTGAGAGCAGCACAACACATTAGAGGGAAGCTACAGCACAGAAAAGGACTGAAGAGAAGCACAGAAGGGCGTTACTCTGCTGTTTTGCACCTTGGCTGCAGCGCTTTGCTCGGTCTGGGATTGTAGGTCTCAAAGGCACTGGATGCTGAGCCTGCTGATCTCGACAGACCAGACGATACTGCAGAGCAGACAGAAAAAGGGAATAACACACAAAAATATCACATTAGGTGAGAACGGTGGATTTTATGCTGAAGGAACAAATCCTGAGGCAGCCTCTTCTCCTAAAATGAAAAAAAAATTGTTTTCTCAATCGAGCTGATGGCTCTAAAAGTAGGGAACTGTTAAGCCACATAAAGACAGTGAGGCTAGTGTAAAATCTGCATCAACGCTGAAGTTCAAACGTTGATTTTACATCTGGGACTACACCAGGACATCCCATACTTCTGTAACGAGGTCAGAGACGGTTAAACCCACCGTTTAGATGAACTCTGGGTTGGTGCGGCTCGTAAGATTCACAGGCAGGAGGACTGGGATCCTCCGCCAGGTACAGGGCCTCAGACCTGGAGAGAATTACAACATTAAATTTTGTAGAACTAATTTTGAAAGGAGAGGATAAAAAAGGAGAAACCACTCAAATCTGGAAGAATCCTGTCTAACCTAGGTGAGTAGAGGGTGGGTGGGGGGTGCAGGGGCTGAGGTACGACAGGCAGGGACACCACTTCAGGGGTAAGAGTCACAGCATCGAGTGTTTGGGAAGCGCACAGCATTTGGTTCACACTGCTGTGGATGAGAGAGACGTGCGGGGGCCAGGTGTTCTCCAGTGACTCCTCCACAGCAATGGTCTCCGTCTCCTCTTTCCTCTCCGTCAGCGGCGCTTCCCTGCACGGCTCAGAGTCGCAAGTCTCCTCCTTCTCCTTCTCCTGCTCCGGGTCAGGGTCGGTCGAGGTCCCGGCAGCAACAGTCTCAGGCTGCGACATGGCAGAGCTGTACATGGACTCCCCCAGAGGTCGGCTGGTGTCAAAGCAGTCTGGGAGGACAATGATGTAATCATCGCCGGAGGAGACCGAGGACGTCTGGCTGCTGACCTGAAACACAAGCAGGGGCGTGGACTTTATTATAGGACTATGCTGTCTTTCATGAGTTGAGAACATCATCCCATAATCAATTAACTGAATTTTTCCCAAACAAAAAACATCTATTATTTTGACAAATTCGATATAATCCTAAAAAATGCTAAAGGTCTACAACTCCATGAAGGAAGGCTTTCCACCTACTGCCGTTCATGCCAGATATTCAAACCAGTCTCATGTTGAGAAATGATGGGAGTTGTCTGGGTCGTATCTTGGCTTTGTGAAAAGTGAAATGTAAATAAGTGACACCACTTGCTTTTCCGGTTTTTTTGCAAAGAGACAACAAAGGTTAAGCCTGTTTCATTACTGGGAAATAACCTCCACCTCCTCCCCCTTCAGTCCAACTGATCTCCTCTCAGCTTTGGTCCAAACGTCCTGCTACTATCTATGAAAGATTCAGCAAAATTGTACTTTGTGTTCATCCACTTACTTTAAAGGTCATTTGTAAAAATGTGAATCTGTCTGCAGATGCAAACATTATTTTTGTTACAGCTGAACTCTCGGGAGCTTCCTGTAAGGTGCAAACTAACCTCGTCCCAGTCTTCTCCTCTAGCTCCTCCCTCCTGCTTCTGCTCATTAGTAGGCTTCATGTTTTGCATCGTACGCAAAACTTCTTTGTCCTTGTTGTCGTGCTGCAAACCGGCGTTCAGGTTCTGTTTCTCTGGTTCCAGCAGAACAACTGGCAGAAATGAGCAGAATGTAAATGCAGTGGAGCAGAACCACCACAGACCCACCGTGGATCTGTACGCTCTTCGCTAACCTGGCGTGGGTTCGTCCTCTTCCTCCATGTTTTGGCTGGGGCTTCTGTTCATAGGTGGCGCTAAACTCTCAACTCGATCGGCATTCATCTCCTCCTGTCTCACTTTTTCCTTCTCAGCGTCCTCCGAATCAGCCGTTTTCTCTGAACAGAAGCTTGGGTCGCGGGACACGCCTGCAAATAGATGGAAAATGTAAACATGGAATATTTTAGCCACAAAGGCCGAGTCATGATGGCGCCTCACTTTTCTGTTTGTGGCTGCCATGTTGGGCTCTGCGTAGCGGTCTGTGGTCGGGGGCTTCCTCCAGAGTGAGGGAGCGGATGACCGTCTCACACAGGAACTGAGCTCCGCTGATCTCCTCCTCCTTCTCGTCCTCTTGGGTCACAGACTCCAACACCTCCTGCTGCCTCAGTTTCACTCCTCAGAGAAATAAAGCAGGACACAGATTCAGTTTCCTATCAGAACAAAAACTAACACGTAAAACAGTAATTACTCTTTATTCATTCACTTAACAAATCCTCAAACCTGCCCCAACTTTAATATCCCATCACCAGCACATATCTGCAGATAAAACAGTGTGAAAGGGAGCTGATAGTGTTTTTCACTCCTATTCTAATGTCTCTGCACTGGTTGCCCATTAACTTTAGAGTTCGTTTTAGAATCCTCCCTATATTACTGAACAGTTAAAGCCTTATGCTCCAACCAGAGCCCTCAGGTCCACCCGCCAGAACCTTCTAGAACATGGGTGTCAAAATCAAATTCACACTGGGCTGAAATGAAAATCTGGGACGGAGTCGCGGGCCAAACTTAATATTTTTTGAAAAAGTGATGGCAAATTTGCACATTTTCTTTACGTATCAACATATATGCATGGTGGCACAGTTGTTAGCACTGTTGCCTCGCAGCACGAAGGTTGCAGGTTCGAAACTTGGTTGCGGCCTTTCTGCGTGGAGTTGCGTGTTCTTCCCATGCATGTGTGGGTTTCCTCTGGGTTCTCCGGTTTCCCCTACAGATCACATGCCCTATAGGTTAAAAAAATTGTACGTCGTTTTGGATAAAAGCGTCTGCCAAATAAATAAACATAAATATATGCAATTTTGAACCTTTTAATTTGGAAACAAACTTATTTTTGCATTAACACTGAATGTGGAATAACCAAATTACACACGAGCAAGTCAATTTTAAATAAAATGCATCAGTGGTATTCATTACTTGTGGTACATTTTTTAAATCTATTCAGGATTTATGTTTTCTTGTTTATTCATTTTTCTTATTTTTATTCTCCTTTTTTTCTCCTGTAATAAGTGTCATCGCTGCTGTGACATCTAGCTTTCCCCACTGAGGAACAATAAAGGGATTTTCTATTCTATTCTTCTATCTGCAGCCTTTCCACTTCCTGTTTACTGTAGGTTAAATCTTTTCTCACGGGCCAACAACAAAATAAAAATATAACTTTATCTTAAATGAAAATGCAATATCTCACCTGTTAACTTTCATGTTTTGGAGCAGAAAAAGAGCATAAAACCAACATATGTAAAGCTCAGTTTGCTCCACTGGTTTACTGTGATGCTCACCTGTTCCAGCCAGATACCTGCATCATGGGGTTGATCTGAGCTGAGGAGGAGACTCCTGTTGCTTTGTTCATCTTCATCATAATAATGACAACATTAGATGACAACAGGTGCTCACATAGGTTTGTGCTGATGAACATGGAGACTGAGCAGCTTGACCACGTTGTTGTGTGTCGGCGGAGGAAAAATAAAAACGACAGCAGCCACAGAGTCATGCTGGTTTGAGCGTGTCGCTGCTCGCTGGAGTTAGATCAGCTCTGTCTGGAAGTTAGTTGGAAAACTTTCTGTTTCAGTCGTGAACACATTACTGAGCAGTTAAAATCTCCGTTTCTGGGCTTCAACGTCGGCAAGTAGCTGAGTGAACTCGGCGCTGAGTGAGAGGAGTGTTTAGTTTGTCAGAGACAGCGGAGCTGCAGACACCGGCAGCAGACGCTGGAAAAAACACAAAGGAGGGGGCGCTTCGTCTCTGTGCTAATGCCTCAAAGCATCGTGGGAGTTGTAGTATTTGCGGTAAAATCAGCCGGCGGGTCAATTTTAATATATTTTTGACATTTTTTCTCGCGGGCCACATAAAAATGCTCCGCGGGCCAGATGTGGCCTTGTGTCTGACACGTGTTCTAGAAGTTCCAAAGACCAGATATAAAAGTCGAGGTGATCACTGCTTCCAGATTGTTGCACCCTGACTTTGGAATGAACTTTCTTTATCCTTACAAGGATTTACATACTGGACACTTAAAATAACAGACCCTTTTATTATAGCAGCTTTTACCTAAATCTTTTTATTTTCCTATTTTTAACTCAAATTTGTAATCATCTTTCATCTGTTTATGACATTTTATGACTTTATTTTGTCTTATGTTAATCTATTTCTGTTTTGAGATCATTTTGATTTTATGACTTTGTTTGAATCTATGTGAAGCACTTTATGATTCTCTGTCTGTGTTAAGTGCTATCTATATAAATACAATTTACTTACCTTTTGCCCGTTATATTCATTTGACCAAAACTATTTTAAATCAGTTTTTTCTCAGATGATCTTGGTAAGAAATGGGGTCAGCTCCCCTTCAAGGATCTTATTTCAACTATTCAAAGAAACACTCCTGAGTTGTGCTGCAAGACTCACCAAAAAGCTTTCTGACTCCCGTGGTCTCAGGGGGGTCTTCTTTCATTGGTGTAACAACGGACTTCTCCAACACCGGTGCATCGTGGGGAAGAGGCGATATGCAGGGAGTCAAGTCTAGAAATAAACACCAGCACGACTCGCTTTATGTGCCAACATGTGAAAATGATCTCTACAGGTGAGAATAACGTTGGAAAAGATGAAGCACAGCACCAGCTTCTCCTATTCGGCTCTTAAGAGATTTAGAGGGAAGGAGGCAGCAAAATAAATAATAATAATACCGTATTTTCCGGACTATAAGCCGCTACTTTTTCCCACGCTTTGAACCACGCGGCTTATAATGAGGTGCGGCTTTAGTCAACCAGAAAGGATGGATGCTGGAAAGTCTAATGAAGGAATGGTTGAAGGAGTGCTACGGAAAGCGCCCAGGAGGATTTTATTCACAGTAAAACGGCGCTGCTTGTTTTCCCAGCTTCACCCCGGGATGATGACAGCAACACGGAGAGCGACACTGACACCGCCACAGAAAAGGTATGTGACGAAGCTCTTCTGAGGCTGTTCAACTCCGACACTGATGAAGATGACTTCAGTGGTTTCAGTGCGCAGGAGGACGATGAATAAACTAATCAATAACTTTTCTGTTTTGTTTGATACTGATCAGTTCAGTTACGTTCAGTTAAACTACGTTTCAATTCAGTAGATATCTGCGGCTTTTAGCCCGGTGCGGTTTATATTGAGGTGCGCTCTATTGTCCGGAAATTACGGTAGTAATAAAAAAAATAATAATAATAATAAACCAGCGGCTCAGGTGAAATCTCATGCCACTAAAGTTTGAAGCATCAGGCGTGACTCACCCACAGGAGTGTTGTTGGGAACCTTTTCCAACTCTTGTACAATATTAATGTCCAGCAGTTCAAAAGACAGTAGATCCTAAGATGATAAAACAGAAAAGAGACACTTAATATTAATCTGATATTCAAACGTAAAACTAATTTTTCACAGTACTGCAATAGAAAAAGAAGTAATCCAATATTAAACTGAAAAAATTAGCAAATCTGTAGCTGGAGGAACAGTTCAAGGATCAAGAGTGTTGAAGACAAGTCTGGTTGGACAATTGATTTCAGTCTTTTCTCACATGATCAAAAATCTGAACCTGTTGTGCAAACACAACATTAAAAGTCACGTGTTCATGACTGTGGGGCTAAAAACAACAGATGGTGTTAGGACACAGAATGACGTGTTCCTGCTCATGGTGATCTGAATGCCACCATGAGCCAGGAAGAAAGTCAGAAACAACACAAACACTAGCTTTTGAGTGCAACAAAGAGGAGTAGAACATGCGGCTGCTTGTTTTGAAATAAAACTCAACTTTATCCACATTTGTGAAATTTAGAAATATAATAAAAGGCTTGTGACAACCAGTTTGGAGAGGGAAACTGCACCACTTACATGTGCTGCATAGCTAAACTGTGTGCCTCCAACTGAGGTGCACATTCTTTCTTAAACGGTGGAATAAAACGAGACTAAAATCTGATGTTAAAAGGTGTCTGGGCTCTCCGAGTGTGCACCTGTGCAGTCAGCAGGTCGACTGATGGAAAGTAGTAGTCTTCATGGGGGAGGTCTACAGTGAAGGCACAGCCACTGTCCCTGGTTCTTACCTCCTTCTCCACTGGCTTCACTTCCTCCTTCTAAAGCACAAACAGGAAGGGCGTCAGTAGCGTCACTACAAAGTCCAATCAAACATTCCCACTTACATTCTAGCATCCTCAAAATACCAAAGAGTTTCAATTACTCTTATTTTAAAGAGATTTTTAACTTCCCAGAATCTCACTGGGCAACAAATAAACACGAGGGAGTTCCCAAAACGCATCAAATCTTCACCAGGGCTCTCGACCTCCTCCTGCTTGAGTCACTGAAATGTTGATCAAGAAAAATATCCTCTTAAAAAAGTTCACTTGAACCATTTTAATTCAGCTTCTCAGTCTGAAAGTGAAACAAAGATGGGAGGGTTTGGGATGCTTCTGCAAAGCAAGTTTGACATCAAAAATAAATTAAATGTTACCAAAGTTGTTATTTGTTTGTAGTTGGGCCTCGTGGGACCTGAGCATAGAAAACCTTTTGCAGAAGTGCCATACAAACAAATTTTGTGATTCCAAATTAAAAATCTGATATGGTCTGGCAGTTTTGTGCCTCTGTTGCAGCCCAGTGAGATACCAGTGTAGGAAGCCCTGTTCTAATTCATGTTGAGATCTAAGTACAGAGACTCTTGTGCAGATACTAGAGAGATGCAGAAAACAAAATAAGAACATACACTACCTTAAATGATGTTTATTTCCTTTAGCTCTTAAATCCTAATTGCCGCATCGGTGCTGTTAATTATTCATTCAAATAGAAAGTTATCTGAGGGCTACAATTACACTTTAGCCTTTTGTGACATACATTGTGGAGAAGGAAATGTATATCACAGAAGCACAAAGCAGATTTTGCTTTTGTTTGAAAATTTCCCTAAAATTAAAATGATTAAAGACTAATTTAAAGTAGGGATGCACGATATACCAACATTATCATCAATATCGACTGATGTTAGTAAATTTTTTAAACATCAGTATCAGTCTAAGTAAAACCGACCCGATTATAACAACAGATTTCTTCTTTCATCCCATTGCCATTTGTGTATCTGTTCCTGAGGGTGAGGGGTTATGACGCAGTGATGGCATTATATACGAGTATATACACTCATATATATACATGTACACATATATATATAATGTGTATATATATTTATATATATATATATATATTTATATATATATATATAATGTGTATATATATATATATATATATTATATATATATATATATATATATATATATATATATATATATATATATATATATATATATATATATATATATATATATATATATATATATATATATGTAAATGAGTAAGAGAGGATACAATATATTGCAATACTAATAGACAATATTTGCACTTGTTTAGACTGGTCTTAATTGAAAAACTCTTCTGCGACACACCCGGTGTAACCATGAGTTGTTCCGTCTGAGCTGCTGCCAGCTAGCAGTTGGACTTTTAATTGCACCACACAAAAGAATAAGTAAAGGTTTGCATGCAAAACTGCAATAAAAAATTCTATACACTGCTTTTATACATTGGTTCAATATCTGAACACAAATGTTTGCGATAATTCTTATTTAGATGATGGTTATCGGGTAGAACAGTGATTTTTATATCCGATATCGGCCTACGTTTTCACATCGGTGCATCCCTGATTTAAACAAAATTAAAGTGTGTCAAAAAACACATGTAAAGAGAACAGTTAACACAGAAAAGATCATATGTAGCTCATTTATAACTATATATGTATCTATCTAGACATGAATACTTGTAGCTGTAGTTGGTGTCACTGGACTTGCCAATCGTTTGCTTTGGTGCCTGAGAGTGGCGCGGTTGTTCCCAGGATCGACCACAATGCTGCACCAGACCCGGGGGCCGAACTGACACCCACAGTGCGCCAGCCGCCAGTGGGAGGTGTACGTTCCCTCCATCACAGGTGCAACAAAGGCCACACTGACCACTCCCACTTGTCCAGGAAGCAGCAGGGGCACCGGCACCTCCCTCCTCTCCTCTGACGCCAGGCTGAGGTTCCCCCACATGAACACTAGCTGTGTGCACGCACACATACACAAAACACAAAATAGGAATACACATGCGAAAAAGGCACAAAGACAGAGAGCATGCAACCAGGATCACACAACTGGAAAAAATAAATAAATCGAGTGAGGAGGCCACACTCATGTGTCCACCCAGACAATGACAAAGACTTTGAAACTCAAATAACAGAACTGGTTTAACTGAATTCAGTCACAAAGATATCTGACACAAAGGGCATTAGAAGTATAAGGTTGGAAACGCAATCTTAGCTGTTAGTGGATAAGAAAAGGAAATAAGTTGGTTGGAGACTGAGTGGAGGTAAAGCGGGGGGGTGGGGTGGGGGGGATAGAGTGGAGCCTGGCCTCTCGATGAGTGGGAGGGGTACCTTGGTCTCTGAGGTCCAGCTGATTGTGCCCGAGTTCTTCATCTTCCAGTATTTGATGAACTTGGTACCAGGCTCCAGACGGGTGCCATCAGGCAGATTTTCATCCAGAAACAAGGCAGCCATAGTGGGCACCAAGGACGAGTGCGAGACCCCGGGACCCCTAGTTTCAAGTGTACAGAGCATTGTTGAAAAAAAGCCCTGGCTTCTTATTACACGCATCTCTTTTGTTTCTCTATGAATAAAAAAAAGCAGGACCCCCAGATTTTTCTTTTTTTTTTTGCAGCTCAAAAGAATTTTTTCATTTTTTGTTTTTAAAGAAAATCTATGCAGCAGCAGCAGTTTTCACATTGAGGTAGTTCCAAAATTTGCCACCACCCCAGAGCAGCCAGCGATACTCATACAAACTAGATTACAAAGATTCTGATTAGTTTTCTTGGGGAAAAAAAAACTTTGCATCCATGCTGGGTTAGAAGTACCCAGCACTGTCGGACGCCCTTCCAAGGTGGCGCTTACTCTGGACTGGAGGCCTGGGGGTCAGGGACCGGGGCTGAGATGGGACCTGGGACTGTGGAGGGCCCTGAGGCTGTTTCTGAGGCAGCAGCAGGTGACATGGCTGGGACCTGGATGGAGGCTGAGGCCATGTTTGTCAAGGTGGCTGTGCCTGAGGTAGAGGGTCCACTCCACTGCAGCCCCCTCTTCTCCAGTCTTAGCTTCTTCTTGATTTCCTTCACTTCTGCTCTCAGCTGCCTTCTTTCAGCTTTGAGGCGCTGTCGCTCGGCCTTGCGCACAGTCCTGTCTCCTCGCCTCGGGAACCTGGTTTGAAATGTCATCAGGAACACCTATTTGTTGACTATCAAAAGTTTATTTTTCAAAACAAAAACACAAAAAAAAACCCACATCCCCACTCAGTAATCTAGCTGCTAGAATAAATTGCAATCCTGCCTTGACTTGATTTATAATCATGTTTTTCTTTATTAGTGAAGATGTGACAACCAAAAGGCAACAACTTTAAATTACAACAAGAAGTAGACAGATGATCCTCAGTTTAAAGTTTACCTAAACTCTCCTGACATTCCATGCTCAGGAATGGAGAGAGGTGTCTTGGTTCTTACGAGGCTGTGACTGGGGTCGTGGCTGTGTCTGCACATCTCACAGAGGATGCAGGAAGGACACACACTGCCAGGAAAAGACAGAATGTATGAAAACATGATGCATGCTAATAAAAATCTACCCCTTATAATACAAAATGCTACATCATGTTGTTTTCTTGGAAGTCTTTCATGCCTACCTGCATTTATAAGCCCCTTCAGAGGTCAGTTTGTTGCAGGTGCTGCAGTTTGGGGTGTAGCCAAGCGATCCATTCGAAGCAGAGGGGCCCAATCCGGGTTCTACAAGACCTCCGCAAGCACCGCCAACCTCATGGAGTCCATCTGAGGATTTGTGGGTACAGCACTGCCCGGAGAAGTCGTTGCACATCTTCTCCACTACCTCCTTTACAACTTCATCCTTAAACTACCATAACAAAAGACTTGTTAGCTTTAGCAGAAGCTAAACACATTAACTCACAGGAACTGTTTTATTTAAAGAGCAAGTCACCCCCAAATAAACATTTTTTTGCTGATAAACTAAATAAACGAGTGTCTAATCGTGCTGCAGACACGTGTCGTCAATAATTTGGCACTTCAGCGCATCTTAGTTAAAATTTAAATGTTCTGCCTAAAACTGGCAGTGTTGTGCCGTTGTCAGGTAAAAACTCTGCACTGTATTTTAATTTAAATCTGCCACCGCTATTGGCTAAGAGGTATGCTACGATGTAAACTGGTACGTTATGATGTCACAATGCTGTCGTGAGCCTGTGTGTGTGTGTATTTGTTAGCAGCTCCGCCCTCTCGGTCTGCCAGGCAACAGCATTTGTTGCATTTTTCAAACATGAAGTGGGAGTGGAGTAAGACTCTGGTAGGGGTTGACTTGCTCTTTCAGTGTGCTCTAACCTTTTCCATGTACGACCTGAACCACATAGGAGGAGGCTCATCTTCGGGCCTGTTCCCTTTGTTGTCTTTTACCGCTACCTGTACATAAATACATCATACGTATGTCAATGAAACAACACGCCGAGACAGAAATTGCCAAGACGATTTGTCCTACTTAGAAGTAAAAATACTATTAAATAAAATTTAAAAATTGCACACAAAGCAACAAATAACTAAAATGTGTTGTTTCCTTACAGTTTCACGCTCTGGGGTGACTTGAGTGCCTTTTTCCACAGTTTTGACTCTTGATGGGTAAGGGGGAGCAGGGCGGAGGTCTCCTTTAAGCTCCTTCACTTCTGTCTTCAGAGGACCTCCACAGGCCTGTCCTTTCATCTTATACACGTTCATGTGTAACTGGTTCCCCTGCTTCTCTGCGCTCTGTGGAAATGCAATAACATCACATAAAAGTTATAAAAGGAAAAACACACAAGAGAGGAACGTGTTGTTTGGATTTGGCTACATCTCGATAAGCATGCTCCTTTGTCTTTTGGTTCATTAATGACAAATTAATTGCATGGCAACCAACTAAATGACACTAGGGTCACCTTACCTTGATGGCTTCTTCATATTCATCTGAAAAGCAAACAAAAACAAATGAAAACCTACATATTCTGTAGGACATGCCAAAATAATCCCAAACTATGTTTTCTTACCTTGACTGTTTATGCAAATCTGAAGCAAGAAGATAAATAAAATCATGATTAATTAATTATGTCATCTTTTTAAATGCAAAACTTTCGCCACTGGCCCATTTTGTCTTATCATTGCCGTTTCCATTTCTTACATTCAAAAATAAATTGCTTTATAAATGTCACAATCTTTTTTGGACAGCTATGGTCACAAGTTTCTTTACGAATTGAGACTGACAAAGCACAACTGATTAGGTAAACACTGCTGATTGATTTGAGTGAATAATTGGCATTCAAAGCTCTTCTGTCAGAATTAGTTTTCAAACTATTTTATAAACAAACTTAAACCCAATTAAAACACATTGTTTTAAGTTAAGAAACGAGTAATAGCAATCTAATAAGATATAAAAGAATTGTTAATTATTTGAAAATTAAAACACATTTTAAATAAATATTTGTAACAATTTATTTAAAAATAAAGTCTAATACTTCCTGACTAGTGGTCATACTGTATTTTAAAAGCATCTCACCTCTTCATTATCTTCATCAAAGTATTTGACTTGAAAGTAGTTGATCCCAAACGATGCTTTGATCTGAAATATAATGTCGAAGAGTTCAGGTCAGATTTACCTATATGGTATTAAATCGATCATTCATCCGACGGACTGTGACATCAATAATAGAAGGCCTTCACAGGAAAAAAAATACATCGAAAATAGAAATATATGTGTAAAAATAAACGTAGAAGCCCAAACTAAACGTATTATTTCCCGCAGCTCTTGGAAAAATCGGGTATTTCCGCATATCCCGTTGACAGTATCGATTGTCCTTCAGGTGCGCTGCTGCTCGCGCATCTAGGCCGTGTCTGGGCCTGCTTTTCACCAAACTGCGCCAGCTTTTAGCCAGCAGCCGCTTACCCAGGCTTCGACGGACTCCCACTCCAATTTGTCCAAATCCTGAGCCAAAAACCTCTTTACATTCCCGCGGAAGTTGACCTTGATAGTGACTGGGAGCCCCATGACAGCCTTCTACGCTTTTTTAACTGAAACCATTTGCGACGATAGCGGCCAGTATGATCCCTGTTTAGCTCTAGACTGCCGTTTCTTGTTTACATCGTCAGCTGCGTCGAGAAAATAACAGTGGCGTCTCGCGCAGGCGCACTCGAGCATCTGTCGCGTGCTGTTGTCGTCATTTGTAAGCTGACGTGAGTGTGGCTGAAAAGCAAGGAGCCACACGTTTACTGCATATGCCGGTGGGACAATCTTTACTTACGTATTTGATCACGGAAGATGTCTTCACTCCTCAAGGTGGACAATGAAATCAAAACCAAGGTGAGACTAGCGCGAGCGAAAGCTCCAGTGAAGGCTTTACTAAATGTTATTGTTGATTGGTAGCATGTTAGCCACATTTGTAGCATGATATGCGCCAGTTTGCTAACAATTAACGATTGCTAACGTGCTTGTTTCCCGCCTGCTACCATACGTCTGGGAAACATTTTAGGCAGGTGCTGGAAGAGATAGATGATACGTTTTTCTGATGGACGATGTGAGGTTCCATTTTAATTTTCTCACTAGAAACCAAATATTGCACCGCTAGACCCACATGCGCCGAAGGCCTTAGCTACCACTGGGCTAACTCAACGTTTAACAGACCAATCGAAGTTCTTGTTAAACCTTGATTAAATCTAAACATCAGAATTCATTGGATACTTTGCTTCGAATTGCACGTAACTCGCTTTTTTTAAGTCCAGGTTGGAAACGAGTATTCTTGTCTAATCTTATCTTATATATCTTATTTTATATACAATTTTTAAAAATGTTTATTTTTTTCTGTTAGACACCTGTACTCCAAGTTCTAACAAACCAAGAGTAGACTTTTCTTTATATGTAAAATAAACTGCTTTTCCATATATATATATATGTGTATGTATGTATATATATGTATGTACAATATATATATATATATATATATATATATATATAGTGATACATTTAATTTAGCTTTTTTCATTTAAAGTGTCATATGATTTAGTCTACTTGTCAATTCTGCCACCTGCTGACATCAATCTGTACTTTCATTCTTAAAATGTCATCTATGTCTAATGTTTCCCACCTCAATTAGTAATTGTAATGTTAAATGTGATTTCAGTATTGGCCACAATCACCCACTGCCCAATAATCCAGCTACCCTAATACACAACAATACACAACATAGGTCATTTTGGTAACATATTGTGACGTTGACACTGAGTTCTTTTATCTTTCCACTGTCAGTGTCTGCTACACCCTCCGTCTGTCACTTTCGAGTTTTATCAGCTCTGCTTTAGCAGTTCAAATGTTAAAAAAAACTATTTCACATCAGTTTCGTGGGCTCTGTATTTGATTAAAAAAATGGAATGACTTCTGCATCATTTACTGCATTGACGAAACCAAAACACAATCTTAATTTCTTCTGAAATGTAATTTTTTACTCAGTTTATCAAAAAAGGAACATTTTTTTATGCAACAGAATATAAATGGCGATTTCCTCGTGTGTGTGTGTGTGTGTGTGTGTGTGTGTGTCATTTGAAAATGTGAGACAAACCTTTATCGTGTAACACCACAACAACCTCTGTCAGTGTGCCCCAGGGCAGCTGTGGCTACATAGTAGCTCATTACCGTCAGTGTTTGAATGGATGAATGATACACTGTAGTGTAAAGCGCTTTGGAGTCCTTACTATGAAAGGCACTATACAAGTGCGGGTCATTTATCATTTACAACAGAGTTCTCACATGTCAGTAGTTGAGAAAGTTCAGAACTTTAAAAGGGCCCGTGAGAGCTGCAATATGTTTTAAAAGGTTTTATTAATTGGTCCTTAATAGCTAAACATAGTGCTCAACTAATACATTCTATTCTATTTGATCGTTTAATCTCACACATAACTTGTGAGTTTTAATTTAACCAACTGTCAAATGTTTGTTTTTTAACTGTACGTTTTTTCAGTTTGTCATTTTTGTGTTTGCAGGTTGATGCTTTCAGGGAGCGAATCTCAGCAGAAGTAAGTGGGAAAACTTGTTTATTTGTGGGGAGAGTTTGACCGACTCATCTTGAGGGGTTGGTTGTAGAACATCTGCAAAAAAATGTACATTTGTTTTTTCCAGGCGGAGGATCTAGTAGCAAATTTTTTTCCAAAGAAGTTGCTGGAACTTGATCACTTTCTCAAGGTAAACTGGTAGTTTTTACTTGTTAAAGAGCAAGTCATCTCGACCAGATTCTTACTCAACTCCCACTTTCTGTTTGGAAAATGCAAAAAATGCTGTTGCCTAGCAGACCGAGAGGGCGGAGCCACTAACAAATACACACACTCACGACATTGTGACATCATAATGTACCATCTAACATCATAGTGTACCTCTTAGCCAATAGCGATGGCAGATTTAAATTCAAATTCAGTGCTGAGTTTTTACCTGACGACGGTGCATCACTGACAGTTTTAGGCTGAATATTAAAATTTTAACCAAGATGAACTAAAATGCCGAATTATCGACTACACGTGTCTACAGCACGATCAGACACTCATTTATGTAGTTTATCAGAAAAAAATATGTTAATTTGGAGTGACTTGCTCTTTAACAAACATTTCATTTCATGAGTTGATTTTGTAACAAAACTGCCAAAAGGCTGCACATTATGTTCCAGACACTGAATTCTATAATGGAAAACAAATCTGGTCTTTACCTTTCAGGATCCCTGCATAAACATCACCGAGCTGAAGGAGATCCACTCAGAGATTAACCTGACGGTGCCAGACCCCATCTTGCTTTCAAACCTTAATGACGGATTGGAAGGGGTGAGCTTTACTTTCCACACTAGTTACAGATAAAAAAAATAAATAAGCTGAACATCTAATCTTGCTGGATTTGTTTCACAGCAAAATGCCAAAAAGAGAAAGCTTGAGGATGGAAGTCGTGAAGACATTGGTCAGTACTGTGTGAATGGTCAGATGCTCATCTTTCTGGATGTTATGTCTGAGGCCTAACAGTTATTTAATTATCTTCCAGTGACGGGCACAAAGGTCTTCGTCATGCCTGGTGGGATGATGAAGTGCAACACAAACCTTGTGGAGCTTATTGAAAAGGTCAAGCCAGAGATCAGGACACTCATAGAGAAATGTAACACAGTAAGTCATCCGTGTCTGTCTCTTTCAATGTGTGTCCTTAAATGTCAACCTTACTGGAAAAACATTTTTTAATGATAATTCTTATTATAATTGGTCACTCTGAGATTTTTATGCAGGCGAAACATGAAAATGGTCTCCTACACCTATCTCCTGCATTAGCTTCTGATAGAAAATAGACGGTGAAACTCTAGGATTAGAAAATCCTGACAGATCTACGTCACCCTGTCACTTAACATTCATGGACTCACGACGGGGAAGGCTGTTGTTTTAGAGTCCAGGAAAGGGCAGAGAATGGCTTCGCTAGTAGAAGCTAACTGTTAGCATTAGTAACTCCACCACATTCCAGAACTCCTCCAGGCTTGTGTTATTTGTGGAGATGAAACATCAGTGTTGCTAAACAGAGTCACTGGTAGAATCGCATTGCTGTTAGCCAAAGAGATACGAGATGTCCAAGTATTAGGAAAAAAGACTCCAAATCCTGCTGTGTTCAGCTCCGCTTTGATCTGGCTCACTTCTAGATCCTGAAACAGGCACACTGGAGCTTTATTTTCTTCAGAGCACAATTTACAAGGCATTCCTGCCTACTAGAGACCACCGCAGATGTATTAAAATATGAGTTAAGTTGATCATTTGTATAAGTGTTGGTTTTACATCCTGACTAGCCACACCTCACGTATCACTGATGCTTTGTCACAAATTGTTTTTTTTTCCCCCGCAGGTTAAAATGTGGGTTCAGCTCCTCATCCCCAGGATAGAGGATGGCAACAACTTTGGCGTTTCAATCCAGGAGGAGACGGTAGCTGAACTCAGAACAGTCGAAGGAGAGGCTGCGTCTTACCTCGATCAGATTTCAAGGTCTGCAGAGGCTCCAAACATATGGATTTATTTCTAAACAAAGCAAAATGGTGTTGTGTATTTTTACAGTGTCCAAACGTTGTTTGATTCCTCTTTTAATCCTAGATACTACATCACAAGGGCAAAGCTGGTTTCTAAAATAGCCAAATATCCACATGTGGTAAGTAGTTATCTTAGAATGGATTCAGTTTTATTCCAAGTATTGGAAATAGAATTAATGCTAGAATGTTTAAATGTCCTAAACATTTCTCACATCATTTACGTGATTTTGGGTCCATGTCTGACTGTCGTTGAAGGCTTGATGTGATTTAAGCATTTTTTAGTCAAACTGCTGCGCCTTTCCTAACAACGTGGTTCAAATTAGTTATGTGCCTTTGGACCACCTATAAGGTAGTTAATGTATTAAATATGTTTACCTCAGTGGTGTTGTGTGTTGCTGAAGTAAGTGCAACTCATAAAGGTTATTTTTGTGTGAAATTATTATCGTTATTAATTAAACCCTTTAGATAGCTTTCAGAACAATCTTATTGCTAAACAGGCTATATGACTAATAAGGTGCATGCCAATAGTCCTAAAACTACTCATGTTACAGCAGTTCATGCAAATGTCTTCTTCGTCTTCGTCTTCCTCCGCTTATCCGGGTCCGGGTCGCGGGGGCAGCATCCCAACTAGGGAGCTCCAGGCCGTCCTCTCCCCGGCCTTGTCCACCAGCTCCTCCGGCAGGACCCCAAGGCGTTCCCGGACCAGATTGGAGATGTAACCTCTCCAACGTGTCCTGGGTCGACCCGGGGGCCTTCTGCCGGCAGGACATGCCCGAAACACCTCCCCGGGGAGGCGTCCAGGAGGCATCCTGACCAGATGCCCAAACCACCTCAACTGGCTCCTTTCGATCCGGAGGAGCAGCGGTTCTACTCCGAGTCCCTCCCGAATGTCCGAGCTCCTCACCCTATCTCTAAGGCTGAGCCCGGCCACCCTACGGAGGAAACTCATTTCGGCCGCTTGTATCCGCGATCTCGTTCTTTCGGTCATTACCCAAAGCTCATGACCATAGGTGAGGATTGGGACGTAGATCGACCGGTAAATCGAGAGCCTGGCTTTCTGGCTCAGCTCCCTCTTCCCCACGACAGATCGGCTCAGCGTCCGCATCACTGCAGACGCCGAACCAATCCGCCTGTCGATCTCCCGATCCCTCCTACCCTCACTCGTGAACAAGACCCCGAGATACTTAAACTCCTCCACTTGAGGTAGGACCTCTCCCCCGACCCGGAGGTGGCAAGCCACCCTTTTCCGGTCGAGAACCATGGTCTCAGATTTGGAGGTGCTGATCCTCATCCCATGCAAATGTTATTTTACTAATTCCCACACTGTCATCTGTTTTGGGCTACTTTGTTATTTTGGCATTAATTAAAAAATACCCGCCAGACCCAACCCCGTGTGCGCTGGAAGTGCTACATTTAATGCTGATTTAACAGCAATGTTTATAAATGATGTGAAAATTACAAGATTGAGAATAACCTGAAAGTCTGCTTATCTTGTTCCAAGATGCTTACGTGTGTGCAACATGTTTTCTTTCCAAGCTGTTTTCGGGATGAATGAAAAATTTGGCTATTTATACTTTTCATATTTACATATCAAGATTTCTGACCATTATCTATCTTTCATTGTGTTTACAAACCGTTTTTCTCCTTGTAATCAGGAGGACTATCGGCGCACGGTAACAGAAATTGACGAGAAGGAGTACATCAGTCTGAAGATCATAGTTTCGGAGCTCAGAAACCAATATGTGCGTTGTCGTCAATAACAGTCTAGTCATCGTGTATCTTTGTTGTCCTTAAACCTGCTTTTTCTCTCATGAAGGTAACGTTACACGACATGATACTGAAGAACATTGAGAAGATCAAGAGGCCTCGAAGCAGTAATACTGATGCATTGTACTGATGTCGGTCTCTCCTTCCCTGTCGTCTCCCTGCTCTTACATGCTGGCAGCAGCCTCACCCCCATCTGCAGGAAAACTAGACATTCACACACTTCAACACACTTCAACACACTTCAACACAGTCGACTCAGCCCAGTATGAAAACATAGCTTCATAGATGGACACCTTTTTGTTTTAATTGTAAATGTGTTTTTGTTTTAATTCCTTCAAAAACGTTAAAGTTCTCTCAGAAAATGGGACAGTAAACTATAGGCAACATAAAGCACGATGTATTTTTTAATTTTAATTAAACATCTTGTCTCCAGATCCTTTGTGACATTTCTTCTTTTGTAGCTGATATTTTGTGGAATATGAATTGGTCTCATTGAACCTTTTCTGGATCTGGATGATGCTGGTAAGTTTGACATGAAATTACCAGTAAACAAAAACCTGTTGTTCTCTGAATGTTGTACATTATTACATTGTGTAGGTGTCAGGTCAGACGTTTTAGATTTGTGGGCTTAACGGTTTTCAGTGAAAATGCATAAGTCAGCATTGGTTCTATTGAATAAAACCATTTTTGATACAACGGTTTTTATCTGTTGCTTACCAGACAGACATCTGATCATAGGATGACAAGTAGTTATAATAAATTATTTTTACTAATTATACAGCCACCTATCAGAGGGTTATAGCTCCGCCTCTTCCTGGACTACATCACATTTGTAAAACTAACCTTTATCTTTCATTTTTTTCTACAAGAATATGGTTCACACAGTCATGTTTTCCCCCCACAAACACGGGATGTTTGAATGCCTTTAGTTGTGTGTGAGTGAGGGAGAAATTGGTGTCTCCTAAAATCTTGTGCCAAGTTTTCTGAAGTTTGAGATAGATTTCATGTCAACTCTCCCCCCTTCTAGCTGATATTAAAACTACATTTTATGAGTTTAACCCTTGTGTTAGAAAGCTGTTCACACCGGTGGTGTTAGTGGGTCCATTTGGACCCATGATTTAAAAATGCTTGAAACTGCTTAAAATCACCAGTTTTCTTCAAATGTTGTTTTTCAGCTAATTGCTGGTTTAGTATGTATTCATATGAATGGAAACTGTGAATTGTTTTAGTTGGCTCCACAGACACCATATTTTAAAATATACCACTCGTTTTTGATTGCAAAAACTTTAAATTCACTAAATATATTTCTTTTTCTTATAGAATGAGTAATAATAAACTAAAAATGTGCTATAAACTAATATTAAAGTACACCTACCAAAAAAAATTATTTTTTTACTGTTTAAAATTATTAACAATAGTGGCATCTTTGGTGTTTCGGGTCAAGGCGGACCCGCATAGATAAATGGTAGGATAAAGAACACAAGTCACATTTTTTTCTCCATAAAACCAACTTTTATTTAACCAGACCAATTAACCAAACAATTTAACCATAAAATGAACAATGATTAAAAAAAAAAAAAAACACTGTGTGTGTGGTTGTGTGCGTGTGCATGCACCTGCATTGACCATAAACCGAACATTGAAAATAATATGGTGTTAGCGCAGGAATGTTGTTCTGAATTAACCATAATCTAAACAATGGAAACAAACCATAATTTGAAGTGTGCTGGTGATGTGGGCCATAACTGATCCTCAGAGCAACCCATAGCTTTTAAGTGATCCATACAAACACCAGTTTTCTCTGCTGGGTCATTTTGGACCCGTAACACTACAGATGTAATGTTTTTTTTTTTTTTTGGAAACCTTTAGAATTTATTAAAATTGTGAAAAATGATTTGCTGCATTTAAATAGGTGTGTCTGAGGATTAGATGAAGCCTCATTCCAGGACAAAAAAGGAAAGGGTACTTTTTACACAGTTAAACTTGAAAACGGGTCAATTTGGACCCTAACACAACAGAAGGGTTAAATCAGAATCTAATACGAGAACCCTTTTTTTTTGTATTAAAAATCTTCAGATGAATCAATGGCAGACCTGTTAAAGCTGCTTAGCACAGACTCTAAAGAATGAGTTATGAGTAACAGGAGTGAAGTTTATATTTGATCAGTTGTGTCAAACATGTTGAATGTTTATTCTTAATCTCATTTAATCGGCATTGAATGGTATGTAGATGGCAATAGTTTTAGTTTTTCTATGTAACTCCAAGAAGAAAAGAAACAAGCCTGTGGAAAAGCTAACAACCACAACAGTGATTCGTTTAATCTAAATGTTCAGAAAATATGAGAAATAAACTCACATTATTTTCTAAACCACAGTGTGCATGAGCTGAGGTGACTGTATTAAATATACAATTGTGTGTATTTTGTTCTTTTCATTTTAATATCCTAACAGTTTTAACTATTGGGGCTGTACTTTTGTAGGAATGTGTCTTCTTTTAGTCATTAGACTCCACAGTAGCACCTCCTGTTTCTATCAGCACTTGTGCAATTCTCCAAACCTTTGACCATGACTGTAATTGGAAAAAAACTTCAAAATATGTTTGTATAAACTTCAAAAATGCCTCTTGGCTCAGCTATCAATCAGCGGAAACTTCACAGAAACACTGCTCTCTAAGTGGGCTTCCCAGCTGGAGCTGATGTTTGTTGTCTTCTCTCAACTGACTTGATAAGATAAGGTGTGTACATGGTAACCAAAAGGAGAAAAAAATGAGTCGACCGATTCAAATGCAACCAATATAAACAGTTACCCAATGTCCCGTTCACAGTTGTGATGTCTGTTCTTGGTAACCTCCTCTCAACCCTACATGCAACGCAGACATCATGTTCAGCAAAACATCGTATAGATAGAACTGATAAGCACAGGAAGTAACAAGATGAGATAACACTGAGATTAAGTGATCATAAAGAGAATCTTCCCTGCACATAAAGAATAAAAAAATCCTTCCCTTTCACTTGAACCTTATCAGAGAGATTTTCATAAGGTGTGGATATATTATGTGTGATGATGAAGAAATGAGTTAAACCACAGTAATAAAAGAACTCAAAAGGCCAATTGCATACAATAATATTATTTTGAATTATCTAACAAACTTTAATTGCTTGGCAACAGGAAAATGAGTTAAGAGCCTGCCTGGAAGGTTTGAGCCTCGTCTGTTGCAGTCCTTGTGTCCTTGGGCGAGACACTCAATCCGTCTTACTTGCTGGTGGTGTCCGGGAGGGGCCTCGCCTCTGTTGTGTGCTTCAGGGCAGCTATGGCTGCAGTACAGCTTATCACCACCAGCGTGTGAATGTGTGAATGATTGGTCGTGTTGTAAAGAACCTTGGGGGTTGTTTATGTTTATGTATTTAGCAGACGCTTTTGTCCAAAGCGACTTACAAGTGATAATCGGCATTTTGCCCTTGAGGCTAACAACAACAATAACAACAACAACATTGACATCAGTCATGGAGAGTAGGGAACAAGGAGTGGACAGTAGAGAGGGGGGACAGGTGCAGGGAGGGTGCTAGTTAAGAAGATGCTCTCTGAAGAGCAGAGTCTTCAGGAGTTTCTTGAAAATTGAAAAGGAAGCCGCAGTTCTGGTAGTGCTTGGAAGGTCATTCCACATTTGTGGAACGATGCATGAGAAGAGTCTGGATTGTCCAGAGCGTGGTGTAGGCACTACTAGCCGACGATCCTGTGATGACCGGTGAGGCCGGGCCGAGACGTAAGCCTTTGCAAGAGGATTCAGGTAGATGGGAGCCATACCGTCTCGGACTTTGTATGCTAGTGTTAGCAGTTTGAATTTGATGCATGCTGCTAGCGGTAGCCAGTGGAGCTCAATTAACAGAGGGGTGACGTGTGCTCTTTTAGGCTGATTGAAGACTAGACCAGGTTGTAAAACCCAAGAAGGCGCTATATCAAAAACAGGCCATTTACCATTCCTACTGCATTACAGTTCTTTTTAACACAGCAGAAGTGTTATTTTTCCCTTGTTTTTGCTGACGTTTCGACTATCACTGCAGCCTTCCTCTGAGTTTTACCGCTATTGGCAGCGTCACTTCCTTCTCCGTTTGTCAGCGGGCAGCAGAGGACGACATGTCTCTGCAGCCCCATCTCCTTGCTGATGACACAGTCCCATGCATGATCCAGTGTGTAGACCTATATCGTACCTGTTCATGGTTGTGTCTACGCTTCCTTATTTTTATAGCTTTCCTAATTAGATTGATTAATTAATTATTTTTGTTGTTTGGTGTTTATGATCCATGTTTTGTGGTCCGTCATGGCTGATTTCTTTATTGTACTTTATTTTTCTTGTTTAGCTGCTCTTGTGTGTCTTCGACAGTGATAACCCTTCCACACATAAAACTGAAAAAATAATAGCAACAATGAAAAAACACAACATAAATATGCCAACAAAGCCATACATGATAGTTAGAAAGGGACCAGTCCACCCAAAGGACAAGACATCAGCAGGACATGAGTGTGGAGTCATTTATGAAATCCCATGCACACTCTGCAATAAAACCTACACAGGAGAAACTGGATGCCAACTCAACATACAAACAATAGAACAAAAGTGTGTGAGAAAGAAACAAGCCAAACAGACACAAGAGCAGCGAAGCAACTAGCAGAAAGTACAATAAAGAAATCAGCCGTAACAGAGCACTGCACAAGGAAAGACCAAATAATAATATAATCGATGACGCCCTCTGCTCCACTGATAAACAGAGGAAAAAGTGACGCCGCCAACAGCGGTAAAACTCTGAGGAGGCTACAGTGATAGTCGAAACATCAACAAAAACAAGGTAAAAATGTACACACGTACATGCAGTAAATGTATACACACATGTGTAAAACAGGCACATACAATATTAGTTTGTTGAAGCAAAGCAATTACAGGTTAGCATCACATGCTCATAGACAGAGTTTCTAAATGAGCAAAATAAGCTATTGTAATTAACATTGAGAGAATGAAGACGTGCAACCAGGGAGTTTTGATAACTTATGTCAACATAATCTAAAATTGGAAGCATGAGCTGCATTACAATGCACTTGGTAATGCACGAATATCTTCCATGAACCAGAGACCCATGATGCCAGATGAAACGAGTTAGCATTAAACATCAGTCCCCATGTTTTCTAGGTCCAAATATCTTTTGTTGTCCGTGACTTCAAATGGTGTTTTTCTTTTTGGGACTCTGGTAGTTTGTCCTAAAGTTGAAGTGGTAGCAGCCGACTGTTTCTCCTTCTATGATGTGACTGAGTAGAGAACCTCTCTCACCAGTGGTGTTTTGTTGCTAAATACGTGAGTGTGTAATGAGTGGAGGACCCTGGGATGTGTGTGCTGCGGTTCGGTGAGGCAGACAACCCAATGGTCCAATGTTACTTTTGATTTGTAAAGTGTTATTGGTGGAGCTTTTTAGACAAATGTGAGAGAAGCTGTTTATTATTGTTGTATTTTAATCTCTGCATTATTTTCATACTACGTCAGAATGTTGTTAAAAGGCATGAAAAAATGTTTTTGTTTTCCAAGTTTGCCATTGCAGTGCTAATAAAATGATACGCAATAATTCAAAATATTAAAGTCAAGAAACAAAATTATGAGCAGGTTAGTTTGGGTTTTCTCTGATTGGTGTGTGTGTGTGTGTGTGTGTGTGTGTGTGTGTGTGTGTGTGTGTGTGTGTGTGTGTGTGTGTGCACAGCCTTTCATGTAATGATTAATAATTGATCGACTACCTCAGGAGTGCAAACTGTGTGCACAAACTCTGTGGAAGATTACCAGTGTCAGCTGTTTGTTCCACATTTGCTTTAAAACATAAACTTGAACACGGCTCAATGAAGAGAAAAAAATACCATTCAAGTACACTCAAGCACTCATATAATTAGTAATTAACAAGTACTTAAGTATTATAATGTCCTGTAAAAATAATAATTTTTATGTTTCAAATGGTCTTAATGAGGCATACATTCATGGTGTTTGAGTTGGGTTGGGTTTGTGTTTGAATTAACTGTTGTTTATGATTTCCCATTTTATTTTTTGTATTTAGATTCACATTGTCCAGTCTCCAAGTGTGGGGTAAACATGAGAAGAGTATCATGATTCCAGGCCTCTCTGCACTCACCTAATCACCCAGCCATGCTCACCTGGGACTGCTTCATTATTTCCACTCGTGTTAACCATGCAGCCACAACTCAGAGCCAGGTCATTCACATGCCTCATGCAGCCCAGACACAGGGCCTACTCTACTGTTCTCCAGTCCAATTCAATCCAGTCAAGCTGAGTCAAGACAAGTTTCATCACACCAATCCTTTTATTATTCCTGTTTTACTAGTTTAGTAAATAAACTTTAATTATTTGTTCCTATTCTGGGTGTTGCCTGTTCATTGTCTTATTGAGGAAGTAAATAAAATGTTTTTGTTTTGATTAATTATAAAAGACATCTTGGTTTATGGCCTGCCAGTACAAAACTTTATTTCATTTCCACAAGTGTTAAGATACATGTATTTTAGTGTATACTCATGAGTATAATCATAACAGTCTAATTTTTAGCTGCAGATTGCTTAAAGGTGCAATGTGTAAAAATGGGGTAATAGTGACATCCTGTGGTCAAATTTGGTTACTGCAACCATTCGCTGTTTCCAGTTGTCGGTTATGGATGGGAAAATAAAATATAAATATGTTTCAACAGTTATTAAATACTATCTGTGTTTTCACAATTATGAACTTATTAAAAAGACATAGTGGATAAAAAATAGGGCAATATTACGATCACAAACCTAAAAATGCATATACAATCAGTATTTATTCACATCAGAACAGAATTATACAATCAATACACAAGGAATCATTTCACTCAGAGAATCACAACAAATATGAAACACTTACTGAAATTGTAAAATCAACCGTGCACGAAAAAAAGGATGAAAAATCTGAAATAAATGAGAGAAAATGTGAACATCCATATTCCAGGTAAAAGGTATGTGGGAGTGGCCTGTGTCCCTCTGCTGATCTCAGTACAGTGAATCCAAAGCTGCGTCAACATGTCTGTTCTGAACAATGTGGGCTACTGAGTCTGGAGCGTTGAGGAACACACGTGTTGTCTGCATTGCTTTCTGTCCCTTGACCCTCGGGTTTCTTTAAGGAGCGTGGCCATGCTGAAAGGCAGCGTCACTATGCGGGACTGCTGAGTGAAGGGAGCATGTTCTGGTTAATGTTTAATAGTTGTTCCAATCAGGGGTTTATTCACTGTTAGTCTGAAATGCTCTGAGAAAACAACCTGGGCAGTCCTCTCTAAAAAAAGCTCAACTCTTAGGTTGATGGTTGTAATGGTGTTTTATTTACTGAAAAAACAGACACAATGACATTTTATATAAAATAAATGATTACAATACTCTTTCAGTTATTGTAAATGTTTCCATAAAAGCATCTAAATCATGTTTTTGTTAAATTTGTACAAAAAAAAATGTAAATAATGTTCACCTAACAGAAACTTTCAGGAGTTTAAATCTAAACTACTGACCTAGTAGATAAGAGTCTAGAATAGAGAAAGCATACAAAAAGAAACGAATTACTGTTTTCTTCATCTGTGAACAAATTAAACAAATGCTTTATAATATTTGAAACGGATACTTTCACAGATGTTAGCGGGTGGCTAATTACTACCATTAGAACCTGATTTCTTCTACAAATGGATGCCAGCTTGAACTAACAGCTTTTAGAAGAAAGTTACTTAATTATCCTTGTGTGGTTAATCTTTTTGTTATTTTGTGAATTCTACAGTCACATTTTTATTTTTATTTTCCTGGTTCTCATCACAAGCTTATTAGCTCAAGCTAACATCTTGCTACAAATAGTAGCTTCAACTTTAGGTAAAGAGGTGATTTCCCAGGACTTTACAACACTATGACTTAAGTCAAATTCTGCTTAAACTCAAACTTTTCAAGCCCAGAATTAATAGTATTTAACCTCAGCTGCTTGTCTTGTTTTTGTACCATAGCTGTAGTATAGCACCCTATGGGATTTCTGCACTTTGTATAATTTGTCACACATGCTTATAGTGGTTCACTTCCTAGTAGTAAAACCTGAGTCAGACATAAATTATTTATGTAGACAGATGATTTATTCAGTGAGTTATGAAAGCAAGAGGCTAGATTCTGTGCTAAGTTCTGTTCAGTTATTTGGAAGTCAAAACAGATTTCTACTTTTTTTTTCTTGTATCATATTTTACTTGAGGTAGTCGTGTTTCACAGCCGTTTTCCAACCTTTCATTGTTTGTTCTTTAAAATGTAGAGTGCACACTGATTTATCACACTTTTGGTGGATTACTTTGGTCATTGTTAGAAGTTGGTTGCACTTATTTGTTGACCTTACAGTCAACAGGTAAACTTTACTCATATTTTTGAGACATTTGCAGTGGTCTCTTATAGGAATACATGCCTTGTAGGTCGTTCTCTGGGATAGAAAAGCTCCGGTGTGCCTGTCTGAGGATGTAAAATTCAGCTGGAGGAGAAAGCATGATTTGGAGTCTTATTTCCTGATATTTGAACATCTTGCATCTCATTGGCTAACAGCAACATGATTCTACCACTGATTCCATTTACTCTGCAACAAGGATGTTTTATCTCCACAAATAACAGAAGTCCGAAGGAGTTCTGCTATGTGGTGGAGTTGCTAATGCTAACTGTTAGCTTCTACTAGCAGAGACGTTCTCTGCTGTTTCCTGAACACTAAACCAACAACAGCCTTCCCTGTCATGAGTTATGATGGGTGAGTCCATGAATGTTAAGTGACAGTGTTTCCGTCTATTTTCTATCACAAGCAAATGTCGGAGATAGGTGTAGAAGACTATTTTCACGTTCAGCCTTCATGGCTATTTTCGAAATTAATAAGTAAAAAATTGTCAGTGAGCCTGCTCTAACCAACTCACCCACTTCATAGGATATCCTTGTTGATGCCAATTTGCTAGTTTATTGAATTTGGACCCACTTTTCTGACATCAGAAGAAACAATCCTATAATAAAAACAAACACAAAACATTTAAAGTGGTATTTGACTTTAAACATCACACGGTATCTCATGAGCTCTTTTCATCCCTCTTTTTGTTGCAAATCTTGCAAAGAGCCCAAGGAACCAGAGTGGTTGAGATCAAAAGAGCAACTGCACTCTTAGCAAAAGATAAAACATAGAAACTCATATGGTTTTCAGATGAAAAGGTCCATCCATCCAAGAGGTAAAGCAGGACCAAAGAGATGGCAATGCACCCTACTTTAAAAACTGCACTTGTGTTCTTGTCCGTGGTGCCATTGTAGAGAGGTAAGTGCAGGCCTAGTCCCAGGCCAAAAAGGCTGCCCATGTTGCGTAGGAGGCTCGCAAACGGTGTGCTGTCCAGGCGGACCCACTCTGATTTGATACACCATTTCTGGGCTTTGTCCAGAGTCCAGAGCAGGTCCACTCCCACAGTTTTAAGGAGGAGGTAGAAGCCAATTGCAAAGCAGGTCAAGAAAGATGTGACAATGAGGTACTGGCTCATGCTGGCACTGTAGATCCATTTCTTCTTGGAAACGGTCTCAGCGACAAGTACGCCTGAAATATAACATCAACTTTTAAGGAAATTCACAATCAGTTTGAATTTCTAATTCTACAAATGAACCAACCTGTTATGACTCCTGCAATAACCTGGTGGGGGAAATGAGCTGCCATGTAGACTCTGGACATGCAGACCACTAGGATCACCAGGACCATTAATAGCCACAGTCCAACCTGCAACAACCTGACACATTCAACATTAAACTTGAGCATATTCTTCATGGCTTTCAAGAACCAGCTCCAGGTATAAATGACGATTTTACCCAAAACTCACTTGTATAGTGGAGGGGGGCATTGTTTTTGTTTTGCAATGGAAAGAAGCGCAGTTACCATCACATACCAGACACCAGCTGCACCCATTGCATGACCTGAAGGACTTCCTACAAGGAGATGAAGACTTCGTCTGAGTCTAGTTAAAGCTGTTGATTAATGAACTCTAGAAACATGAAAAACTTTTCAGATTTTCACTAAATGAAATCAAAATTTAAATAATTTATCTCACTTATGGTAAGTGTCTGGACATGTATTTCATAGGAACTGTACATTATTTGAGAATTTTACTGCTTATTTTCTGATTTTCAAAATAAGTGTTTTAACTGTTCACATTAAAAAGACCTTCATAAATAGTATATCATTTATTTTCAACAACAGTTCAAACACATTGTGCAGGCCCCTCCCCTCCCTCTCTGCTGTGCTATAGCTCATTCCCTGAAGCTGATGGTAAATTCAGATTTTTTGCATTGAAGACACCAGAAACTTGCTTATTTCGTGTAACGCTGTCCGTTTACATTATTTTTGACATTTACATTGATTTAAAAAAAAAAACATTTATTGTTCCGGTTTCAGTGGAAGCACACACACTATGAACACATGAACACTGTTGCAATCACTGAAGCGACAATCAAAACACTTCAGATGGACTTTATAACTCATTCATAACATGTAAAAATACTCATTCATAGAAGGCTAAACAGTACAGTCTCTGTCAATGATGCTATTACATATTAACCAGACTAACAGTTGATGATAAACCTCATCAATCACTAGTCAGTTCTTAAGGAAAAGACATCATGTGATCTAAGACTGTTCCATGAACCCACCTGGTCCCGTCTCACACGTCATGGGAAACTGCTGCAGCGGCGGGGCCTCTGCTGCTCCGTAAAACTGGGTCTCATGAACCCACCAGTAAGGCCTCTCCCCTGAAAGAACCCTGGAAATAAAAAAAAAAGCAAAACCTGAGAAGTAAACCTGCTCGTTATCTCCCCTTTTCTTATCTACTGGAAAGTTTCACCTCATCACCATTTCAGCACTAGGTTGAGCCAATCTCCAATGACAGCCACCCAGATCAGTCGCAGTGCCGTGTCCCTTCGTGTGTGGAACCAGAATGGGAACAGGTAGAAGAACGTGGTGTGCAGATCGGCCACTGTAGATGCCAGGTTGAATAAGCCCTCATACCTGCTGTATGTGGTCTGCAGATGAAGCGCTAGGTCAACCCCCCAACTGTGGAGAAGATCCATGATGCCAGAGCTCAGTCTGAGCAGGACAGGTGGAATCAAAGGTGTTTTGAGGGGGATGTTTTTCTGCAAAGCTCTCTGAAACAGTCCAATCTGCTTTTTCTCTGTGGTTCCGTTGGACTTTACTCAAGGCTAGCAAATTTGTTTGCCTTCAGGATAGTACAGATGAGTTCTTAACCTTTACACCTCTGAGGCCCTGTCTGCTGAAACCCGTCAATACAGAAAGCAGCAGCCGTCCCTGTGACAAATCCATATTAACAGGAAATCTTCCATTCTCTTAAAGTAAAATCATGGAGCTTTCTTTTTAAACCCAAACCTCCTGACTGTAGCTTAAACCTTAATGAGTTTGCTGCACACGCACCAACCACAATAGGTTTAATCTCCTCTATTCTCTGCAGATTTCCATCATTTCTCCTGACTTCCTTGCCTGACCTACATGTCAGTTTTCCAGATTTTACCACCTCCTATCTCCTCAGGTCCTGCTCAGCTCCAAAGATAATCATTTAATCTTTGTTCTCCTTATGTAATCTGCAAACTGCTGGCTCTATTACAGAGGGATGCATTCACTAAACCCATCAAAAGAATAATTGCATAACTTATAAATTACTAGTCGATGGCAGCATGGGAAAAAAATGGGAACAAGATCTCCTTGTCAGCTTTGATCAATAAAAATGTGAAATATTTTGGAGTGAGCTCTGAGTTCTGACCTGGAGGAAATCCCCCCCCCCCCCCCCCCCCCCACACACACACACACGCACATTTATCTTTTCACCTTGTTTGTGCGACAAAACCTCCCAAACTGCGGGTGTTTTATTACACATGTCAGGTCCAAAGATCAGAGTGAGCATGCGTTCGAGTAGTGGGTCCCCCGGTATAAAACCAACCAGCTGTGTCACCGGCAGCAGCAGTTCTTTTTTTAACCTCCTCTCTCACACATCATCAGACGGAGCGTTTGTTTGACCTCTTCAGACTTAAGATGATCGACGCTGTGATGGACGCCGTGCAGGGCTTTGGGGTGAGCAGCACCCGCTACCTGCAGACTAACTATAAGGATGCTCAGGGCTTGTTTCTCTGGGTCTCCTGGGCGGCGGACCTCAGGAACACCTTCTTCATCTTCTTCCCACTTTGGTTCCACCTGCGGCCCTCAGTGGGCATCAAACTCATCTGGGTGGCTGTGATTGGAGACTGGCTGAACCTGGTGTTTAAATGGTGAGCTGAACATGTCTTTAACTGAAACCAAATCTCTCTCAGGTGATTTTTGTTGGATCACAGGTGAGTAACCGGAGTCTTTTACAGGATTCTGTTTGGGGAGAGGCCGTACTGGTGGGTCCATGAGACGGCTCATTACACAGATGCTGCTCGCCCTCACATCGACCAGTACCCAATGACCTGTGAGACCGGACCAGGTGAGGGATGCCACCACACATGCTAGCATTAACCAAAATTAGCTCAAATCTAAATGCTAATCCAAACAAAACAAAATAGCTGTCTCAAATTTAAACCTCCTGACTTAAGTTAGCCCTCATAGTTAATGCATCATGTCAATTTAATGACATTTTAAAAGTCATTTGAACCCTGAATTAGAAGATTTTGGAATTTTCGTTATTTGTAGTGTTTACTGGCATCATATTTAATTAAAGTAGCAAAAATATAATAACCATAATGAAAATTGACAGAACAAAACATGCCAAGAGAAGGAATGTTAGTCTGATTTTGTGATTTTTATATTTTACTTATCGTTCCAACTCAGTTGTTCTGTGACATTCTTTAATAACGGTTTTGTATTTGGCATTCTTTTTTTAATTGCTTGAGTCTATTTTTACCTCTTTCTTCATTTTTTTGTTGTTGTTTGTTTTAGTAAGTTTTTACAGTGTCACATTCCATGATTTACATATGAAATCTGGATAACACTTTACAATAAGTGTCCCTTTATTAACATTGCTTAGTGCATTATTAAGCATCAGTAAACGATGAAATAAAGTCTTTACAACTGCTTAACCATATTGAGTAAAGCATTACTACGCAGACCCCACCCCTGGCCGTTTGTCTTAACCCTAATGACTCGTAGTAGTTAACAGTACTGGTACAGTTAATAAAGGGATTCTTTGTTTATTATTACTAACTGACTAACATTCAATCAAAAGTAAAAACATGTCATTCTAGTTCACAAGCTGTATTTATTTAGCATTGATTAAAAAATCCTGCAGCAGATATTTTATAATTTTTAAAATTATAATCAAACTATGCACTTTTTTGAGTTAAAGCTGAAGTTGATTAAATCAGACTTTTATGTGACTCTGTTCTGTAACCTAGGCAGCCCTTCTGGCCACGCTATGGGAGCTGCGGGGGTTTACTACACCCTGGTGACCTCCATCCTCACCATCCTGATCAGCAGCAACAAACCCTCCAACAGTAACTGGTGAGTCGGAAATCAAACCAGCCACCCAGAGTTTTAGTTTTTACTTCTGGATCTTTGCTGACATCAGCTCTGTTTACCACTCTCTTTTGCCCGGCGCTTATCACTCGGGACACGCTATCTGTTCTGTACTGAGGTTGATCATTGACTCCTGAGAAGTAGTTGTTGAATGGAGAGGTTATTTTGATATTCAGGCAGACGAATTACTCGTGATAAGTAAAAAAATATCAGTGATGATGGTTTTATTGAACTAAAAGGTGTGTGAGTGAGAGAATCTGGAGTGCTGAGTCTGTTTGGTTTTTCCCTGCCAGGTATCTGAAGACTCTGCTTTGGTCCCTGTTCTGGGGGGTCCAGGTGTGCGTCTGTCTATCCAGGGTCTTTATTGCAGCTCACTTCCCTCATCAGGTCATCGCTGGAGTTCTTACAGGTCAGTGTGGACTAATTTTGGGAGGTGGTTTAGGCTGTGGTGGATTTTCTAATCTTCTTTATTGTATCCAGGTATGATTGTGGCCGAGGTCTTCAACAGAACCAAGTGGATCTACGGTGCCAACATGAAGACCTACTTCTACATGACTCTCTTTTTAACCTCCTTTGCTGTTGGTTTCTACCTGCTGCTCAAAGCTCTGGGTGTGGACCTACTGTGGACCCTGGAGAAGGCTCAGAAATGGTGCATCAGACCTGAATGGGTCCACCTGGACACCACACCATTTGCCAGCCTGCTGCGTAACATGGGCACCCTATTTGGTCTGGGTCTGGGCCTGCACTCGCCGCTCTACACCGAGACCAAAAAGAGTAGCAGCCCATTGGTGCGGGCAGGATGCATCGCCAGCTCTCTGGTCCTGCTGCACCTGTTTGACTCCTTCAAGCCGCCCACTCACACCGCTGCCCTTTTCTACCTGCTGTCCTTCTGCAAGAGTGCCACTGTGCCTCTGGTCACTGTCAGCATCATCCCATACTGTGTTAACAGAGCTCTGAGCCTGCAGAACAAAAAGGGAGTGTGAGCAGCCTGTATGGACAGAAACATTCTAACTGCACAGACTCTTCCTTGTTTTGATGATAAAAACACTTTATTTTGGTGCTTAATGCATTTAGGAGACGGCCTGGCTCTTAAGAAAAGCCTTGAGGTGAACCAGAGACTGTCGGTTGTGTCATTTAGACACGGGACTCTGAACACTGAGTGAAACCACTGTCCAGGATGATTGTGACTTGAGTCAGAGATGACAACAATCGTTGTTCTGGAGGAACATGCACGAGTGTAAAAGTGACTGCTTGTGCCTGAGCTTTGATAGGTTATTTCAATTGTCAATTTAATGTATTTTTGGAAGTATTTTTGAAAAGCTTTGGAATATTTTTTAAATAAAACCTGTGAAAAAGCACCAATGTTGCAGCACCAGTTGTTGTTCGCCTTTAGTGTTTCATTCCCATAATGATCTTTGATTAAAGTATAAAAACTTTTCTCTTTAGGTAAAAGTTCTGCACGGATGCAGAGCAACATGTGGTGTTTGTGACAGGTAGTCCAGCAGAAAGAGAAACATAAAACAAGAAATACAATAAAAAAAAACTAAAACTTACTAATGAAAAAGACATAATTAAAAATATCATAAAGAAAATACAAAAATAACTAATAATGAAATCAGGGCTGGCAGACCACCCCGTAACCAGAGGGTTGCCAGGTCTGCACCGCACACGGTCTGTAGTCGTTGTAGTCCTTGGGCAAGACTCTTCACTCTCTTTGCCTGCGGGTGGTGGTGAAAGGGACCAGTGGTGCCTGTGCTGCCTCGTCTCTGTCAGTGTGTCTCACGGCTGCTGTGGCTACACTGCAGCTCATCACCACCAGTGTGTGAATGATTGACTGTAATGTAAATCACTGGAGTCATCTGACTCAGAAAAGCACTGTACAAGTGCAGGTCATGTTTCCTTAAAATAGAAAACAAATGATTTATAATAAGAAAATACTAGAATACTAGAAACCAACCAACAAACAAAAAACAAAAAAAAGTGGAGTGGATCCTGGAAGCTGCGAGACTGAAGACTGATGACCCCATGACAGATGAACTGGTGCAAATTGGCCTCAGAGGAGGAGTCGGACAAGATATGACTCAAATACTTTAATTAGAGAGGACAACATCCTTAATGCAGGAACCAGAGGTGCCCTCGTGGAGATGGGTCTGAGGTGGAGTTGAGCCTCAGATCCATGAGCTGGCTCTAGCCTAAATAAAGTTATGAGCTCATTCTCAGCATTAAAAACTGGCTTTTAGTGCATGGAATGTCACCATACTGGTGGGAAAAGAACCAGAGCTTGTGTGTGTGTTACGCCCCTCCTGTCTAGGAGGTCCAGGAGGGAGTAACACAATATATAAGAAGTGGTTCAGAAATAAAATAATAAAAAAAAAAACTAAAGAAGTTTTATTCTAAGTAAAATGATCCTACTAATATAAGGGGGTGGTTATTTACATAAATATAAACAAAGGGCACCTCTTTATTAACATAGGAGAGGGTCAATTTATAAACGCTAAGAGGAGAACAAAAGGAGTGACAAGACTATCAACTAAAATAGCAAAAAAATAGCTCTCAGGAGGTTTAAAACACAAGAGTCACCACCAAGTCCACACTAAAAGTCCTCTGGTTAAAGCAGAACGATAACACTGATCCTCAAGGCCCAAAACCTCTAAAGAGGACTGGGAACAAAACTGAGTCCAAAAACTACACAACTGTTTAGGTTCAGCATAAGAGCACACCAAAACCGAGTCTACAGTGCCTGGGAGAACCACAGACTAAGGCCCAATCTCAGTGCTTGCACTGCGCCCTGTAGTCTTCAGCAAAGTGCACTTGGAGAAAGTGTACTGTAAGGCTTCGAGTGCGTGATACACAAGTGTGCAAATAATTGCCGAATTGAGACGGTGAGCATTGCGTCATCGACCACAAAGCATGCCGGGATGCTGGTCGCTGTGATACTTTTTAAAAAAACCTTTATCAACAACTTTCAGACAAACAACCAAACAATTATTTGAAACACATTTACATTTATTGCTGCTTTGTCTAAAATATTCAGAGCATCAACTAATCACCCTAAAATGAACTAATTTCATTAGAAAACACATATTTACATAAACATAAACATATTTCAGAAAAAGAACATGAGCCGTTTCTCCCACAGCAATGGATTGTGGGTAATACAGTGAAGTGCGGATCAAGGGTGCAAAAGGGGAGTGATCAACTTCCGCACTTGAGAATTGGGACACCCTATGCACTCGCAACCCTGGTCGGGATTGTGCATTTGAAGGGCGCAAGGGTGGAAGAGCGTGTATTGAGACTGGGCCTAATTCAGAGTTCCCCTGCATGTTTGGAAAGCTCCTCCTGAAGAAGGCACCAGTGCTAATTGTAGATGAGCTGCAGCTGGTGCAGCCTAGAGCAGGCCTCTTCTCTCTATGGTGCAGGGAGAGTGCAGGAGGTGGGTGTGTCTTTGGCACTGAGGAGGCCAGAGCTCAGCTCCAGTGTTACCCAGAAAGAGAACCAGCTGGTAGATTTCGGACTATACAGGAAACCCCCAGCTAAGCACCTTTTGTTGGAATTCTATCATATAAAGCTGCAGGAAAGATCGTTTTCCACCCAACAGTAATTCAGTTTCTAGACATTCTTGGAGTCTGTGGATGGAGTTCTTGAAGGATTGGCAATGTAGAAATTCTACAATTCTGCTGAAAGACATCATTCAGGGGTAAAGTCACCTGGCTGGAGGGGTGTAATTAGGAGGCACAGCCTCTGTTCAGTGTTGTTCACGTTAACTCATTTATAGTTATCGCACTAATATTTGGGATTTGGATATTTCTCTGCTCTGGAAAATCCCATCTGACCTGCTCTAAACTGAAGCTTCTCATTTTAATCCTGTGAAAACACAAACATGAACACAAACAACCCCTCCAGAAGACATCATGTCCTATTTTGATTTTTGCTCAACATCAGATAAAGATGCCATTTTGGAACAATTTTAATCAGTACATGAGCACCGCAGTCTTGGCCTTTAGCTTCAGTTGCATCAACAACGTAGATTCACACGTCATACCTGTGTCTGCACACCAGTTAGTACAAATACGACTAGTGGAGGAAGCAGAACATTCAATATTTGCGTTATGCAGAGTCCAGGCTTGACATTTCTGCAGAACTCTGCAGTGTTACAAACATTTGTGTTGCAACCGTTTCTGACCTAAAATGTTCAAAAGCTGTTCAGTTTGAGTTTCTTATCAAGAAATTTTTCAAACTCAGACCACCTGTGCTTGCTGTACCTTGATGACATTTAAATTAGATTTGATATCTAGGCAACAAAAGCCCTTAATCAGGGAAAATCCAGACATTTTATATGAGGGAATTGCTTGGATTTTTCCTTACTGTTCCACTTCTTCTTCCGGCTGCTGGCGGGTGCAGACGCTTTTTTCCTCCTCTCCTCCATATCTTATCCTCAAGTCCTTTGTCTGTCTCTGTGTGCTGGGTGCACGGCTGCTTCTGCATTTTTCTGGAAACTGGAAACTGAAATACATTTAATTGGATCTCGTCAGCTGGTCTCTCAACGCGACTGATACAATTTTTTCAACGATGAGAACGAGAGAAGGGGCTCCCGGATGTCCTGCCGGTACAGACTCAGTTGGACACATCATGGATTCCTGGAAACAGTGGAACTTGATCTGTCTCTCTCAGCTGTCTGTGGAGGACTCTGAAGACGTGTGGATATTCGTTGTGTTGGTGTCAGGTTTCCTGCTCATTGGCCTTGGAGGCTACCTGACTTACCGGAAAATTAACGAGCTGTCAAGGAATATTGGCCTGATCCCGGAGATCAGAGATGGTTTGCACCGTGCTGTGAATTCACAGACTCAAATAATTGTCGAGATGAATCGTAAGCTTGGGACTTTGGCGGAGATTCATTCTTTGGCACAAAAGATGGATGCCATCAAGGAGATAGTGGACGAATCAGCACGGATTGGGATAGATTAACCTCCATTATTATTGGGATTCTGAGAGGTTGAGGACCAACAAACTGTAAGACAGACAAGAAATTATCTCTGTCTGGCCCCAAAACAATTTCTAATCTGAATCTGGCGTCCTTGAGCCTGCAAGGCTCCAACGAAAACTCCCCCCTCAGGAGATATGTGGAATGTGCCGTTGCTATGGCAACTCAACTCTGTCTCCTTCCCCTGCCTGGGTGGGACAGCGGGAAGGCTGGCGAAGCGTCCAGGGTCACTGCAACCCTCCAAACCTCAATGCTTCTCCCCCGATCCACACTGAGGTGACATGCGCTGCTTCATCGTGGCTGCAGGAACTGAAGTTGGGATAGTCCCAACCCACCACCCCTCCTAACAGACACTTATGTTGTGTTGGCTGAAGTTTGTTAAATATCTCTGTCTGAGGTGTTTTTTTGCAGAGCAAAGCTGCCCTCCTGGAGGGAGGGTGTCTGCCTGCTCTGTCTTCTCGATCCCCAGTGAGTCGTGGAGGATGGCTGCTTACACTGAGCCAGGATCCTCTGGAGGTTTCTTCCTGTTAAAAGGGAGTTTTCCTCTCCACTGTCGCTTTATGCTTGCCTAGTATGAGGATTGCTGTATAGTCACTGACACTAGTCAGTGACTTGATGCAATTTGCTGGGTTCCTTATATAGGAAACATTATTTCTGATTGGCTTAATGAACTGTGAATTGGAATGTTTATTATGTGAAGTGCCTTGAGACAACTCTTGTCGTGATTTGGAGCTATATAAATAAACTTGAATTGAATTGAATCATGGACTCTGTTTTCTGTCACCAGCTGCCCTTTTCCTGAGAAACACTTGTTAAATCAGGCTAAAAGTTGAGGTCACACCCCATTGGTCAGATGCTGCAGGACGCGGTTCCTCCTGTCAAACACTTTGGACATGCCAGCCAGCAGCAGGCTAACCATACTGAGATGATGGTACTTGTGTTCAGCATCTCCTGCTGTGTCTGGAATAACAGAATATTCCAGTTTCCTGCTGGTGTTAGTCAGGATTTTATGAGACGATGATGGGACAGTGTGAGGAAGAGGTGCCTTGTTTCCACCAGAAGGATGAAGGTCAGTGCATGCTGGTGGATATTTTCATTAAAGAGAAACTTTGAAAGAACAGTTGTATAATGTTTGAATAGTTTGTGATCTTAAAGAAGCCATTTTTAATTTATTTTCATGCCAAATATTTATATTTTAGGCAAACTGTCTCAATTTGAAATGGACATACGTTCTGAGGAGCAGAAATGGGAGAAGAGCAGAAACTTCGGTGGCAAAAGTTTGACAGACTCTGAGTTTAACTGCAGTACGGCATCACAATTTCTAACAAAACAAATATGAACGGGAACCTGAACAGAGATGAAAACAGAAACAAAACAAGAGCTCAAATAAAAAAGGAACCATTTGCAGAGAAATTTGGAAGAAAAATTCAAAAGCATCCAAATAAAATTTGTGTTCAAACTGAAATAAAAGAACCAGACACAGGGACTGCTGAGTCTGTGGACAGGTTTCAGTTTCAAACCATACACTGATGCACCTACAGGGTACAGATGTGTGTGAAGACTGCAGAATACACCTGGTGACAAATTAGTAAAAAAAACTATAACAGGGGTTAAAGCTGCTTTGGCTTCTATAGCTTTAAAAATGTTTTCTTGCCTGTCAACTATGTTCTAACATTGTCTATCTATAAATATATTGTGGAGATAAAAAACAAAACAATTTTTTTAATAAAGTGGTTATCTTGCATTTGTCTAAAAACTTCCTCTAATAACACGTTTCAGACCAAAAGCAACCATTGGACCATCCGGTTGTCAGTCTTGCTGAAGCCCCGCACTTCCCTGGGTGCTCCATTCCTTATATACACACTCACTTATTTAATGACAGAACACCACTGGTGTGAGAGGTAAAAACTAAACTCAAAGGATACAGAAAACAAGACTTTTTCTTATTTGAAGTGTCTGCAAAGTGTGCCACAGGTTTTTCAGCTACAGAGCAGCAGAGTAAAGTGTTTAAGATGATCAGATTCGAAGGGTTTTATTGCCATGTGTGTGAACAGATCACAACATTAGGAAATTGCTGCAGTACTTGGTGCTAAAATTAGACAAACGCACTTATAGGTGCCCACTAAAGCAAATTAAAACACCATGAAACAAATAAAGCAGAATATTGAGCAACAAAAATAAAAAAAATGGCTACTATATACAAGGCAGTGCAGGTGCTGATCAGAGCTGAACAGTCAGGTGCAAACACAACACAGGGTCAGGTGACTGGAACAAAATGACTGGAGTGAGCAGTCCTAGGATTGTCATTCACGAGTCCAACCACAGAGGGGAAGAAACTGTTCCTGTGAGAGGTTCTGGTCCGAATGGATTAGAGCCTCCTGCCAGATGGGAGCGAGTCAAAGTGTCGTAGGGTGAGACGAGTCAGCTGTGATCCAACCTGCACGCCTCAGTGTCCTGGAGGTGCACAGGTCCTGTATGGAGGGGAGTTTGCAGCCAACGACCTTCTCAGCAGAGCGTACGACACGCTGCAGCTTCTGTTGCTAGGCTAGGTGAGAATGTGGCAGTGTGTGCGTCCTGTCACTGTGTCCCGATTGATCATGCGCCCTGGCTACTTGGCCAAGGGGATGTCCCTTTGGCTGACTGGTTAGCGCACATGACTCTCACCCGGGAGTCCCGCCCGGGCCCTCGTTTCTCCACCTTGCCACAAGAACACCAGGTCTGTGTGGTTGATATGAAATTCACATCAATCTAAAAATAACTAGACTCCTTGAATGAGCTGAGTTACAATGAAAGTTTGCTTTCTTAGGACATAAAATAGAGCAAAAATTTAACATTTTAAAATACTTAAAGGTGCATTATGTAAAAATGACATCCTGTGGTAAAATTTGGTTCCTGCAACCACTTTAAACAACTCTGAAGCTTTTTGCCAGCCATCATCAAATTACAATTGTGGGCACTGATATTAGCTCATAGGAGACATGGCAACCCCACACTCACTGATGGTAAACAGCAATTATGTCCCTCCTTCCTTTGTTCTGAAAGGAGAAAAGCTGACAATCCCGCAACAGCTGGATATGAAATGTTTCAGTATAAGCTTCCTTCCAAAATGACTGAAACATAAGGCTCTTTTGAGGATTTTCTCACTGTAAAATTCTCACTATATTCTTACATACTGCACCTTTAATAACCAATGCATATTGTGATTTTTATCTAGAAACATGCTTTACAAAACAACTTTCTTTTTCTTCTTTCAATACCATCTGTTCTTCAGATAATGAGAACAAATTAAAAGTGGACCAGATATACCACAGATCAAGTTCATAAAGACTTATTCAGTTACTCCAAAGCTAGAGAACTTTAGATCATTAAATATGTAATCATATAATCCATAAACAGTAACAGCTTGATCTTTTTTTTGTGACCCAGCAACACATTTAATAATTCTTCTATTTTAAATTAGCTTAATCTGATTTAAATGAACGTCTTAGGTTCTGCAGAGACGTGGGTTTGGCAGGAAAACTACAGACTCGTTTGTTCAGTTAAAACACAATTTTATTTTATTTTTTTTTGCTTAAATAATTACTTGGATCATCCAGTGTAGGCTATGTTGGTTTGCACACGTTGGTACTAAATTCATCATCATCAGTGGATGCATAGGGTGGATTTGTATGAAAACAAAAATAAAGAAATACGATTTACAGAAAAAGAAAATGACATTTACCAACGTGTGATCACGAGTGATTTGTGTGATTGCAGCTGTTGGTACAATTAGATTTAGGTTAAAAATTAGATTCTCTTTCATGTAAATAACAATTAAGATGAAAGTCGTAAAGCTAAAAACAGCCCCCCCCCCTCCCCCCGTAAAAAAACCCACCAGTAGACCTAAGAGCTTTAACTTCTAGTATGCATGGGGGGGGGGGGGGGGGTGTACAGTTACACGGTTTTATGATGTTGCACACACACACACGGGGCTGCTAGCAGTTTGCTATGCCAATTAGCAGGTTACATTTGGGGACAATATCAGTATTTTTCATAAGAGAAAAGCTTCACTGTCTCACCACTCGATTGTGGAGTGCGAGTTTTCCATTGTAAAAACCCTACTCGAAGGCAGCCATGTTTCTGTTATAAGTACACACACAAGTATCGTCAGATCCTCTCTACTCGTATTACAGTGCTTTGAATCTAAATAAAACCAAACAAAAGCATTAAAAATAAAGTGACATCACATGCAGCAAAATGTTGTTTCTCTGAAGAATATTCCACAGTAGATTCTGCTTTTCCTCCAGTCTATCCCTGTTCTCATACAGCTGTTTTGTTCCTTTTTATTATTTGTGTAGGAAGAGCAAATCAGGTCACACACTCAAGGCCGCTCAAACAGTGTCGACCCCTAAAACCAACGCACCAACTCTGTAAAGCTTCTTCAACTCAGATCAGTGCATAAACAATCCATGAAGCTACTTTTTTAGGATTTAAACAGTGTGGTTTTATATACAACAAAATCACCCATTCACTGTTATATTTATACATTTTTTTTTATAAAAGAACCACATGGTGCGCCCCAGTGCTGTAGGTTCAGGAGGGATAAAATAGCCCCTAAAAGGCAAGTGTCTGAGAGTGACGTTAGTTCTGTCAGCAGTTGGCTTTTCTTCAGCTGCTGATGCAGTCTGTGTGTCGAAGATGAGATCTTCCAGCTCACGTCCATGCGTGTCCTCCTGACTGTGAGTTTGGGACATGCTCATGCGAAATCAAGAAAATATAGTCTTGGTGAAAACCATGCGCTGTGGGTGAAAGCTTCAAACACGACTTGGCTGACTGACACAGCCCCGTTCTTTGTGGGCTCCAGTTTGTTTTTCATCCTGAAGTGTGTATGTGTGTGTGTTGGGTCGAAGGTGGACTTCAAAAACCTGTAACAGAAAAAACATTTCAAATTTTAGACACTGGCTATTTTTTTCATTTTGAATACATTACAGGTGCAACTTTAGCACATGAGCAGTTAATAGTCCAGAGGTTGATGTTGGGGATTAGGCATGTTTCCACTACCAGAATTTGTCGTGATTTGGCGCTATATAAATAAACTTGAATTGAATTGAATTGAACCAGAACTTAGGGGTAATTTTACCGGATCTTCCAGGCATGTGCGTGTCTCCACTTAACTGGGCTGGCCGAACAGCCATTTTCCTTATCATTTTCAGGAATTTTTGAAGTACCTGAACAGGAGGGGGTACTCAGAAGGGCTGGTTTGAGTAGCTAAGCAGAACATTTGGTTAACTCACGCTGATTGGTTGTAACTCAGTAGGAAATGACATCAACAGATGTCATCCAAAATAATCAGCCTTAGAAGAGCTGCTTGTGAAGCAGAACTGAAACAAGAAAATAAGCACTGACTGCACTTCTTTAAAATTGCTGTTACTAGAAAGAAAGAAAGAAAGAAAGAAAGAAAGAACACAATCTTTTCTATAGCACCTCAAGATTAAATCACAATGCTCTTCAAAACTCCTAACACCAAAAAACACAGCGGAATTCGTTCACAACGACATAATTAACCCTGATGAACCTAATCGGTTGGGTAGATTACAGGCTTGTCTTGAGGACATAAAAAATTGGATGACTCTAAACGTTTTGCTTTTAAATCAAGACAAGACGGAAGTTCTCATCTTTGGACCAGAAATCCAGAAAAGGAAATTGCTTAGCCAATCGCCTGACCTTAATGGCATTACATTAATCTCCGAGAACAAAGCAAGGAACCTTGGTGTTATCTTTGACCAGGACATGTCATTCAAATCCCAGGTTTCACAAGTTTGTCGGATTTCCTTTTTCCACCTTCGGAATATTGCTAAGATTAGAAGCAAACTTTCCAGGCGTGATGCTGAAAAACTAGTTCATGCATTTATTACATCAAGACTGGATTACTGTAATTCATTACTCTCAGGAAGTCCACAGAATGTAGTTAAAAGTCTTCAGCTTGTCCAAAATGCTGCAGCTAGAGTTCTGATGAGAATTAAAAAGAGAGATCATATCTCTCCTGTCTTAGCTTCCCTACATTGGCTACCTGTTAAATTCAGAATAGATTTTAAGATCCTCCTTCTCACATATAAAGCTCTTAATAATCAAGGTCCATCATACATCAGTAATCTGATTGTTCCATATGTTCCTAACCGAGCACTTCGCTCTCAGACTGCAGGTCTACTGGTGGTTCCAAGAATATCTAAACTTAGGATGGGAGGCAGATCTTTTAGTTATCAGGCTCCTCTCCTGTGGAACCAGCTCCCAGCTTTAGTCCGTGAGGCAGACACCTTGTCTACTTTTAAGAATAGGCTTAAAACATTTTTATTTGATAGGGCTTATAGTTAAAATCTGATGTTAGCCTAAATCTGGACAAGTGGGGGATTACAGGGAGGTGGAGTGTACAGTCGGTAAAGACGGCTCTCCCTTGCCCTGCCTCCAACATGCCTACATCTAAATAGGATAGGTTATCCAGAGTTAACTCTGTAGTTATGCTGCTATAGGCTTAGACTGCTGGAGGACACACTGACCTTTTTTCACACTCTACTACTTTCTTCTACAGTCTGCTCTTTAACTGTACTATTTTGTGCAATTTCAGCTGTTAACTTTATTTTCTCTGTAAGTGTTTTTCTCCCCAGAAGAAGCTACAATGACGTTCTGCTCAGCTGTGGTGGCCTCATGGAGGGGGCCATCGACTAGCACACTGCTGCTAACCACTAATACATTCTCTCTCTCCTGATAATAACTTTTTGTTTTCATTGACTTTTGATGTGCTAATACTAGTTTATCCGTTTAATTATCCACTAGGATAAATACAATAAAGTTTATCTTTCACCAAATACAATATTTACTAAGACATCACAATATAACTATAGACACATTACTTGTGTGTGTGTGTGTGTGTGTGCGTGTGCGTGTGTGTGTGTGTGTGTGTGTGTGTGTGTCTGCCTGCTCTGTCTTCTCGATCCCCAGTGAGTCGTGGTGGATGGCTGCTTATACTGAGCCAGGATTCTCTGGAGGTTTCTTCCTGTTAAAAGGGAGTTTTCCTCTCCACTGTCGCTGCATGCTTGCTTAGTATGAGGATTGCTGTATAGTCACTGACACTAGTCAGTGACTTGATGCAATTTGCTGGGTTCCTTATATAGGAAACATTATTTCTGATTGGCTTAATGAACTGTGAATTGGAATGTTTATTATGTGAAGTGCCTTGAGACGACTCTTGTCGTGATTTGGCGCTATATAAATAAACTTGAATTGAATTGAATTGAATTGAACCAGTACTTAGGGGTTATTTTACCGGATCTTCCAGGCATGTGCGTGTCTCCACTTAACTGGGCTGGCCGAACAGCCATTTTCCTTATCATTTTCAGGAATTTTTGAAGTACCTGAACAGGAGGGGGTACTCAGAAGGGCTGGTTTGAGTAGCTAAGCAGAACATTTGGTTAACTCACGCTGATTGGTTGTAACTCAGTAGGAAATGACATCAACAGATGTCATCCAAAACAATCAGCCTTAGAAGAGCTGCTTGTGAAGCAGAACTGAAACAAGAAAATAAGCACTGACTGCACTTCTTTAAAATTGCCGTTACTAGAGAGAGAGAAAGAAAGAAAGAACACAATCTTTTCTATAGCACCTCAAGATTAAATCACAATGCTCTTCAAAACTCCTAACACCAAAAAACACAGCGGAATTCGTTCACAACGACATAATTCATCGGGTTTTGTTATCTCACAGTGCATCATGAAAAATGATGCGTCTTCTGGTCATTGAATGCCACATTTTATATCACACAGCTGCTCTTATCCTCCAGATGGATTAAATTCAGGGTTCGAATTGAAGAGGAGCTAAGGTGAATGGGTGACAAGCCCCCCTACAAGACCTCAATGTACACACCAAGGGGGAACCCAAAAAAACATCCCGTTTCTACCTTTAACAAGAGAAGAGATCAGCTAATGGAGCAACTGACAACCTCCCTCGACCCAAGGCTCCATGCAAAATCTCCCCTCTTGGGGTACAAATGATCTAGATAATGGTGAGGAAACATTTTGGAACTACATGAGGGGAACTTGACAAGGACCTGAAGAGAGCTGGGCTCAAAGTAACAAAATTTACGATTATTAACACACTACATTGTCATGGGTTAAAATCCTGCAGCACTCCAAAGGTTCGCCTGCTTAAGCCAGCACATGTCCAGACCTGTCTGAAGTTTGCCAATAACCATCTGGATGATCCAGAGAAGAACTGCGATAGTCTTGTGGGCAGATGACACTGTAATAAAATCCTTTAGTATAAGCACAACATGCCGTGTACTGAGTTGCATCCCAAAAACATCAAACCCAATGTGAAGCATGGAGGTGGAAACATAATGCTCTGGAGCAGACTTCACTGCAAAGGGGACAGGACGAATGAACTTAAGTCATTCAGGATGACTGATTTGTATTAAGGAATGGATAAATGGGGCTATGCATTGTGAGGTTTTGGGGGAAATCTCCTATCAGTGAGAGCGTTTAAGATGAATCATGGCTGGAACTTCCAACATGTCGATAATCCCAAACCCAGAACCCAGAAATAAAAAGAGTGGCTATGTAAAAAGCATTCCAAGGTTCTAGAGTGGCCTAGCCAGTCCCCAGACCTCAAATCTTTGAAAAGTTGAAAGTCTGTGTTGTCCAGCATCCATCCATTTTCTTCTCCATGCAGGGTCATGGGGAGCTGGTGCCCTTCTCCAGCAGTCTCTGGGCAAGCAGGCAGTGTACATACTGGACAGGTTGCCAGGCCATCGCAGGGCAACATAGACACACACGGGGCAATCAACCATGCACACAAACACTCACACCTAAGGACAATTTTTGAGAGACCACAAACTGTCATGTTTTTGGACTGTGGGAGGAAGCTCGAGTACACAAAGAGAATCCACACATGCAGAGGGAGAACATGCAAAGTCAATGCAGAAAGACCCCAGGCTGGGGTGTGAATCCAGGACCTTCTTAGGCAACAGCGCTAAGCACTGTTCCACTGTGCAGCCGTGTTGCCCAGCAACGGAACCAAAACATTACAGCTCTAGATCTGCATGAAAGAATGGGACAATACCAGCTACAGTGTGTGCAAACCTGGTGAAGACCTACAGTGTGACCCAACTCCCTTTCTTGAGGGCCAGTATCCAGGTTGTTTTACTGTGTTCCCTGCTTCAACAGACCTGATTTTAATCAGCAGGGGTCTCATTTATCAAACATTGCATATAATCTTTCCTAAACCCGTATTTAAGCTCAGCAAATAAATAAATAAATGAATAAATAAAAATAAAAGTACTTACGCCAAGTAGGTTTGTGAGCTATCAAACATGGCGTACGCACAGCAGCACGCAATCTCCGCTTCATAAATCAGAAACTATCTACAAATGTTCTCAGCTGCTTTTTAAGTCACATCCCGCCCTCACCACGCCCACTTACTGCCATAAATTGTCAATGCAAAGTGTCTTGTGGATCTCATGCTGGCTTGTTGCAGCATTTCGATCACGACCGCAGATCAAGGAAGCGCTATTTCACAAGCAGAAATTGAGGTACTTGTGGGTGAGGTGGAGAAATGAAAGGAAGTGCTTTTGCAAAACAAATAAGAGAAAATCCACGGAGTGGCACGGCGTTGCTGAAGCCGTCAATGCTGAGTTCTTCAGAGAGAGCTGTGGCGGATATAAAAAAATGATCCAATCAGGATTCCATCCCCAGACTCAAGGGTGATAGTCACGTGCGCTAACCATTCAGCCAATTGGAGATCTCCTTTGCTCAAGCAGCCAGGGCGCATGATCAATCGGGTCACAGTGACAGGACACACACACTGTCACAGACGCATGACATTCTGTCTCAACCTGTCCCCCTGCTGATTTTCTGCATTCCGTATTCTGTGCTTCAGGCTGTGTGTGTGCGCGCGCGCGTGCGCGTGTGGGGGGTCTTGTTCTGTGTGAAAACGAAGCAGTACAAGTGATAATGCTGCAGGATTTCACAATTTTATCCTTCTCAGCAGCAGCACTGCAGGTGCTCTCCATGTCCAAAATGTGCGTAAGCCAGGTCCTTAGCCAATTTAAAGTTGCACACATTTTTCCGCTAAGTTTTCTATCATAAATCCCAAAGTTTGTGTGGAAAGTTTTCTGACCCCGTTTTGTGCGTAAGCAAGCTTGATAAATGAGGCCCCAGGTGATTAACAGGCTGTTGCAGGGCTTGATGAGCTGCTGAACAGGTGAATCTAGTGTGTTGGTGTAGGAAAACTACAAAAACATGCAGGATATCGGCCCTTTAGGAAAGGAGGGGTCAACCCCTGACCTACAGGAAAGTTTGACCTCTTTCATTGCCATCAAAAGTTACATAACCAAGTATGGAAGTGAACTTTTGTGATTGACCAAATGCTTATTTTCTACACAAGTATTTAAAAATTACACAGTGAGACTTCCTTCTGACCCTTCACAATAAGAGCTCTGGTCAAAGGTTCCTGCTTAGTGCATCATGTTTATTTTCCTGTCACCTTGTTGCATGTTTTCATTTGACATACAGATGCTGAACTCCTTGCTAAAGATTTGAAATAGCAAAAATGTGAGGATTTAAATGCAGTCAGAGAAAAGTATTACGATTAAACAGTAACGCCAATAAAACCGACAGCTGTAAAACTCATGCTGCACAGTTTGTGCAGTCATTCCAGATTGTAGGAGTACATTTAGCACATTTTAGACACAATCATGATACAAAGTTGTCACAGCATATCCTCTTACCAAGTTTAGTTGTTATGACTGACTCTTCTTCCCATGTTTTTTGTTGGGCGTGTCTGCAGGCTGCACACAGAGAGGTGAAGGGAATCAGTGAGGTTTACATCAGAGCAAAAACAATGAAGAGACGATGTCACTTCTGCGTCCAAGCTACAGTTGAAATGTGTTATTAAAGCAGAGAGCTACTTGGCTACTACCGCAGTCAGCATGCTGGAAGAAAAATTAGTGAAGTGGAAAAAGATGTACACATTTCTACATTTTCACAAGATTAATTACACATGCACAAAGAGATGGTAATATTTCTTTTGTTTCTAGTCTGAGAGGCACACATGAAAACCACTGCACACGGCACAATCTATGGAGAAAACAAGGCGACTCTAACAGCCCTGCTTTAGTAGGACACAACCACTCAACACACTGAACACAACTCAGAAACATCATTTAGGGGTGACGGACTAAAATGCAGGAGCCTCAAACCTGAGAAGAGCATTAAAGCTCTCTCCTTGTGGCTTCCTCAGCGAGCAAAGCTACTTTTTAAAATTAGTCAAAGTTTCATCCAAACTCTGGGATTGCTTTGCACCAGTAAATAATATTGGTTCTAATGGAAGTGTTAATTGAAACAGTAATATTAACATTAAGGGCAGTCAAATTAAAAATGATTTAGCCTCAGCTGATACTACGCCTGTCATAAAAGACCGACTTTAGTCTGTTGTAGGAATCCCAGGTGCCAACTTTTTTCCTTTTTACAAATTTAGCTAAAGAATGAAACAAAACCCCCATTAGTATAAAGAACAAACCAACTGGTTCCTTTTAGTTCACCAGTTCTAAGAAGGATTCATGGTTTTTGTAATTAAAGAGCCATGCAGGAAGCTGACAAAGGGAGGCGCCCGATTCACACTCCAACCTCCGTCTTCTCTCTCTGGGTTTCCTCCTTGTTGCCATGTCGGGAGCGCTTCCCTCTTTTCTTGCCCTTCCCACTCTTGTTTCCTGCTGCAGATCCTGCAGAAGCAGCAGAAGCCACTTCACCTTTCTCTACTCCACCACCACCACCATCAGGAGTGCCCTCCCCTGCTATATTTTGACCTTCACACCCCTCTCTTTCCTCCGAGTTGTAAACTCGGCGCACCACCTTTCTGATCACCTGTAGGGGCCAGAAACATGTCAGGAAAAACAGGTGGGGGTGTTTTTAGAGGAGAAATTGTGTTTAAGCTGTGACACAAGGAATGGAGAGGTGGAAAAAGAGGATGAGGAAGGTTACTTTTCTGGTGACCAGATTCCCATCTTCATCTGTGAACTGCTCCTCTGTCACAGACTGTCCAGGAATGTTTCTGGCCTCCTCTCCCTGCAATGGAAGTTTAGATATGAAAGAATGAGTGAAAGTTAAGAGATAGTAGAGATGGATGGAGATGCTAAGGAGGGCAAAGGTCAGGTTATCTGCATGAGTGTTAAACTTCTGCTTGTCAGAATAAGCAGCATTTCTAGGTGGCCAAAGGGTGTGGTCTGTTTTTAACACTGTTTTATTTGCTGTTTGAAAATTTAAAACACTTCAAAAAACGTTTAAATTTCAAAGCAACTCTGATTGCTTCAAACCTTCCTTTTGGAAACATTCCACTCCACAGCGCTGCAGCAGAACACACATGTGCTTGTAATAATCAGCTCTAAACGCCACAGATCAGAAATGATTCTTTTACTAATTTGTCTGAAACCAGAACAACTATAAGTGATTATTAAATCTTATACAGAATTTCCTCCTGTCACAATACATGTATAGTTTTTTCCATATATAGCTCACTTAACTTCGCTTGTGTTTCGTAGGTTTTTGAAGAGCTGAACTGAAGCCCAGTAGATTCTCACCACCGCCATCTTGGCCATGTCCTGTGTCTCGTCGCTCCCAGAAAATACAAAACTGGGGCTGAGAGTGGGGTTGTGAGGGTGGGGGCAGATGATTGACACCCATCAGATTTGGAGTTGATGTGGCTATGAGCTAACTGAGCTAACCACAGCTAACAAACTGTGGTTGAGCAACTCAGTTACTCTCTTCCTTCTAGGCTGCAATACTTTTAACCTGAGGTCGAAGCTGAGGCCTTCCCTGGAGCAAGCAGGAAGGAAGACGCTAGCGCTAACACTGATAGCTCATCTGCTACCTGTCAATCAATGGGAAACGCCCCTAATTATTCAGAATTTCAAGCTTTAATTACATGATTGAGTTACATGATTTAATTACATTACATTGTCGTGACAGCAAACTTGACTTATTAAACCTAAAATGTTTTTTGAACCAGGGAAACATGTTCATTTCTGATGTGAAGTTGACATTTTTAACACCAGCTCAGTGGCCTAGTGGTATGTGACCACCCTGAGACTGGGAAATCAGGGTTCAGATCCACAGTCGGGTCATACCAAACATTTTAAAAATGGGACCTGAAGCCTGCCGCTTGACACTCAGCATTAAGAGGTTCGATTGGGGGATTAAACCACCAAATAGTTCCTGAGCGTGGCCGTGTCTGCAGCTCACCACTCCCCCAGGGGATGTGTCAAATGCAGAGAAATTATTTCACCACACACCCGTGTGTGCAACAATTAATGTGACTTCAGTTTTTATTCTTTAACATGGGAGTCAATGGGAACTTGCTCTTTTCTGAAGCCAGCCCTAGTGGATGGGGGGGAGAACTGCAATTTCTTTCACTTCCTTGTTAGGTTCACTTACGACAAAATACAAACATTTTTAAAGGTGCACTGTATAAGCATGAAGTAAGAATGACATCCTGTGGTCACATTTGGTTACTGCAGCCCATTTTCCAAAAACAAAAGTTACTATCTCATTCCCGTCCGTGAGCTTCACGACTGTTACCAGCTACGGCTCAGCTCACCAGAATATTCTAGATGGACGAATAATGCACGGTAAGTTGATAAGTACATAAATACATTTAACTATAATATCGAGTAGCTTGAGATATTTTAGACCTGTTTGCTTCTAATTCTCCGTTAGCATTGTTAGCTCAACGCTATCCTCTAGGCTTCTTCACTCGGCGTTAGAATGAAACAAAAGGGTTTCAAGAAGTAACTACTGAGTTGTTCCTGTTACTGAGTTTAGATATTTTACAAAATTCTGCCTTGTTTTGCTAGCTGGTATCAAATGACAAGTGTCGGTGCAGCAGCACCAACTCGGCATTCCTTCATGCTCACAGGTTGTAAACAAAGACTGCGTCTGCGTCCTTTGGCTTTTTTTAAAGGAGAAAAACTGTCAACCCTCCAGCTGGATGAGAAGGAAATCTGTTACAATGTAACCTTCCTTCCAACATAGTTAAGGCATTAGACTGTTTTGTAATTATTTAACTTTAAAATTCTTACTTTTTGTACCTTTAAATGAATACATTTAAACTTAAATTGATTACTTTGAGGCTCAACGAGCATAAGCCAGACAAGAGACTTCTGAAACGTTCCATACTCAATTTCCCTCTGGGATTAATAAAGCATTTTTGAATTGAATTGAATACATATATAGAACATCTATGAACCAAAGAAAGAAATTTTTCATGAAATTATATTAAATGTGATTTTCAACAAAAATGCAGGCTGCAAAACTCACACCAACCAAACACACATAGTAGTAGCTCACACCAGCAGACGGTGAGTATAAGCAAAGCTGATCACACAGCTAAAGTTAAGATTTTTTACTATAATTCCAGATCATTTGAGCCACATCACATCTCCACCTTGTTTTGTATGAAATCTAAGTGCCTTTTTTTCCTTCTGGTCCATATCTTCCAGTTTGTTTCAACTAAAATAACTTCTTGTTTTCCCAAATTGCAAACATTTTCATAAGTCATACAGTTTTTATTATCTGTCTAAATCTTATTTGAATTCTGGGAAAAAGACTCTGATTCAGTCCACAAACAGCAGAGCACACTCTAAAAAGCCAAAACAAGTCTGCTGTCACTCTTTCCAAGCCACTAGGACACACTTAATTAGTTGCACTGAGCTAACTACCCATGTGCAACACTCTTGCTCACACACCAGGCCTCACACACCTTCAGTACGACCCTCCGACGAAACACCCTGGTGGTGACGGTGGTTTCCTCATCAGAGCAAGCCTCCTCAGTTCTGATACTCTCCTGATGAAGGCAGCCCTCGTTAATAACCCCAGTGTAAACTGATTTCACACTAAACCATTATTCCCACTGAAACCAGGGATTTCTGGACTCTGATTTATGTCTGATACACTGAAGTCTCGGGTTACGGCTTAACAAAACAATCAAATTAATTTAATGGTTTCTATTTAAGTGTGATGCTCACCTGGACTTTGTGCTGGGTCTTGTCTTCGCCCTCCTCTTGTCTTCTGCTTTGTCCTGGTGTGCTGCTGTCGTCCTGAGCTATTTTCCTCTTGGACTCCTTTTCCCTCGCCTCGCTCTGACCTCCGTTCTGAGCCGGCCGCTGCTCCAGTGAGTCACTTGGGCTGTCAGAGCTGAAATGTAGATAGAGACATATCTTGATGTAACTTCAGCGCTGATGTTGAACCATTCACTGAGCAGCGGAATGGATTTGATCCTACCTGCTCTCCTTGATGGTATCTTGAGCAGCTGCTGAATCCACGGCGCCACTGGACATCTCACTTCTCCAGCCTGGAACTGAAGACATGTCTTTTTCTGCTTGCCGTACTTGTTCAAGGATTGCGTTGACTTTCTCTTCGGTCATCTCCTCTTCCTCCATGCCTCCCTCCAGCTTTAGTTCCTCCAGCAGACTCCGCAGCTTCTCCTGGGTCATCTCCTCTTCTTTACCTCTTCCATTTCCAGAGCCGGTGTGTAAAGCGACATTCTCTTTTAGCTTAGCTGACCGATTTTCCAAGGAGTTGCGCTGCTCCACAATCACTTCTTCCTTCTGTACAAACTGCTCTAAGGCCCTTCTATCATTATCTGGCATCTCCACTGACATCCCTCTTTCTCCACCGATCAAGGCCGTATCTTCAGGCCCAACAATAGGAGGCTTTGAGACAGAGAGTGGGACCACCATGGAGGGATCGCCACTGGAGGTGCTGGTTGTCTGAGTGAGGGTGAGGTCACTAGGTCTAGTAAGCATGGTCTTGGTAGGGGACTCTACGCTAGCATCACCCTCACTAAAGAACTCATCGGAGCGCAGTGGGGTAGGAGGGACGTAGTTGAGGTCTGATGGGGTTTTCAGCTCCAGCTCTATATTGTGGTACCCTGGATGTATGGCAGGAGTAAAGGATTAGAGGATCGATGAGGGAGGGGGAGGTGAAGGAGGGAGGGCAGGTGGGGAGGGAGGGAGAGGTAAAGTCAGGGAGGTGATGAGATGAGAAACACTTGTGTAACATTTAAACAACGCTGTCATTCAAAAGTCACAAGTAGACCACAAATACAGCGTTAATCCAAAACAGGCAGCAGAACAAACTGTAAAGCCTTACTGAGCCGAACGTTTGAACAGATAAATTACTGTCCCTTCACCTTTAGTTTTCACCTCTATCTGTTTTAATAAAGTGATGGCAACAAATGTTCTATTTACCGGTGGACGTAACCTTTATTCTGGTGCTGCGTAGGAAGGTCGTTTATGTTGAGGTTTCTGCTAATAAAATAATAATAAGAGCAGACCTAGATACACCTCTTGTTTTTGGAGGCACCAGAGAAGCTGTCTGTTTAGAGTCTAATGCAGTTGAATGTTTTATCTGAGTTCCTTTATGTGGCTCCCTTTGGTTTCTCAAATAAAGATTGGTTGATTCAGTGACAAAGACTCCAATTAAAGAGACGGTGTTTAGTTTTTACTGTTAATCTCTGGCAATATTTATGGAAAATTTGTTGAAAATGACTGAAAAGATGCCCAGCTGTTGAAAAATACTGGCAGCTTCATAAAATATAACCATAAAAATCAGGTCTAAAATACCTGGTCTCCTAGGTCTCTGGGCGACGCCATATTAGACGCCATGTTTCCTTCTACAGGAGCACGTGAGGACAAAATGCATTTACTGGTTTGTCACAAACGGTTACAAAAGTTTCACCATTCATGAACGTTGTTTTACACATTTACCTCTTCACTTGTTGTCAGTGAGGAAAGAGAGTCTGATGTGCTTTTCATTTTGCTGGAGGTTGTGCCCCCGCAGAGTTTTGACCCTAATGGCCATCCGTTGGTAAGGTCTTACTCGAACAAAAAAATACAGCTTGCTTGGAATGATTTAGGTTCGTACTGCCCCCATCACCAGGGAAACTTCACACTATCACTGATTATTTAGCAGCTTAAGAGTCAGATTACTTCATCAGAAAGTCTCTAAATGAGTTTAAATGGTAAATGGTAAATGTATTTGATATAGCGCCTTCTAGAGTCATGGAACCCCTCAAAGCACTTTACAACACAATCAGTCATTCACCCATTCACACACACATTCACACACTGGTGGGGATGAGCTACAATGTAGCCACAGCTGCCCTGGGGTGCACTGACAGAGACGAGGCTGCTGAGCACTGGCGCCACCGGTCCCTCTGACCACCACCAGCAGGCAACGTGGGTTAAGTGTCTTGCCCAAGGACACAACGACAGACTGAGCGGGGCTCGAACCTGCAACCTTCCGATTATGGGGCGAGCACTTAACTCCTGTGCCACCGTTCCATTTAAATCATGTTTAAATGCCTTGATATGTTTACAGGTTTTCTGCTGCATCCAAGTACTACAGAATACTTTGGTTTGAGTGGACTTGTGTGTGACTTCTAAAACAGCCTTGTGGACACGGTCAAAAAAAGAGATGGAGACACAGAAATAAAGGTATCACAGACAGACACACTAAAATCTAAACTACCTATTTATGTTAAATTTACCTGGATTAAAATAATCTGCCTCTCAAATCAGGCATTTCTGTAGTAGAAGCACTTCATTTTCAACATCTACATGCTGATGTAGTACAACTTTATAACTTTGGGATCACGGTGCAGATCTAAATGTAAACCTCAGGAACTGAACGGTCACGCCTGAAGTACAGGGGGACACCAGGAGGGAGGGGGGAAGTTGGAGGGGAGGCATGATCTGCAGGTGGAGGAGAGGGTGATGGGTGAAGCTCAGAAGTCTTTGGAGGTGGACCAGAGGTGTAGATTAATGTGGGAGAGAGAGGGACAACCACAAGAGGACATGTTAATGTAGGAGAGGACTTAAAGGTGGAGGGAGGTGGTAGGAGGATGGAAGAACATGATGAAGGAGAAAAAAGGGCTGTCGCAGATGCAGAATGGTTAGCTGGGCTAAGAACAGGAGAAGAGAGAGAAGGAGAAAGAGGAGACAAAGAGAAATCAAGTGCAGATGGGGAGAAATTAGGAGGGAAAAAAAAACGAGGAGCAGCTGAAAGGACTTCGAGGAGAGGAGGGAGGGGAGTAAGGCAGGGTGAGTAAATGTGGGAGAACCGGAGCAACAGGGAGAAAGTAAACATGAGGTGTGGGAGGAGGAGTAGGGAAGTGAAAGATAGGGGAGGGAGGTGAGAAAGGGGCGAGTTGACTAGAAAAAGGAAGTGGAGAGGAGGAGATTGAAACCGAGGGAGCGCTAAGGGCGGATGGCTGAGGCATTTGAGGACACAGAGGAAGCATAAGACTTTTGGGACCTTTAGGAGCTTCAGCTATTATCAATACACAAACGACAAAATGGGAACCACAGGAAAACCGTTGGGAGGTGGATGAGAAGACACACAGCATGTAGAACAGACAGTGAGTGTGTGAATAATGAAGGCTTGGTTAAAAAGAAAAAAGCTGCAGAGACGAAGGCATCAGAAACAGCGGGTTGCTTATCTGGGCAGATAAACAATGTGTCTTCTTCAGTCAGCAGTACAAGCGCCTTTTAACATGGCAGCAACACAATAGTCACAGGAGCTTCAATGGCTGCCAAACCATAAGCAAAGAGGATAATCAGTATCACACATTTCTGCATAAGCCTCAATTCCATCCTGGAGCTGCTGAGGTTAGCAAAAGCAATTAATAACGAGAATTAGCTGATTAGCGCTGCTCGGCACTAACATTAAAAACCGCTGCAGACGTTAGTCACTCAGAGGAGGAAGAGGAGGAGCAGGTGGGGAGTCTGCTACGGTGGAGGAAGGGAGGCTTGGAGGAAACCAGGAGATGGCAGGAACAGTACAGCTAACAGCAGTGAATGAAGCAGAATTAAAACATGGCACACTTTAAGAGAATGCAGTTTCAACACGTGTGAGTGCCATCAGGCTCTGATGTGTTGAAAAGGCTTCACTAGTTTAAAAAGTATTACAAAGAAATCCACTAGGGCAGGCAGACTTTCACAAAGCATCAGCCATGCATTGTGTTGATTCCATTGCATCCGTTTAAAGTTTGACTTGAAATCATCTTTTGTTCCTGTGTAAAAACATTGTTGTGGTGAGAGATTTTGCAGGCATTTTTATGAGTATTTCCGTATAAAGGTTACAGACATTTTCTAGTTTAGCTGTTATAACTTCCTGAATGTCCTCTATTTTGGAATAACAAAAGTTTATGTCCCAGTTTGAGCTCAGCCACAACCCAGGAGGACTGCTGCTGTCTTAAAAAGGCTCTAAACCTTAAACTGTATTTTTATTTTCCTAACAATCATTTATATTGGCATCAATTTTTTTTAGTATATGGTCATCGCTGCATGAATATTTAGAAATTTCTGCTGGACTTTTTAGAAATCCATGAAAGTCTTACCCTGCTCTGTGATATAATGAATGTAGGCAATATGTCATTTGTTGTTGCTAAGCACCCCATCCCATAGAGCTCTATTGTAATTTGAATTGAGTGCTGCTTAGCATTAGCCAATAGCATTAGACGTCTGCCTATGTACAGACATCAGTCAAAGAGCAAACGAGCATGTTTGCAGATGTACCTGGGATGATGCAGAGCTGGCAACCTTTCATATATATATATATGTGTGTGTGTGTGTGTGTGTGTGTGTGTGTGTGTGTGTGTGAATAAACAACAATGTGAGAATAATAATTGTAAAACAATGTGTTTAGCTCTGCTGGCCAGTTAAAGGTGCACGTTCACGAATAAGAGGCGTTGCTTCCAGTCAAAATTATAGAGGCAGGGAGGAACATCTTAAGGTGCAGCTCTGAATTTCTAATTTGACCCCTGGATGCACCGGTCGTGCAATATTGTAAACAATAACAGGATAATCTCTGACCAAGTGTGTAAGGCAAAACTAACAGCTTAGTAAAGGTAAATTAACTTCTGCGTGACTCTTTTAGAGTACAAAGCTGTTTTAATACACGTTGGTCTTGTCCAGCTGTTACCACAACAGTCAGTCAAATCTATTTTCCTGAACTGAGGCTGTTCAGAAGGTTATGTACAACAATTTAAATTGTAATAATTAGTTTTAACTTTCACACAGAAATACACTTTAAGATGCCCCAAAAAATGATCTGAGATGACTTCAAGAAACCCCACTAAGCAGACTGGCAGTGAGACCCGCTGCAGACTTTGGGTTTTAAAACCTGCCTGTAAGACGATTCTTCAGATTTGGGGTGTAAGTGGCTAAAATCATTGGAAAGGAAGCAAATGCTGAGCAAACAATAGCTGCCTAATGAAAGCAATGGGTGTAAAAATGTCAAGCTGATAAAGTAAAAGAAGAGGTTAGATAACTGGAAAAAAGACGCATTTGAATAAAGAAATGTGCAAAGGTCCTCAGTGGGTTCAACATAACCAGATGTTACTGCAACATTACATTTTAGAGGAAAGAGAGAAATACAGAGGTAGAGGGGAAAACTCACCAAACTGCTTAAAGCAAACATGCCAGTGTTAGATATCGGGAGTTATAATTATGTTTTTATGTATTTTAATAGCACTTAAGATAAATATCTGGGAGGAAATGTATTAAATCAAAGTTAATCTTTTCACGTACACACACAAACATAACTATTAAAAACGATTCCAAACCAGTGTCCTGCCTCATCTGAGAAAGGAGATTCATAAAGCTTACTGTTACATTTATCAGATGGGACAGGCAACAATCTACATCTAAATCTACAGGAGCATAAAGTAATGTATGCCTAACCTCGAAGCACTCGGTCGGGTGTAAGCGTTTGTTTGCAGTAGGGTCTGACTGTCTAAGAGAGGAGGTGAAGGAGGGTGAAGGGATAGACTGAGAGATAAGTCAGCTAGGGTGGGCTACACTTTACCATCGGACTGATCCGGGAATACTGCGTTATCATCGGCAAAGCAGCGTGTGCCTGATATGTTACCGTAGTCAAATATGGGCCCTTCCAGCAAAGTCACAATATCCAAGCGATTGATCTTAGTCAGCACTGCAGTTAAAGCATCCGCTGGAGAGAAGATAGGGACACACAGAGGGAGAGAGAGAGAGAGAGAGAGAGAGAGAGAGAGAGAGAGAGGTTATTTAAGTCACGTTTTTACTGATTCATGATTTCTAATCACATGAGGGTCACTATCGAAATTTAAAGAGAAAGACTTTAGCTTAGCTTAGAATAGCACATTCCCTTAGCACAACCCTATGATTGTCTGAGATTGGGATCATATTTGGTTGCTGTCCACCAGAGATGTGAGAATGGTCACATAAGCAAAAATTCAAAGTATGTTTCCTGATATAAATGGAAGCTTCAAGGGCCATAGTTATGCATGCATGTAAATCAGGCCCACACACTGCTTACTTGTGGCATTTTTACCATCCCTGTGCACCCATTTCTTTAGGAGCATGAAGCTCTGTGCGGTCAGGGAATTAGGATTTTCCACTCTGATGAAGTTGATCTCCTCCACAGAGAAATCCAGCTCCCTGGCCAGCTCTGTAAAAACAGCAAACACCACAAATCAGATCCATTCCTTTAAAATAACAAAAAGTTAAGTTTAACACCAAATACCCAAGATGTACACAGAAAACTCGCATGTTAAAGGAGTGGGTTACTTGTTTAATCAATCTATTTGCAATGGTCTCTAGGTCTCTGCCTTTTATGTCAGTCTCAGGGGGAAAAATATACTGGTGCACCATTTCTAGGATCTAAAAGTTGCCCACATCACAGCTGAGCTTCAGACAGCAGGCTTTGGAATCTTATTTCCTAATGTTTGGACATCTCACTTTGAATTGGATAACAGAAATGTGACTCTACATCTGACTTGCAACACTGATGTTTTATCTTCACAAATAACACAAGCCTGGAGGAGTTTTGTCGTGTGGTGGAGTTGCTAATGCTAACAATTAGCTTCTACTAGCCAAGACGTTCTCTGCTCTTTCCTGGATGCTAAACCAACAAAAGCCTTCCCCGTAGTGAGTCAAGATGGGTGAGTCACGTAGATCTGTCAGGATTCTCTAATCCTAGAGTTTCACTGTCTATTTTCTATCAGAAGCTAATGCAGGAGATAGGTGTAGGAGACTGTTTCATGTTCAGACTGCATGAAAAACTCAGAGTGACTGATTATAATCAGATAAAACATTTAGAAAAGGGATTTTCAGTCAACCACACCTGTAAGAGTATTGTTTCACTTAAATGATATTACATATGGTCCATCATTGCATTAGAAGGTAATCAAGCGTTCACTCTGGAAAAACTCTGTGTAAGCAAACAAAGCAGCAGGAAGCTGTAAATGTAAAATTATGAGGAACATCTCGTTCACTGCAGCAGAGCACAGAAATGAAATATGAATCACTGTCCTCACTGCTACGCTGCACAAACTAAAACACATAAACATCTAAACTGTGTACACACACACACACACACACACACACACACACACACACACACACACACACACGGTCACACCCAGGTGGAAACATGCAGGCAGGCGTGGGGCAGTGCTGCAGTGCAGCCTTCAACTGAGCTGCAGAGGCCACGCCCCTACCACGATGATGACAAATACACTCGCTGTGCCTCTTAAACATGCTCAGAAGCATAACTACACACTGCATAAGCTTGTATTACTAATTCATGTACATCTCTGTATGTTTAACATTTCAACTCTTCATGTCATATTTATCCTTGAATGTTCAGAAATGTGAACTAAATATGTTATGGTTGTTATAAAAGATTTATTTGATATATATAAAGATATATTTGACTATACACTGATTAGCCATAACATTATGACTTCTGAGGGATTAAAACATGTTGCTGTTCATCTTGTTTTAAGATTTCTATGTTGAAAAAACCTGACTGCAGGAGTTCACATGGACAATATTCAACACCCACCTACATGTGAACAGCATAAGATCACAGTCTTCAGTAGCATCTCTTCGGCAGGATAAGGAGTAGCTCACAAACAACAGATCTATGAAACTTAACTGCTGAGACCCCACCCCCACAAAGTCCAAGGACTTCCTTTTGTTACACTAGTACCAAACAGACACCACAGGATCTTCCACAATGATTTGCTACTTTGGTGGAAATAAAAGGCACACACCTCTGTATTAGTGGCCACAGCAGTACGACCCATTGATGTAATGCCACTGCAGTACGGCAAAACTTTTCTCATGCTAACTATCCACTAGATGGAAGCAAACACCGTTAAATGACTGTGTGTAATTATCACTTCAGTTCAGATGAACGATTCTCTGCTAAACTGCGTCATCACACTGTTGTTTGGATGCATTTTACACACACTTTACTTACCAGTCCAGCTGAGGCCCAGGTGGTCAGCTACGATCGCCATGCGGACGTCCGTTCTCTCACAGGGACTCTGAGGGCCTGAGCGAGGAAGCAAGGGTGGGTGGGATACAAACCATTAATGTGACATAATGACAGCAGTCCTCAGGTGATTTAGGTGTGGTTCAGACATACCAATGGTTCCCAAAGGGATCAATATTCAACGAAAGGAACAGACTGGGATAGTGAACTACATTTGTTTGTGTTTTTGTAATTTAGACCTAAAAAGACTTGATCAATTAACACGGTTTGTCTAAGAAAATTGTGATGAAATATTGAAATGAAAGGTATTCACTGTCCCAGGTCTCACAGCTTTTCTGGCCAGACTCTCCTCGAACCTACCAAAGGCTATTTTGTCTAGAATTACTAGTTAGTTCATTTGACTGCTCAAAAGCCAAATGTTACCATAGCAGGCTGAGAAGAAAATCTCTCATTACATCTAAAAGAATAACTTAAAAACAGTATTTATTTAATTTTACATAAATCTGGGATCGTTAGACAAAAATAACAAGTACGCTTGTGTTGTTTTAAACGTTGAGTATTTTATAATTAGTTATTTCTAATGTAAGATACAATAATATATTTGGGGGGGGACTGATATGGTGATTAAGATTTACAACTTTAGCATAAATCAAATCAAATCAAATCAAAGCTTTATTTATAAAGTGCCTTCCGCAACCCTGTCAGGAAGCCCAAGGCGCTGAACTAAATATGCTAAATATGATAAAAAAGCACTACTTTCAAACATTTCATACCTTAAAGGCAGATGCGTAATCTATTGCTATCTATTATGCCCTAGTAGGTTTGATCTAAATTTTTATTACTTTAAAACATAAAAAGATGTGAAAAACAACCTTTTAACCCCTAAACTTTCACACAAAGACATTGTTTCAGAAATATTACAGTATGTATTTGGAGCTATGACAATTATAATTGTCAAAAATATAAAAAGCAATAACAATGGAAAAGAACAATGTTTTATTTTCTCATTCAAACATTGTCTGTGTTTCTCCCCAGTCAAGTTTATTGCATATAATATTAATACATTAAAATTTGCTCCACTAAGTACTTGACCTGCCAAATTAAGGGTTAAAAACCTACATATGTTGGTTGAATTCCCTGCATTCTTCAGTCTGTGTTGTTTAAAAGCAAAGTGCAAATGGAAATGAGTGAACAAATAAAATAATATTTTTCATGTACATCGGTACCTCTAAGTATCTACACTGAACAAAAATATAAACGCAACACGTTTGTTTTTGCTCCCATTTTTCATGAGATGGACTTAAAGATCTAAAATTCATTCCAGTTACACAATATTACCATTTCTCTCAAACATTGTTCACAAATCAGTCTAAATGTGTGATAGTGAGCACCTGTGCTTTGCTGAGATGATCCACCCCACCTCGCATGTGTGCCCCATCAAGATGCTGATCTCACATCATGAGTAGTGCACAGGTGTACCTTAGACTGCCCACAATAAAAGGCCACCCTGGAATGTGCAGTTATTTTTGCTTTATTGGGGGTCTGGGGACTCAGAAACGGTCAGTATCTGGTGTGACCACCTTTGCCTCATGCAGTGCAACACATCTTCTTCGCATAGAGTTTATCAGATTGTCAATTGTGGCCTGTGGAATGTTGGTCCACTCCTCTTCAATGGCTGTGCAAAGTTGTTGGATATTAGTGAGAACTGGTACACGCTGTCATATACACCGGTCAAGCACATCCCAAACATGCTCAACGGGTGACATGTCCAGTGAGTATGCTGGCCATGCAAGAACTGGGACATTTTCAGCTTCCAAGAATTGTGTACAGATCCTTGCAACATGGGGCCGTGCATTATCTTGCTGAAACATAAGTTGATGTTCATGGATGTACGGCACAACAATGGGCCTCAGGATCTCATCACGGTATCTCTGTGCATTCAAAATGCCATGAATAAAATCAAGGGCGTGGGTACCTACTTTATGAGGGGTATGCGACCACATAATTTCCTTTTCCCTCTTCCATTTTCTGTTTTGTGCCCCAGAGAGATTTTATTCAGTCTTTCCATCTCCAGCTAGCCTAGCAAGCTGATCAGATGACAATAGATATCATTCAAATGAAAACACTCGTGCCCCAGTGCATATTCGCGGGCGCACGCGCTGGACTCGTCAAGAGTGTTCACGTTCTGTGTGTGTGTGTGTGTGTGTCTGTGAGTGTGGGGCGGGGGCGTGGAGCAGGGCTGCGGAGGGGCACCCAATCGCTTGCTTCTGTTAATAATTATTTAATTTACAAATGCAAAAAAAGCTATGAAACACAAAAATGCCCTTTCCCCCATCACTGCTTAGGCGCCCCCCTCCAGCTAGGTGCCCCTATGCGTTGCATACACTGCATACCCACTTTTTGCGCCACTGAATAAAATGCACCTGTGTTCTTGGTCCAAAACAGATGCCTGCCCATACCATAACCCCACCACCACCATGGGCCACTCGATCCACAACACTGACATCAGCAAAGCGCTCACCCACACGACGCCACACACGCTGTCTGCCATCTGCCCTGAACAATGTAAACCGAGATTCATCCGTGAAGAGAACACCTCTCCAACGTGCCAGACGCCATTGAATGTGAGCATTTGCCCACTCAAGTCTGTTACGGCGACGAGCTGGAGTCAGGTCAAGACCCCGATGAGGACGGCGAGCATGCAGTTGAGCTTACCTGAGATGGTTACTGACAGTTTGTGCAGAAATTGTTTGGTTATGCAAACCAATTGTTTCAGCAGCTGTCTGAGTGGCTGGTCTCAGACAATCTTGGAGGTGAACCTGCTGGATGTGGAGGTCCTGGGCTGGTGTGGTTACACGTCATCTGCGGTTGTGAGGCCGGTTGGATGTACTGCCATATTCTTTGAAACCCCTTTGGGTGACGGCTTATGGTGGAGAAATGAACATTCAATGCAAGATCAACAGATCTGGTTGACATTCCTGCTGTCAGCATGCCAATTGCACGCTCCCTCAATGCTTGTGGCATCTGTGGCATTTTGCTGTGAGACAAAACTGCACATTCCAGGGTGGCCTTTTATTGTGGGCAGTCTAAGGTACACCTGTGCACTACTCATGATGTCAGATCAGCATCTTGATGTGGCACACCTGTGAGGTGGGGTGGATTATCTCAGCAAAGCACAGGTGCTCACTATCACACATTTATACTGATTTGTGAACAATGTTTGAGAGAAATGGTATTATTGTGTAACTGGAATGAATTTTAGATCTTTAAGTCCATCTCATGAAAAATCAGAGCAGAAACAAAGGTGTTGCGTTTATGTTTTTGTTCAGTGTAACTTGATCACTGTAGCATTTACGTTTATGTTATGAGAGATATGTTAAGAGCTTGAGGATTTGTTAGGCCAGAAAATAATTCACACATTCACACTGAAATGTCAGATGTTCAGTCATTTTAGTGATGAAAGTTTTAAAGTAGAAAGGTTTAGCATCAGGTCACTAAGCACAGACAGTCTACCATCAGGCAACTCACTGATGAAAACAAATTTGAGCTTTAACTTGAAATCAGAAGTAGTCCAGCAGCTCTCAGGTTACCACCAACGACTGACTACCTCAACACGATGTCCAACTGACATACGTGTTGCTTTCAAGTTGAGCCAAACTTTTGTTTTCCCAGTGATTTAAGAGAGCATCACCAAAGGAGATTTACAAACCAGACAAACTGAAAACAGAAACATGTTCACCCCCCACCCTATAAATAAACCTCTAACTCTAGATCATGTTCAGATGGAGGCGAGTGCTGTGTCTTTTGGTGAAATGCAACACTATTGGTCTACTGTGGCTGTGCAGTGAAACAGAGAGGTGTGCAGCTGTCCAGTAGAATGAAGCAATTCATACTCACACCTATTTCAGCCTCTTTCATGCTTTACAAACTGAAACTAGTTGCCGCCTTTTCAACATGTCTACACCTTCTACATCTTATTTTCTGTGCTATTTTAACAAGTGGTGTTAGGATTTTTTTTTCTCAAAAGAAAATCTTTAAAAAGCTCGAACAGTCTAAATAAAATCTGGTTATATCTCAATGTCTATGAAAGTGGATCCTTTGATGTCTTTATCTGCCTACATCAGACAGCACAAAACACAAATAACAAGACCGACAGGAAGAAGAAATGACAGCTACACTCACGTCACATTACAGAGCACCCACAACAGCTGCATGCATCTTCTAGAGAAAGATAAAGTGTTTAAAGGGTTTAGAAAGAGTTTACAAACTAGTCTCGTTCTCCATCACAGGAGTCGTGATTGGTTGATCAACCTGACTCCCTTCCTCCTTCTGCTCACGCTCCTTCCTTCCAAGTGTCCTCCTACTCTTCCTCTTGCTCGTCCTCATCCTCTCACTGCTGGCCTGCTCAACCTCAGCTTTCACATCGCTAGCGGATGGTGTTGATGTGGTGGTGGTGGTGCTGGTGGACGTAGAGGTGCAAGAAGGACAAAAACTCCTAGAAGCTCTAGATGGGTCTGACAGGGAAGTGTTGCTGGTTGTGATGAGGCTGCAGCTGTCCTTCACCTCAGTGGGCAGTGCTCTCCCCCTTAACTTTACTTTGGCCTCTCTGGGATAGGCTATGTGACTATTAGCAGGCCTTGTTTTAATGTTCCTTTGGACCAGCACTCTGTTATTTCTCCCTGTTTCACTTCTCCTAGGGATTTGTACTGGACTTGCTGACTTATTGGTCTTCTCATTATTTGCAGAGTTGTTTTTAACCTTTTGCTGCTGTGAACAAGAATGACGTTGCATGGCTTTTATCATTGGGATTTGAGATTTAGGAAATAAACCTTCAAAATGATCCAATCTTTTTCTGACTTTATGCGGAATCTCCCGTTTTTGGATGGGTAATTTATCAGCATTTTCTTGTGCCTTGTCTTTCACTGCTGGTTGCCTGTGACTGCATAGTTTGTAGCTAGGCACTCTCAAAGGTAACTTTGATTTGAACATATGGCCTTTGATTCCTTTGGCTTTTGCATTTACTATTGCTAAAACAGCCCTGTCCTCATTGGAGTTTTCTTCTACTTGGCTAAAGGAAGTTTCTTTCTTGCTGATCTCTTGCTGAGAAACTCCTAAATATGATAATGGGTTGAATGTAATGCTACCAGTCTGAGATATGTTTGAAAGGGGGTCAGGGAAAGCTTTACTAGTGTTGCTGCTCAGTGTTTGCAAACTGCTACCATGTTGTGAAGTTGCAGAAAAATAAGTTGTGCTTTGATAATGTGTTTTTTGACTCTCCAAGGACTGTTTCTGTGTGTCTGAACAAAGGGTGTCATTTGGATTATAATGCATGACAAATGGTTGTTTACCAAAATAGTTTTCTGTTATGTTTGACGTCATAAAATTATAGTCATCTGCATAGTCTGAGGTTAAACGATAAAAACTATCTACAGTTGTTCCTGAGGCGTTGTCACTATAATCGTCACAAGTGCTAGGGGTTTGCTGTTTAGAAGTATCAGAGCTTTTATCAGAGGATAGCTTAAGTCCTGTCCTAAAAGTGGAGAATCTGGGCTCAGACATGGAAGCCGAGTCTCTGCATGTGCTGTAAGTAGGCACATTTGATATTTCTACTGTTGTAGTCTGAATGGACACTTGAGGGACTGATGTGGTATAATGAGCAATAAGTGGATCTTTGTGTTGTGAGGAGGCATCTACCTCTAAGTCCCTCACCCTATATCTGCCCGCTGAGTAGTAATGCTCACCAATCTGAAAAAACTGGAGCCTCTCCTCCACCATGTCCCTCTTGCTCATGTCAATCGCACCACTGCGTGTCATCTCAAACATCTTCCCTTCATGGAAGGGGAATGGGTTTGGTTCGCTCGTTGGTGTGCTATCATCTGTAGGAGTTTGAGCTGGGGTAGTTTCTGCTGTCGTGGCCTGAGACTGGTCCTCGACGGCTAGTCCATAAGGCTTTGGCTCCACATTGTTTCCCCGTGTCCCTCCCATATCGACGACTTCTCCTTCACCACTTTTACTGGGCCACGGATCAAAGTCCAGTCCTTTGGTGGCAACGGTCTTAAAAGGAGAGCTAAATTCGTCCTCTAATTTATAACTAAAGTAACTGTCTGAAATTCCCTCTTTATCAGAATGTTTTTGTTCCAGGCTTTTAGCTCCATCGTTACTAACAAAGTCAGCTTTCCCATCATTTGAGGAAGTATAATTTTTCAAAATCTCCTTCTGGCATTCCTCTGGGATTTTCTCCTCCTCAATGACTTCCAGTTTAGTCTGTGGAAACGCCCGGTCGGAGGACCTGAATGTGTCTGTTGCCCAAACATCTCTGCGGCTGTCTGGGAGACCAAATAGACGAAGAGAATCTGCTTGCTCACACAGGCCATCATCTTCATCTTGAAGTTCGTAACCATCCAGAGAGTCTATCTCTGTTGCATCTGTGTCATGAGAAAATTCAGCTGTTGTGGCTATTGAACAGTCAGTTATGGATTGGTCATTTCCATTTTGTTCACATTCATTGTCCTCTGCTTTACCGTTAGAACATTTAGAACCATTGCTGGAACCATTGGAACCATTAGTCCCACCAGGTTCCTTGTTTCCATTTCTGTCATGCCTTTTGGATTTAGATTTTCCTTTCTCCATAATCTTTTCCTCCTCCTCCTCAGAATTTTTTAAGGTCAATTTCTTACATGGAGTTGGTTGAAAAATTGACTCTTCATCCTCTTCTTCTGCATTAGACTGACTGTCATCTGTGCCAGGGGGAACTGGCGAAGGGGGTTGAATGCGTATAATTGGCTCGGTCCGCAGATGCTTGGCGTGTTCCTCCTGTAAGTTCACGTCCATCATTTCTGTCTCAGCTTCTGAAGAAGCACAGGAATCTTTTCTCTCTGTGTCTGAAATTTCTGAGGCTGAGTCTAGAGGAGGAGGGGGAGGAAACTCAATATATGCAATACCCTTATCTTTTGAAACTTCAAGCTGCTCCTGTCCTTTAGTGCCATTGTGTATGCCAGTTACTGCAGAATCTTTGTTTAAATTATCAGTCAACTCCTGCTGATTGTCATGAACTTTTGTTTCTCTATTAGCATTAACAAGATCTGCTTGGGCTTCGTGGACATTAGTTTTACTGTCGATAGTGGTCTCTTTAAACGAAAAAACTGTGTTAACATGTCCATCTTCTTCTGACTCCTCAGAGACCTCCATGATGGGACTTGGTTGTCCTGACAGGAATCCCATAAAGCCATCAGGAGTTTTGCACATGAGCTCATAACTGACCTCCTCAGAACTAGGAGTTTCTGGTGTAAGAGGGCTTTTGCCTGAGCTGTCTATGAAGGACACCTGCTCTAAAGTATCATCATCTGGGCTTATGGGGCTAAGTGCAGAGTTTGATTTCTGTTTGACTGAGTACAGTGCTCCTTTAGTTTCCCTCTCTGCCTGCCTGCCAACCTGCACATAAACAGGTAATGTTTTGATGCCCTTGAAGTTTTCTTTGGTTGTTACAGCAACTGCAGGGGTAATAACTTTCTCCAGTATTTCTCTGGGAACGTTATTAGAGTTTGAATCCTTGGGTGCATTGTCTAGAATTTCAAAGGTTAGATCTGTTTTTACTGGATGTGTCTCTGGACTTTTGGTTTTAGATGCTGTAGGTATCTGGGAGGGTTTTGTAATTGCTTGTTTCTTTGTAAGATCATTATCTAAATGTAGGGATGTTGCTCTTACAGGAATCTGAAATTCAGGCTTTTTTCTGATGTTCTTGTTGGGCAGTTCCTCAGCCTCCATTTTAGGGAGTTCAGCTTTTGTGTCTTTGGGAGACGAAACAACTTTTCTGGTTTGATGGGATTTCTTAGCATCACTATCATGAACAGCAGGTGTCTTATCTGTCTGACTTTTATAGCTTTCTTTAATTTCCTGTGTTACACATGAACTTTCTTTACCTTTAGCTGCCACTTTATCAGTCTTCATTTCCCCAACTTTTTCAGTGGCTTCAATGATGTTTTTGTTTGGAAGCTTATCTACATTAGAAGTTTTAGATGTTGGTACTGGATCGGGTTTAGTACCTTCTGTCACTTTCTCACCATTCTTTTTCTGACTATCATCTCCTGATGTTTCTGAAACTTTTGCTGCTTTTCCTCCAGTGTAGAACTGATACACAGGAAGTTTGCTTTCCTGTAACTTTTTAATTGAGGGTTTTGGTTGCACTGGTGGAGGAATTTTGGTAGGACTAGACTGACTTTGACTAATGTTCTGAGCCACAGATTCAAACTTCATTCTCACTGCACTGACTTTGGACGTTGATTTAACGTGAGCAGGAGAAGAGGGTTCAGATGCACTAGTCTTTGGTTCATGTTTTAGTTTATCTTCACTGGCATTAGAAAGAACTTTCTGAGGACTGCTTGGTAAACTATAGCTTTTCTTTTCAGCTACTGTGGAAGTGCCAAAGATTTTTCCAACTGAAGGCTCTCTAAGCTTACTTTTACTGAACTTCTCGTCTTCTGTCTTAGGTTTCTGTTGTGTTTTCTCTGGGCTGCTGCAGACCGAGCTAGGCCAGGATCTAGGCTCCTTTTGCCCTCGTCTAACAGGCTTTTTCTCAGGTGACTGCAGCTCATCGTTAAGCTTCTCTGTTTTGTCACGGAAGAACTGTGATACCTCACTGAGTTTTTCTTCGGCTTCCTTGACACTCTGATCTACCCGGTCCTCATAAAGCAACTTATCCCTGCTCCGATCATGCTTGTCTTCAGTAAATCTCATCCAAACAGCATGTTTTGGACTGCCTGGTTCTGTGGAGTAATGGAGCACTGTCACTTTGTCAAACTGAGATGGTTCATCCTTGTGTGGTATTTTACCTGATTTGGGGGAACCATCTTTTGCTGACCTGGAAACAAACTCTCTTTTAGGGCTTCCCTGCTGCAGATTAGGGATCGCATCGCTAACAGTGTCCTCAGAAACTAGGTGACATTTTTTGTCGGTTACTGTCGCAAAATCCTCCGTATCTGAATAACCCTGCAATGACGGGTCAATTTTCTCAGAGAGAAGCATTTTTTCAGCAAACCTATACGACTCTCCTCGAACCTCTGACAACTCATCGTCACAGTATTCTATGGAGTGTTGGCTTAGCAGTTTTAGAGCTTTATATGAATCGTCAGCTATTAGTTGGGCAGAACTTGGTCGACTGTCCTCTTCTTGTGACACTGGGGTGTTGACGCGAGACGTTTCCAGGAAGGAAGGCAGGGATTCTTCGGCAGTAAGTTCCTCTTCTTCCTGTTGGGTCTCATCATAATCAGTGAGCTCCTTTATTGCACGGTCCCCCTTGTAGATGTAAAGCTCAGGGTGTTTCTTTGATTCTCTAATAATGACCTCGGTTGGTTCTGCTGTGCAGTGGCCCTTTTCAATATGAACCTCAATGATCCGCTCTACTTTAGGTTTGGACTTAATATCTCTGTCAAGAAATCTAGGAGTCAGCTCATCACCTTTCACTGAATCTTGGCTAGCCTTGTGTTCAAAAAGGCCAGCCAGGTCTTGAGATGGGTCCCGCCCTGTCTGAAAAGCTTTCATGATATCTCTAACAGACATGGCTTCTTCTAACATCTCCGTGCCATTTGTCAGCTGAGGCTTGTGATATAACATTCTAGTTGTTTTAGTAATATGAGTTTCCTCTTTAAGACACATGCTTTTGTTCATCAAAGCATTGTCTTCTGGTATTTTCATCTGTAAGTCTTTGGAAGAAGCTGTTTCGGGTTCGACAGCAGGTAGAGTAGCTGCAGCTTCTGCCATGAGTCCAGGCTCGCAAAGATCATCTGGATGCTCATAGCTCCTAATGTGGACAACCTCAGTTCTCGTCTCAGATACACATGGGGGGATTGGTGAGTCTGTAAATAAAGGTTTAGGTCCTGTGCTCTCTGCACTTTGAGGAGCAGACGGCGTCTTTTCACTTCTTGTCTCAAACCCGCTGTCTGATAAGGGACTCTTATCCTGCTCATGAGAGAGGTCCTCAGGAGACTCTAGTATTGTGTCTGAACCCTGATATGACTCAGCAAGCTTGCTTAGGTCCTTTTCTGAGGGAGACCTGAGCATGCCCGAGACTGGTGGAGGCATTTTCAGTTTATTTTCTTGTATGGACATAGATGGTTTGAGGACACGCTTTTGTTTTTCCTCCCCCTGCTTTCTCAACTCTTCCTCCTTCATACTTTTCAGTTCGGCCATTTTTGACAGAGAGCTAGCACCAATATCATTTGTTAGGAAATCTACAACCTTAGCTAACTCTAGCTTGTTTGACATAGTCTGGTGCTTAAAAATTGTCTCTTCTTCAAAAGTAGGGTAATAGTCTGGGATGGTACTTCTTTGTGCCTCTTCAATCTCATCTCTGGAGAATTCTTCCCATCCATCTTCTGAGACTCTCTCTTTTTGTGATTTGCCTGCAATGACCTTACCTTCAGTCATGATATCTTTTTGTAATATCTCACTGACTTTGACTAAATCTTCCTTCACCTTCTCAACTAAAGAGTATGGCTCCTCGTCTTCTAACTTGGACTCTTTAGGTGTGCCAGTATGTAATGTTTGTACCGTTTTGGCTGCTGTCTGTGTGTCTGTCTGAAGGATAGCGGTCATTCTGATTAGATCCTCTTTCATATCTGCAACATCTTTCAATATCTCCTGGTTTGAAGCTGCAGTTGGGTGGATAATTGGTGGCGTGATAAATGGAGGGGATTTTAATTGGGACTTCATTTTTGTTCCGGTAACACAGGAAGACATAGAGGGAGAAGATGAGGGGACAGCACAACAAGAATCAGGACGTGCCATTTTTAGAGACCCAGGCCCAGGTTTGATCGGGGTCTCTGGGATGACATTGACCAGTGAATAAACAGGAACAGTCATTGTATTAGTTGAGACTGTTGGGCTGGGGGAAGCAGCTACAGATCTCAAAGAACCGGAAGCAGAGCTTGCTGTGGCAGATCTACGGGAGGTGAGGGATCTAAGTGTGCCATAGCCTGACACAGAGTATGAATCTATAGCTTCATTTATGGCTGCACTGACACCAGACGTTGCTGCTTGTGTGGTGGCTTGAATCCGCTCTTGAAGGCTGCTTCTCTCTGAGAGAAGACGTGAAGAAGGGGAAGTTGGTGTTGAGGAGGGGGACGGATATATAACAGGTGAAACTGATCCGTTCATCATGGAAAAATCTGAGGAAGCAATGGTTGTCTGACCAGTTGACAAGAGAGAGGAGACAGATGTCCGCCCTCCTCGAGATGAGAGTGTTGATTCAACTGTGGTTTTTAACGAAGACAGGCTAGAGATACTTTTTACAGATGACAGGGTGGCTGCTGCTGCATCCATCACAACTGTAGACCCAAGGGCTGTTTTAAAAGGTAGATTAGAACTGTATATGTTGGACAGATGTTTGGGTGATGCTGCAGAAGTTATAGAGGCTGAAGATCTGTCAGATAAGGAGCCATTTGGTATTGAATGGATTGGACTGGTCCTTGATGTGTATGCTGCTGCAAAATTTTTGATTGAAGCTGGATCTGTAGCGGTTTTACTTCCAGATGTCTGAATACTGGCAGGCCCCTTATTGGGGTACTGACCTTGCTGGACAACTGTTTTAATGGGTGAAGGCATGGTCCTATAAGACCTGATGGGAGATGAGGACGGTATGTCACTGACTGATTTAACCGGTGATGATGAGGCAGGTGCTGAGGGTGAAGGTCCCAGGTTGGTCTTTATAATTGTGGAACCTGCAGGTGAAGGGGCTGAGAGGGTCCAGGCAGACTTCAATGGAGAACCAGCTGGTGAGCTGGTCAGTGAATCGGTAGAGATGAGGGAACCCCCCATTCCGATGGGCCTTGTTTGGCCAGGGACGGGAATAGGAGCAGTCGACCATGGTGGGTAAGGTCTGGCTGGAAAGACAGGTTTGTGAGGGTAACCAGCAGGCAGTGCTCTTGCGGTTGCACTTCGTTCAACTGCTGCTTCTTCAAATGAATTTACAGAGAAATTATGACAAGTGGATGGAAATAACCAAAATAATGCAAAACAGTGAAGATAACAGAAAAATATGTTGGGGGAGGAAAATAAATGGAAAAAGTGACAAAAAGAGAAGACCAGAGGAGGGAGAGTTGGTCAGTGATGCAGTTGCAGTATTAAGGAGGAAAAAAGCACTTGTTTTATATGCTAGGTATAAGACATTTGAACAAATCGCAAGATGGATTCATGAAAAAATAAAACATTTGTGTTTACGAGTTTAAGAATTTCAAGATTTCTCAAACAGCAGCGACAACAAAAGAAATGAGCTCAACACAGCACATTCAGCAGCAAAGTAAAATCCCCATGACAATGGTGTAGACTGACAACTGAAACACAGAAAAATGGCAACACAAATGCACCAGGATAAACACAAAAAATAATTCTCTATTTGAACTTTAAATGTTCTAATACCACTGGATTTCTGGCTAAAAATTCAGTCTGCTTTTTTGTAGTGCCTTTTATCTGTTTGCCCCAAAGAGGACATTTTAAAAACAATTTAGACACTGTGGTGAAATAAAAGGCTGCAAAAGTTCACATTTTCTTTTTCAAGATCAAACAAAAGTATGACAAAATGTGCTGTCCAAGACCCAAAATTTAGCTCATTTTGTCATGCAGCTTCAAAATTGTGAAAAACTAAAAAAAAAACTTGAACGGAAACCAAACTCAAGACCTCTGACATGCATTTTCATACCAAACAAAGCTGTAACGCTGCAACAAAGCCAAAAGGAGCTTCTCAGTCCAAGGGAACACATGAAATAACAATGAAACTTTACTTTGACTTCCCTTTCAAAATAATTGTTTTATCTCAGAAAGTTAAAGTAAAATTTTGCTGAAATCCACGTGTAAATCACAACCAAAGTTGAAAGAAGTACAATCTCACAATGTGGGCAAGCATAGCACACAAACTCAAAAACCAACCACTGACTCATGCAAAAAATATGCACCATGTGGTAAACAAGCACATGGACAGTGCGTGTTATGTGGAATGAGAAATATGCATTTGTCACATGATTAAAGTCACATCTACACACTCATTATGTATTTAACGTCTAACGTGTCTACTAATCTTTGCATTCTTTTAATCTTATCAAAGGTTTGGTTAGTAATGATGTCAAACTCACTCTGTGCAGGCTCGGTCAGATAGCTGTAGCGCTTACGTAAGGCTAGGGATGCAAAGGTATGACGTCGATCTGGCTTTTCAGTCTGCAAACAACACAAAACTCCTATCAGTTTTAGGTCACCCTACAATTGAAAGTGCTGCAAAAATCAGCACATTTTTGTATAAAATTAATGAAAACCCTTTAGTCTATTAGTCTATATTTATGAAGGGTTTATTTACAAATGATACCATTAAATACTCCTGCACTTCATTGGACTATAATTGGTTAGGAGTTTGTATTATCAACTAGTAATTTTAAATAGAGTTAGTCACAATAGATGAAAATATCAATTCTTGAACGTGTACAAGAGAAATGTTTGATTTTATTTATGTTTTTTTTTAATCTGGAGCAACTTGTATGGTGTAAGGGATACAGAATGGACATTAGACATGAGGTTTGTCATATCTAATCTACCACATATCATGCAAAGTTGAGCAGCTAGAGGTGGTTACAAGCAGGGAAAGCTGATTTAGCCCTTTGCAGAAGTGGTTTAAAAAATAAAACTTCGAAGAGCAAAGCAGGGCCGCTTAAGGTCTGGTGCAGAAGACAGCACATGGTGGGGAGGGTGTGGTTTACCTCATCTTCGGCATCTGACTCCATTTCCTGGTTCCCAAGATGCATTGCAGAAACAGGGAGGAGTAACATAATGGAAAGCAGGGAGGGGGCAAGAAAAACCAGGGAGTGAAAAAGGAGTGATTGACAGAAGCTCCAACTCAGAAGTGAAGCCACTTCAGCAAAAAGAAAAAAATCAACTCAACTAGAAAATAAATTAAAAACATGAATGAAACAAACACAAACTATAGAAAGCACCAACACTCAGAAGCAAAAAACAGCAAATGAGGTCAAGCCAGCCCAACAACCAAAACTCTTAAGCACACAAGCCCTCAGCCAAAAGCAAGTAACCCAAAGCATTAGGCAGGAGGAATCAAAATGAAACGGCCAATGATACAAATTCACTGTAGATACTCAGAGAAGCTTTAAACAGATAAAAGACACGTTGGCGGCAGGTTTGCCAAAGTCTTTCTCTGTCTTTCATCTATCAGTGTCGTGGGCAGAAAAACACCCTGACGATGAAAATGTTTATGGGCATGAAAACAGAATGGTGGGGTCACGCTGACCTACCTTCTTCACCGCTGGAAGCGTGATGTTCAGGTTGCATACAGCAGTTTGTGGGAGGCCCTTTGTGGGCTTACTCTCTTTTAGGAAAGTGAGGCGACCACACGGCTCCTGACTGGGATCTCTGACCTGAAGGCAAACACAACTCAATCGTACTTGATCACTATGGTGGCAGACTGATTTAGGCAAGAATTTCAGTTGACATTGTGAACCTCAGTGTTATTTATTGACAAACTTAATAAAATTATTATTCAGCACACAATTGCACGGTATTCCATCTGTAGCTCTTTTAAACCATATCCAAATGCATATTTTTACCGGGATAATGTTCTGCTCTACCTTTAGAGTAGCAGGAAAAAACAAAAACATGCATTTTAAGATGCCTTATGAAAACTATTTAAAATGTTTTGCTACAGGGCTGAGTTATTTGGCAGTTTGATCAAAGGATTAGCTCATAAATGCTACACGGCCAAAACTGTAAATCGATTTTTATTTCTACAATAAACATAGAAATCTCTAATTATTATTAGTACAAGTAGTAGTAGTATTCATTTTATTGACATTCATTTATTTCTTATGTAGGAGGAAAACAATTTCACACGGCGTTTACTTCCCATTTAGTATCTGATGCGTTAACATGGGCGTCGCACCCGTGGGGGATGTGGGGGATTCAACACACACACTTTTACAGCTGTTTTGCTCACCTCCACACCAGTCTGGTTTCTCTACGTCGCACTCACTCTGTTTGCCTCATCTCCTTCTTCCCCTCCCTCTTCTGTTTCTCCTTGAAAACCGACAGCCGATGTCGTGTTTCAAGGAGAGCAGGAGAGGGAGGGAGGGAAGAGCTCGACTGAATTCATAATTTTACATCTTGACATTAGCTGTACAAAGTCGGAGTTTGATAAAGTGAAGAACAACTATTTGCAGAGGTTTATAAATGGCGCGGCGCCAGGTTTTCATTTTTGGGTGGGCCATGGTAATTTTGGACGGACCTTAATAAGCAGTGACTTAAGTGAAGCATGCAGGTTGCGTTAGAAAATTTCGTATAAAAAAGACGTCATAAATTTCCCCCCCGTCATTTTTATTTCTAAAATATGAAGTAAAAACTCACAATTTAATTTTCACTCATTTTTCATTTATAGGCACCAGAATGCATTACCTGCACTTCTAATATTTACCTCTCAACGTAGGACTCTTTCATAAGGGTACGTGCACACCAGTAGTTTTTAACGGTTATTCATGGGGCAAAATCTCCCACATTTTTGAAAAAAATAAAAAAATCCATCTTCCAGTAAAAGCAAAGCATCCAGCCCACCTCTCCAAATGCGTAAAATGTGCATCAGCCGCTAGTTAGGCACGCCGCATGTACTGTCAGCTGCGTCAGCCCAGACAAGAGCAGAGAAAATAGAGAAAGAATAGAGGATAATTCTGTCTGGATGTGGATGGAGATTACATTTTACAGCAGCCTGATCATCATTTAAATACGTAAACCATCACCTGTCTTCTAGTCCATGCTATCAGCATTATTTTAATTGGTGTTTGCGTGTGTGTGTTTTCCTTTTCAAACACTGGCCTAACTAACCAGACCAGCGTGTCCAGTAACATATTAATGTTACAATTAAACAATTTCAATTCATGTAGGCTAGGAACATTTCACCTGCCGTGGCCCGACCGCTTCTGCTCCACATAAACTTTGTGCGTGATCAAATGTCTCTACAGGTGCTTTCTGAGCTGAAGAGGCTATTCTGCCTCTGACTGGATGCGTCATGCGTCTCCATATTAGAGATGGGAACAAGCGCTATTCAGCCAAAGTTTCATAATCAGCGAACATGTTTCACATCCCTCAGAGAGACCGGGTTTCCAGACCGCTTCAGTGGGAAGAAATCTTACCGCATGGGCTGTCTGCGCTATGGAAATATCTGTAACCTGCCATTTAACTGTTTTGCCTTCTTGTGAAGATTGTTGCAAAGAGAAACAACTAAACTTGATTAACCCCAGAGCCACGCACACTGTGCTGTACTCCGTGACTGTAAATGAGGGGGAAACGATCGAATCGGATCCTTTTCTTTTCAACATGGTTTAATGTAAAGTTTCATTCAGTACAAACTTTAGTTACACCAATCTAACGAGACAGAGCCTGGATTTGTATTCTGAACAGTTTAAACATGTTTAAAACGGAGCCATGCGTGACGCGTCTAAAATTCGCACCTGCTCCGCTATTATGGAAATTAAACTAACAAGATGAATAACATGAAATTATTTTGGGCACAGAAACATCCCCCACACTTTTGAAAAGCTTGCAACGCGCCTGTGCGTTAAGCCATTATTTTTGCATATTTCATTAAGAAGATAGGTCACTCTTTGACTTTTGGCTCATTTTATCAATTTTTACATAAAAACCTAAAGTAGCTTTTTTAGCGGTTTGATGAACTTCCAGCTAGAGGCTGACCAATATTGGTTTTTCTATTGCCGATAAAGATGCCAATAAGTAGGAGACATGGTCAGCCATATGTAGTGCCAAATTTTCATAGGCTGATTTTCATGGCCGATATCTAGACATTTTCCACCTTATTTTTATGTTAAAATGCCACAAATAACATCAATTGATGCACTTAATGTCTGAATCAGTTTTTGAACTCTGAGTTTAACTGTTAAATCTGAACTTTGTACACTGCTCAGTGTTAAAGTCAGACACCTAAATAAAGTTAATTTATGTTATTAGTGAACATAGAATTATGCTTAACTTAAATTCTGCTGCAGCACCGGGCTGCCCGAGGATATGCTAGACTTTAAACTGGCTTTACTAAGGACAAATATCGGTTGATACCTACATATAAAAAAATGATAAATATCAGCCCGAGCGATATATTGGTCTACCCCTGCTCCCAGCTCCACATCTTATCTAAGGGGGAGGTATTATGAAGTACCTTGACACAAAAGGGCAACCGGTTTTCCTTAAAGGCATAGAAGTTGAGAACTAACTGCTGACCGGCTTTGGTCAGAGCAGCCAAGTTTCCATAGCAGTCAACATAGATGGGCCTTCCCTCCAGAACCTGTAACAAACAAATAAAAATGATTAATTATTAGATAAAATAAATAAAATGACAAAGATGTTTGACTTATTTTTAAATACAATTTTAAGACTTTCCAGCACCTTTTTGGTGGAGATTTACAAATACATGAACAGTACACTTACTTAAATGATTATTTCACTTCCTTACTTCATGAAAGTAGATTGTACTGTACTAAAACCAAATTAGTTTCAGACACCTTATTAAAAAAAGTTGGCACCTTTAAAACCTTGAAAATACCTGAATAGAATTCAAGCTTTTTCACAGATTTCAAGCACGTCAGACAAAAAAAAAAGCTGTTTTAAATTAAAACTTTCTTTGGAAATAATTAGCTATTTCAAACCAAAGCCTTACTTTGTATTATGTTGATATGTTTTGATGAAAACTGACCAAGTGAAAGGTCTATTTCTGCTTTAAACTCGGACCTGCACTTGATTATGCTGCAAGAATCATGTCACGTGATCGGTTTGTGTACCTCTATGTCTTTGCTCCTTGCCACCTCCTCAAAGTTCTCCTGCTGCTCCAGGGTTTTGTCCACCTTGTCATCCGTCATGCAAAAGCACCTCAGACTGGACTCTACTGGATCATTCATCTTGGCAAACACAACAAACTTGGCCATGTAGGGCACACAGATCAGCTCCCTGTAAAGCTGCATGGCCAAGCTCACCGTCTCTGGGATCTGGTGACAGTCGGCTAGCCAGAACCTGGAGAGAAAAACAAGGGAAGGGATGGACATTTAAGACATATGCATGTGTGAATATAAAGACATGCAGGTTCTGTCTCACCTGGCAGAGACATTAGTGGTAAAAGAGACACAGTCGTTGACAAACGTGAGTGGGGTCGTCCCTGTGATGTCCTCCCACTGAGCTGGTGAAGTCCCACCTGCCAAACAGATAAAATGTCATTTTCTATTTAATTCAGTTTTGAAAATCTAATTTACCTGGACAAACAATGAAGAAACTTAGAAATTAGAAAATCCAAAATGGGCTCTGCATGACTCCACACCAACATGAGCTGAAGCTTAAATCAGGAAGTTGTCACGTTGCGAGCCAGGAGGAGGTTAGGACCCAAGATGCAGAAAATCCAGAATGACACAAGGCAGGTAGAAAAAGAACGTAAAATCCTTTATTTAAGGAATAAAATGTCCACAAAACCAAAAAGTCCAAAAATATCCAAAGCACAAAAACCTAGAGACCTAGTAGCAAAAACCTAGAGACCAAGAGAAACCTAATACCTACAGACCCCTAAAGACCTAGAAGCATAAATCCTAGAGACCGAGAGGGGGGAACGAGAACAACGCTGACACAACAATGGACAGACACACACTGAGAGACAAGTCAGGGTTTTATACACAGGGGCTGGGCGATTAAGGGAATTGGGCACAGGTGATACAAATTACCAAGAGGAGGAGCAGAACAGGGCAGGTGAGGAGGGCGCAAACTAAAACCTGTTAAACAAAGCTACTGAACTTAAAACACTGTAGAAATAAGACGCTGGAGAACTAAAGATAAATGAAGTGACTAAAGCCTGATTCATGCTTCTCCGTCTGCGTCAGTGTGGAGACACGCAACGTCCTTGTGTGCCTGCCGGAGAGCTCCGCAAGGACAGATGGAGTCGAGCTCTCTTTTCTAAACATCCGTCAGTCGAGATGGACAACGCAAGCTTGTGATTGGTCAGGACGCCGCTGTTGTTTACAGCGCCGCCATTGCGCCCTCAAAAACATAAAGAGAGCCGAGGATAACAAGCGGCAGACACGGAGAAGCTTGAAGAATGCCTCGCGAAAAAACTAAAAACATGAACGTTTAATTCTCCCGTGACTGGATGAGTGAAAAAGCAAGCATTTTATTTGTGGACGGAAATGACAAGAAACGTGGGTTTAGAGGTGGCGAGCGCATGAAGAGGTGGAGGAGAATGAGAGACAAATTTGTCTGTGTTAAAAAGTCTCTTATATACAAAAAAACATAATATAAACACACTATCTTGGACCGATACATGACAGGATACCACAGAACAGCGCTACGCCCTCTGTTGTCCTGTCGGGCAATTGCTTTGCAACACTCTCCAGGAGACGGAGAAGTATGAGAGCAAAACGCTTCCGTCAATCCGCGCGTGTCTGTCCCTTGCGGAGCTGACGGAGAAGCATGAACCAGGCTTAAGGGAAATGTGAGGGAAACCTAGAGAGAACCTGGGGGGGGGGGGGGGGGGGGCTGGGGGACCACAGGGACACAGAAACCTAAGGGGAACACCTAAGGGAAAAACCTGGAGTGGGCTGGGGAACACAAGGAGGCGCATGAGGGGGACACAGACAAGGAGACACACGAGGAACACAAGGAGACACATAAGGGGAGCCTAGAGAGAGATGGAGAACACAAGGAGACACATGAGGGAGACACAGAACATGACAGAAATAGGTACAAAATAAATTTAAACTGAATAATTAAGGGGATTTTCCTCTTCTCTGATATACAAAGTAAAATAAATTAACCATATTTGTTTTCAAACGTTTTTGATTGAGATGTAATTAAACCTCTGTTTTAGATCAGATATATTGGTGATAACCTCCTTCTGTTTGAACCCAGAATTACTTTAACCATCAACAAAGGCAAAATGTTTGTCTTAGAGCAAACCTAATTCCCAGATTGGATGGATTCCATTATTGTTTATAATTAATTTTTCCATTTTGTTTCTTACAATTACACCTAGAGAATTTAGAACTGAAAGCTTTGAGAAGCAAACTTCTCATAAACACTAGCTTGGCCTACCAGACTCCTCCTCTGTTTAATTCTGCACAGAGAAAGGGTCTGGGAACTCTCCTACTCAAATAACCCCACCCCCTGAGAATTCTAACCAAGCCAATCAGCGCTGAGTAGCTTACGTCACACACCATAATGCCGAGTTCGTCATAAACATGGCGACCGAAGAGGAGTTCGCTGCGGCTCTTTCCTCTGTTCTAAATGACTTGAATGTCTTTAAAACCACAACAAGAAGAAGAGCTAAAAGCCTTTCATCTAAAAAAAAAAGATGTTTGCGCCGCTGCCAGACGCCATTTTATTTATTTATTTAATTTTTCCCCTTGTCCTGTCTGGCTGTGAAGCAAACAGAATTAATGTCTGAATGCTGGTGACAAGCCTTACAGATTTACTCTCAGGTGGAGCATCAAAGCGTCTCGCTTTTAACGTCACGCCTGATACTTAAAACTTTATTGTTATTGTTTTTGAATGCTTTGTAATTCCGACCAGACACGGAGACAGAGGTGAAAGAGAAAGGAAGCGACAAAAGGTGTGTGTGGGGTGTGTGTGTGTGTGTGTGTGTGTGTGTGGGGGGGGGGGGGGGGGGGGGGGGGGGACGGGGGTGTTCAACAAAAATAAACAATCAATGATGAACAAGAGTCTGCTTCTGGACCTAAAGAAAAGGGACACACAACAATACAACAGGAGCAAGCTATCCCTGCGTCAACTTGATGAAGAAATATGAAATCAACATTGTTTAACTGAACAATCACACGATAATAAATCACAGTGCATTTAGTGCCAACCACAGCCTTAAGACATGTGTTGAAAGTGCCCAAGTCCATAATTATGAGAGCACCATGTGAGCACCTGTGTGTGTACACGCACTTGTATATGTAAGGTTTCTCTATAGAGAGTGTGAGGGGCCACAGATCTGTCCCCCAAAGATGTGTAGGAGATGGAGGGAGCTCCAGGTCCCAGAGATCCAGGAGCTGCCCCAGAGCCAGACACCTTTTTTGACTACAGCTAAAAAACTACGGCGTAGCTCGGTACAGTCGGCATTTACGTCATCTTTCTGAATGGTTATTTTTGAACTGGCAAGCCCCGCCCCTCATGTGCCTCTGCCTGTGTGTAACCAGACTCTCTGTGCAGAATTAAACGGAGGAGGAGTCTGGCTACATAAAGGCTAAAGTCAGTATCACATTGGGCCTAATAATGAATTTTCATCTAATTTAATAAATTCACTGATGCTTCATAACTATATCACATTGGGTTGTTAATAAAGGGAGTTTCCAAATGTCTCAAAATGCACCCAATGGTTCTAAGTTTCAAGTAACAGTGCCTTTCCACTGAGTTGCTGGAGCTTTGGACATCTTCAAAACATTAGCAAAACAAGTGTCCTCTAATGAAAACTTGTTAGTTTGGTTTTAGGGCTAAAATGCAAGAAACATGAGATAGCTTTAAAGTGCTTAACAACCAAATTGTGTCTAAATTGTGAAAGAGCACGTGCACAACATTTTTTACAACTGTTGCAATTATGTCTTGTTCCCTTTGTCACCAGTGCAGCTCGTAAGATACGAGCGTAAAACATGAGCACACACCTGTAATGCTACAGAGGAGGCGAAGGCAGGGGGTGCTGTCTCCTTTGTAACCATTTGTAAGCCCCTCCCCTGAAAGAGGCGGGACAGGGATTGTCATGGTAATGGGCTTGTGGAATTTCCTCCTTCTGGGCTCCACCGTAACGATGGGGCTGAAGGTTGCGCGGTTCCCAATGATTTTCTTTACGGTGTCTTCAGGAATGGGCTGGGCCTGGTGGGAAAAGGAAAGGATGAATGAGAGATGTTTCTCTTGTGCATCTACCACTCAAATGTATCATACTATAGAAATGTACACCTTTACACTCACCTGCAACCCAACCTTGATTTTCTTTGTTAGCGCTCCCTCTGGGAAGGAAGCCTGAACCAATGGCACGCTTCGGCTGCGTAAAGTCCCACCCTCTGGTCCCATCTGATGGGTCTCCTGTCTGATCCGGGATACCACAGCAAAGTATTGAGGGAAGTCCTTGGTGATGATGCGGCAGATCCTCTTCTTCTCCAGCTCCTCAGGGCTGTCCAGTTCTTTAGGGAAATGATTATGTTGCAAATAATAATTATATTTTTTGCACATAACTTTTTAATCTGACCTGTAATTAAACACTTTGGTAGCTTAGAAATCTAGATAAGCCTCAGCAGCAGAAACAGATTTTGCTCTGCAGGTTGGTCTAGCCACGTTCCATTGTAGCCTAAGCAGGTCTACCATTGGCCTGAACACTTTTGCATCTAGCCAATCACAGAGCTCTATATATGTTGGGTGGGCTTTAAATCAGCCATTTGCGATGGAGGAAAACAACAAAGATGGCATCGGATCAGGAATGGCGGTCATTTGAAAAGGCTTTGGCTTCAAATTTGGATAATTTCGACTTGAGCTGTACTTTGAGAAATGACCTAGATGTACCTAAGTCATTTATTTAAAAAAGGGATGCATTTGCTTCTTCAACCAGTTTACTGATTTCTGTAGAGATGTATATGCCATGTTGTTTGTTGCTTTGATTGGTCCTAGTGCTGTTCAACTGCGTGCGGAGACTATTTGAAAGACAACCGTAGATTCCGCCCTTATGAGTGAGCTGTTTCAATGGTTTGTGGCCAGACTATATATTTACATAAATAGGACGGCTTGCCAAGCTAACACTTTGCCTTTCTATTAATGCAGATAGCAGATATATCAGGAATAACGTAATAGTGCTGAAAAACGATGCAGAACTTTTGACAAAAGTGAAATAATATCAACATTCTCTAATTCATGGATTCCCAATTTATTTTAAATGTAGGCCCCCTGCAGGTGGATGCCTTTTAGTATAATAATACAAAACATGAGCTTCACCTTCATCCATCCCATTAAGAAGCTGATTGAGGCTTTCAGTCTTGCAGTCGTACAGATGCTCTTTCCAGGTTTCTCCGTTCTCACTGCGCAGCAGGATCAGCTCTCTCTCCTGACCTCGCATCGAGCCAAAATGTGGGATCTCCACTATCACAGGCCTGGTAAAATACATGTCAGGGACAGACGTATGAATTAATAATGATTTAATCATATTTTTACTTTTGACTGAAATTAAAGTACTAAACACACATTTACACTAAAATTTGTTTTCACATTTTTCTCTTAGTGCATGAAAATCCTATTTCATCTCCTTCAAAGCAAAGTGCAGAAGTGATGAAAAACTTAAATGTAAATGAAGTCTCAAATATAATGATGACAGATTGAAGTCACAGCTTGTTCAGCGTATACATTAGCAAACAACGTTTTCAAACAATAAATGCTGAGACAAATCTAAACTAAGCTGCCATCACCTGCCACAAAAACACACTGATCACAGCAACACAAAGAGACAGTTCAGCTGATGACGTGCAACAATGGCGGCTACAGCTGTAAATCTGAGGATCTCATGTAACATTCAGAGTAGATTAAGCAGATTAATGCAGTGAAAGATGGCAGGAAAAAGCTGCACAGCCCTATTAAAACAAGATAGGATGGCAACACAAGAAATCACTGAAGAAAACAATGTGGGTGTTTCTCAAACCTAAACGCGAACGAGAAAAACTACATTAAACAGTCAGCTTTTACAACCTAGAGCCAATATGGTCACTGTCAGATTCCCTGATCAAATCCACTGGTTTGAGAACAGATACTTTGATTTAGGCATGCCCACTCATGTTCTGCAGAACAGGATGTATGTAGTAACCTCAGATTAAACAGGAGAGCTGACTGTAACTTCACATGGAAGTGTCAGACTAACATTCATCATTTATTAATCTCTTATTAAAAAATACATTTTTTCCAGGCTACAATTTAGGGAATTCTACAAAATGAATTGATACACAAAATATTAGATATTTGTAAACTCTGGAAACATCCAGATTTATTCAAGTAAAGAAATTCAGTTAATCTTAATGAGTTAATGATCCAGGAACACTAATAAAACAACACTAAGTAATATTTTATTTAATTTTTACTCCTGACAGTATGTATTTCAAGTTGTATGATTTTCCTGATCAGTAAATGTAAACTTATAAAAAAAATAAAAAAAAAACCCTCAAAAGTAGAAAATTTCCAACGTCCCTTTAATAATCACATGGGATTTACTTTTATTCGTCTCCAAAAAAGATGTTTTTAAATATTTTTGACGGATTAAAGATTTAAGTGAAACCACTAACTAGCTAATTGGCCTCAAGGTGATTTTAGGTTGACTATTTGATTTAGATAAATAGTGCATTTTAAGGACGCGTTATTTTTAACAGTTATCTGTAATTAGCTGACAAAACCCTAAACATCAGACTAAAGAGATTAGGGAAAGGACGTTGTGGCTTCTTTTCATAAAGTTATACAATGATCCAGTATGATGTAATGAGCTTCTTCATGTGTAAACATTTCCTGGGAAGCTGCACTTTATCGCTTTCTTAGCAACTAACCTCAACTAACCAATAAAATTAGAATTCTACTCTTTTGCCGTGGATTTCTGTGGAAAGGTTGTGAACAGTTATTATCGTATCTGTTGAAACCTCGGTTTGGAGAATAAGAGTTTAATTCGGACCATATTGAAAAACTAATAGCTAATTCCCAAGTCCAAAGTTGACTGCTGTCATCTTTAAAGAAGGTGACCAGATGCAACGTTCCTTTAAAAGGCATGTAACAATATCAAAACCTCAGCTGAAAAAGGTTTTGGTATTTTCACGGATTTGAAAAGTGCTCTTAAAACAGGAGATGGCTTCCAGTCTGAGCCGGAACCAGCTGATGGCATAACGCCAGTAAATACGCTCAAACACTCATGTAAACAGTAGTGAATCTCCAGTGTTTCTGTGTTAGCATTATAGCAGATGTAGCTTCTGAAACCTCTGCTAGTTGGTCCGATTTTTTTTTGTCTGGGACATGACTAGGAGAACGGATATTGGATAGCCCCGGAGGGGTGTAGCTGGGTCACCCAACTTGCATTAGCTGCAAGCCGGTTAGCCGATAAGGTGAACACACAGCTGGACTCAGAAAACATGAAAGTTGATTGGAACGCTAATGGTAAATCCAAGGTGGAAGGATGGTGAATGTCTTCATAACCAAAACTGGAACTGTATATTTACTTTTATTGTGTGTTTCATTTCTGTGCTCGCACATAGCAGCTTAGCAGTGCTAGCTGCTTCAGGCTTCATCACTATATTTCAAAAATCTATAGAAAAATTAAACAATGTGCTGCCATTTTTAATCGCTGCGTGTACATATTGATATAACTTCAGAAAAATATCAATCAATTGTTTACCACAGTGGTGCCCAACCTGGGATTCGTGACCCCCCAAGAGGGTCCTTACAATGTTGTAGGTCCTGAGCTTGTGAGGTTACCAAGATTATAGCTATAAAAACTGCATTAAAAAATACAGATAACACACCCAATAGTACAATTAAAACTCTATGTAAGAGGCATAACTTTATACGTCTGTATAAAGTTTGTAATTATTCACTTTTAATTGTGTTCAGGCGCATAGAAGTTTGGGTTGGGGGGCCCTGGCTTGTCTTGGACAAAGGAAAGGGGTCCTCCTGAAAAAAGGGTTGGGAATCTCTGCCTTACCAGCCTAATCTCTCCTGATCAGAGTAACCCTCTAGTTGGCTGTTGTTGTTCAGGACAAGAATCCGGTCAAATAAGCTGACACCTGGAAAATGCAGTAAAGCCAGCCGACGCAGGTGCTCAGTCGGTCTCAGAGCCATAAATTGTTGGAATCTTTTGTTTCCAACCTTTGAGCGTGTCGTAGCTTTCAAAATTGACTTCTTCTTTCCTTACTGAAGCTAACACGGTTAGCGTGCTCCAGTCAGCTCACTAAGATCCTCCTTACAGTTTCCATGACTTTAATGTTGCTACATTAGTTAGAAATGTGTGTAGGACTCTGACATATGGCTCAGACTTTTTGCTGTAAACACAATAATCCCAAACCACTGAGACCATGAAGTTAAACAAAATACAGCTAATCACGAAATAGGATCAGTGTTGACAAACACTAATGCCTCCTGCTGTGTCTTTGAGAAAGGTATGCTAAAGACAGCTCTTCACTGTGTAGCGTCATGAATGGCCTCTAATTTGTGAACCAAAGGTCACACTTTCCCAGCTGGGTCGAGCTCTAACTTTGTCCCACAGATTAACCCAGGAGCTGTGATGTCTGCTAGACACCATCTTTATCTTTATCTGAAGGACACTTCAAGATTTTAAAATAATAATTTTTAAATAATAATTTTAATAAACTCTTTGACTTTATTACTGTTTATTACAATAATCATAAATAATCATCTTGGTTCAGTATAAATGTATTTAATTACTGGAATGGCTAATTATGATTTGGGTAATAATAATAATCATTATTTATGATAATCAGTCATGTGTGTTCAGTAAACCAGAAGGTCATTTGCACGTTAACCACCTCATGCAGAGGGTGTATCCAGGGTAAAGGTTAAACACCTCACATGTCTTTACTCCATAACATCAAGCTTTCTGACGCTGAGAGGGCGTGTTCTGAGGTTTTGTTAAAACCAAATCTCTGCAGCTGTTCTTCACTTCTTGAACCCACCAGAGGACGAGGGACGGCCGCCCAAGTCTCTGCTAAGCATTCTGTCACGCCGATAGACTTGCTTCGAATAAACGCACCTGTAACCAGCTGACGCAAAAACTCCTTCAGAGTTAAGCCAGACGCAAGCTCAACACTGTGTACCCTGCGACAACTCTGGACCAGAGAGTCTGTTTCACTCGGGTCTTCTCTACCTGACCGAGTACGCTGAGGCTGACAACATCCTCCTTTGACCTCCGGATCCACACAGAGGGTCGTCTGATGGGTGAGGTAGCACACAGATTGTGTAAGATGCTGTTTTCTCTAAGAAACAACTGAGTTAGCTGCAAAACAACGTTTTCCACCCAGAACGTGCTTCTTTCTGTTACGGTTGCCAGTCTGGCCAGGGAAGAGCAGGAGCCAGGATCACCCAGCTCTGGTGAAACAGCCTGACACCGCCCCTCCTCCACCTCTCTCCCGGGCTGCTGAGGAGCACAGCTGAGCTGCATCTTCCTTGACTGCCAACACCTGCATAAAAAGGCTGTGCCTTCGGCAGTCTGGGAGGCAGCAGTGCAGGGGTTCTGCTGTCTTCCTGGTTTTAAGTTTGGTTTCAACCCCTTTCGTTTAGATTCATGTGGATGAGTTTTAAACTTTGGTTTGGTTTTTAACTCGTAGTAAGAAGTTTTTGGATGATCCAGTGGGATATTTTTTGCAGTTTGGTTTTAAGGTTAACTTTGTTTGTGGCAATTTTACTGACCTCGGTTTTAAACACCTTCGTAGTGGTAAAGCTTTTTAAAATAAGTTTTTACCAGGTGTTTTAGTCAGTATATTGTTTTGGAACTTTTATCAACTTTGGGATTTTAAAACACCTGTTCGGTTAAGCTTTTAACAAAGTTCTAACCAGGTGTTTTTATAGTTGATAATTTGTTGTGATGTTAACCTTTTAGAGAGATCTGTCTGCATGTTTTTGGGACCTTTTTGTTGCAATAAAACCCTTTTAATACCCACTGTCCAGTCTTGTTGCCCCCATCCTTCACTTTTTAACAACACCTGTCGGGGACGTAACATCTCTCTGAAAGAAACCTTCTGAGATTCATTCACGCATCCAAACCTCACATTCCATTTTAGTTTTTCATTCAGACACAGGTTTGTTTAATAACGAGTTAATATCAAGCTGTTTCAAATTGTCAGTTACAAATTGTCATTTCAAATTGTCATTTTTAAAAGTGTTAGTAATACTTAACTTTTTAAAAACCTGACTCTTCTTTGAAATGAAACTCAGAATGGTGTATATATTTGGTTATTGAATAAGCAAAGATTCCTAACTTCTGATTCAATAAATAAACTTTTGCTATTAAGTTTAATTATCTTAAATTAAACATTAATCTTTGGATTAAAATATAGACCAAGACAGTTAGTGTATGCAATCTATCGATTGCATTAATATCCTAGATATTTGTGCATAATATAAGTTCATAGGCGAATGTCCAATCTTTTCTCAGGATCTAACCAAACTGAAGCAAACAGTGTTAGATCCTAGTATGTAGTTTAACCACGCTACAACTGTGTAGAGAAGATAATTTTCTATAATTATTTATCACAAAATTCCTTAACAAAATAAAACATAGTTTATTTTTTTTATAGATGTAAAGTGTAGTTAAACTGAATTTCTACAATTTTCATGCCGTCTGGTCAATACCTTTAAACAAATCTAACATCAAACCCTTCATCACCGTTCTCGTGAACGACGCTTTATAAATATTTACACCACTTCATATTTTACCTGACACTGTAAATCCAATAGAAATGCTAATTAGCTAGCTGTTCCTGCTATTTCTGCTTAAAATAACCAGATAATTAAAGGTAAAGTCCCATTAGTCATCACACACACTGGTAAATTCATCTCCAATGTGACCCTTTGCCGTGTGGAGCAGTGAGCTGCAGCTGTGGCCATGCTCGGGGACTATTTGGTGGTTTAAAATTCAGTATTAATAACAATGCAATGTAAAACCTCTTTAGAAAACTATCTTTACATGGACTGATTTACAAATTTTGAGAAATGTTGTTTTAAAATGGCAGCAATCTGCTTTGGTGTAAGATGCACTGTAAAATTAGCTTGTTCAAACCGCTGGAGCTGATTTATTTTTCTGTCTCCAACAGTCCAATTATTAATTGTTCATAACCTTTAATCAGAACATCACACTAAAATATCCCAACAAAGAAAGAAAATGTCATAATTTTTCCTCATAAATTTGTCACAATCAGTAGGCACTTTAATATCTGGCAATTTATTATCAATAAAATATATATTATGAGATGACACGATTCTTGGAAATGAGCAAACAGCAATCATGAAAAACAAGAAGATGCTCGGCTAAAGGAGGAAACTGCTCATGCTCATCAAGCGCAGTCCAGTCCAAACAGCCAATCTGAACCGTTACATTCAGCAAAGCCAACCGAGCTTCTCAAGTCAAAAATATAATGAAGTGGTTGAAAAGGAACTTTAATGGGTTCTGAGCTACAATGCATAGTTTTAGGAAGAATTTTACTCGTGAAATCTACAAATCCTAAGCATCTCCCTGTGATTCTACTGAGGTTGTAAAAAAATCTTAATTGCTGTGTTAGACCCAACTTAGAACTGGATTTCTTCCCAAAACTACAAAGCAACCATATCAAAGCTGTAACCTCACAAATTAAAGTCTACAGAGATGGGCAAAATAATTCATCAGCATGAATCAGCCTCAGCCATGTTTTTTGTTTCCAAGGGAGGGTGGAAGGAAGAGGGGTTGAACAGAGCGGGAGCTATGGTTTGTTTGGTTCCTACCCAATAAATTTAGTTCCTCTGGGTCCCAGCTGTAGCACGGGACAAACCAGGCTCTCGCCTTCATTAAGGGCTGGCAGCTTTCTGGGAAGATGTAGTTTACTGTGTCCACAAGATGATGAAACACACATTTATACAAAACACACACTCGCATTGACATACACTACTTGTGTATCAGTAATATAAAATGTATAGTAGGCTATTTTTTGGTTGTTTGTACCAGTTTTAATATAAGGCTGTTTTATTTGCTTTATATCATTTTACTTATTTTGTGTTTCTTTATGTTCGGTTTCATGTATTTGCCTATAATTTTAACCAAAGCAACAATTTTTTTTGACAAAAGGGTCATAATGGTTATACAGTTATCTTACAATCGGGGGGTGGGGGGGTGGGGTGGGGTGGGGGGTGGTGGTGGTGGTGGTGGTGGGGGGGTTGTCAATTTAAACAATAATGTATCCTGTTATCTTGCTACTGTCTACTTCAAGACACTCTAGCTGACATAAAAAATGACTCAGAGTATCAGAGTTGTTGGTTGAAAAAGAAAAAAATATATATATTTAGGTAATTTATTTTTGTAATAGAAAATTCTATGCTTTTTTGGTCCAAAATTTTGAACACAACTTCTCAAATGAAAACTGCTCTTTACACACTAAAAGGTGGTTTATTATTTTATCATTTCACTGTTAATTTAGTTCAGGTGTACCACAGGGAGGAGTTCTCGGTCCCATATTCTTTTGTAATTACATGGTTGCTCTGGGCTTATTGAGAACAGTATTAGGATTTCTTTTTCTAGATTCTAATAAAAGCCATGGATAATAGCAGTCTTGATGATTTGTAAGATTATTTCTTTGACATAAAATCCTAAATTGCAGAAAGTTTTAAAAAATTTGTTGTGTTAGGGATGGAGTTGGAGGTCTATTTTTTTTAGTCTTGTAGGTTCTGATCTGGCCAAATTTAGTAATATTTTTATAAATGTCATGCCTATTTTTGCAAACACTCATCAGTAAAATTGCCTTCACTTTTGTCAAAATGCAACTTTTCCCACCAACATGTCCAAAATGATGTGATGAGATCCCTCCAGGTAGTGTGCAACATCTAACAAACTACATTTAAATGTGGATGAGATTAATCTTCCACACATACAACCGCAAAAAGAGTTACTCTGGAAGAAAAAGGACGTAATACTGCACAGAAAGCCTTGAATGATAATAAAAAAGCAAATAAATGAATTATTCAAATGAACAAAATCAGTTGGTGTTTGAAATTTTAAAACAAAACTGTAACAAAGAAATCTTCCACACTCTGCAAAAGGGTTTCATAAACTGCCTAAAATGGACAAAGACTTGCTGAATCACTACAAACATTTTACAAAGCCTTTTTAACCAACAACTGACCCTTTAAAAGGAGAAGAAATTATAAAATAATGAATAACTATGATAATTCTCCTAAAACAAATACTGTCTCTGTTATTTTTCTCATTAGCTTTAGTTATTTTGAAATCAGTTTATGTTAAAAAAAACAATTACAACTCAAACATTGTGTCCTTATTTATTATTTATACCCCGAAAGTCTTAAAACACCTGGAAAATTTGTTTAACACCAAACTAAGAGAATGGATTTATCATAAAACCTTCATTTTGTTACAACCATTAGTGACGCTGCCTTCAGTTTGAAGAGTTGTTTGAAAAGTGAGCAAACACCACTGTAGTCCACCTCCACGTGCACATACTCACATTCAGAGCACATAGACGACTGGAGATGATGATGGCATGAAGCAGAGGGAAGTAGATGTTCAAGAAAGAAACACAACAAGGTTAGAGAAAAGGAGTCTTACCCGAGGAACTGAGCTCCTGCTGGACCGACCTCCACCAGTCTGCTTGCCAGGCCTTCTCCTTCCACCATCGGAGGAGGAGAGGCCAGTTTGTGCCTCTTAACCAGCCTGCAGGTAATCCTGGTGGGCGCCGTGCACTTTCTGGGTGGGATGATAATTCGCATGCCGTTGTGACGACTTCCTCTCATAGAGCCACCCCTGGCATCGACCATGAAGCTGACAAGAAACCTGATTGATGTGAAAAGGAAGAGAAACACATAGAGAAGCAGTCAAGCAGAGAGTAGAAGGAGGAAGGAAAAAGTGGTGCAACACGTGTTGGTTTAGCTGTGGTGCTGATGGAGAGAGTAGTTTTAGTCAAGGTGAAATCCCATGCTGCAATGTCATAAAACACCGACAAGTGTGAGAAAGAAGAGAAACAAGGTGAGCAGGATTCTATGTTGGCTGTGACTTCAACAAAAACAGGAGTGACTGAAACAAATATGTTTAGTAAATTATATGATTTTCTCTGCTGAAGATGCCAACACAGGAGCCTCTGATGTTTCTGTGTTTTACCCACAAAAGGAAGTTAATTCATTCTGACCGTAACTCGCTCATTTAAAAAATACAAATTATAAACCACACAAACCCACACCATGCAAAATGGTCCCTGAACTGTCCCTTTGATTTACCAGTTGCACGTATTATGTCATTAGTTATGAATTACTGAATGTTTAAACATAAAATAGGCATAATTTGTAAGAGAATCCTTAAAAAAATTGTTTTCTTTATTTTCACATTCAGCCAGATCTTTTCAGCACATTTTAATTCAAATCTGTTAGACTCACAAAAAAAAAGTAAGAAAATCTGTAATTTAGCCAAGTGTGTAAAATCGTTACATGGGTGAGAGAAGCAAACACGGATGTTTATGAGTCAAGAGAGGGGAAGGTGTGATCGCGGTGCTGATTGGTAACCAATCACAGTCAAATCACCTGCTGTCGTACTGCGGGAGCGGAGAGGAAAAACTGCAATGCAGGAGGAACAGATCAACAACAGAGACAAACTACCCAGAAAAGCATCAAAGAGAGGTTTGTAACTTTGGGAAATGCTGTTTTGTTATTGTTTAAAAATCTACAACGAGGATGACTTCCTCCTACGGTCAAAGACTGAACACAAAAACCTAGTATGTATTAATACTGAAGTACATTCCCCAAAATATCAAACTTCAGTTTTTGTTGATAGTTCCTTTGTGCAGCGTCCTCACTGGAGCAAATACCAACAGTACAGTAGCTTATCCAAAGCTTTGCATCATATTTATGAAATTCAAAGAAAGAGAAGTTAAGAGTCATGTTTTCATTTATTTTACACCTTTGATCCATTTCTTGTTCTTTCTGCTCACCATGCAGTTCTTGATTCAGTTATTGTCTCTTTAAAACTGAACTGAACACATCAGCTTTAAAATTTAAAAAGTAAAACCCAATCAGACACGGTAAAAGCTGCACATAGGAACTGTTTTCTCAAAGAAAGGAGAATCCAAAAGATGGACAAATAATACAAAATATCAGGAAAAGAGAACACTTCTACCTTATATCTTCCTCCAAAAGGCTAACTTCTGTTCTCGCCACTACACCCCATCATTACATTTAGCGGAGACATCTCCTCCATTCTTCATCCATTCATCCTTTCAAGTGTACTCACCCAGAGTGAATAGGCGAGGAGACAAGGTTGACGTTATCCAGCGGGTCTGCTGTCCAGCTGTATCTCCTCACAGAGTCGTCAGCATCTTTCGCCACAGATAAATGCTTCGAGGAGACAGAAAGGACACTTTGAAGCACGGTGTTGGACTTTAACACTTTCCACTCTAAGATTTTGTTGCTTTTATTTATTTGATATCCAAATAATTTTAATTATTGAACCCTTTGTGTGGCAGACAACAGTGGAAAAGAGGTATCTTAGAGGTATGGTCATCAGATGTTTAGAGTTGAACAACAAAAATCAATTCAAGGATGCAGTTTCATTTGGACACCACTTGTTCAATCAGTATTTAACTGGGCTACGACTGTTGGGGACTAATTGCGAACAGCACTGTGAACATGAAAGAGACTCCAAAACATCTCAGCAGTTACGAACGCTCTCAAATATCTTACGTTTTCAGAAATCCACATCATGCTGATGGAATTTTAAACATGGGGCTAGTTTCCGTCAGGGAGGTGTCGGGAATCTGTCTGGAACTGTTCTCGGTTTAGTTTTTGTGATTCACTGAAACAACTTCAGTGCAACCAGACAACTGAAGAACCTGTGCTGTGATGATTTAATCAAGAGAATTAAAAATAAAATAATCTGCCATTCTGTTCATGACAAAGTTCCAAGCAAAACAGACAAATTTAGAATTTTGGTTTGCACTAATCGTGCAAAAATGTGCAGATTTTCTTGTCGTTTTGCAAACAAAGTCCAGTGAAATTCTGGCTTTCAAAACATCTAGTTAATGTTCAAATAGCATAGCATAATGCAACATTAAAACATCATTAGAGGTATTCTAATGGATGATAAATCAAGCAAGTTGTCTGAACCCTCTCATATGGTAGTTGGTGCAAATATTACTGTAGTATTTCTAAGAATAACTTAAAAAAGGACAGTATTAAATTATTTTGATATCTTGCAAAGCAACAAGTGAATCATTTAATACCAACTTAATCTTTAAAGGTGCAGTGTGTAATTATAAAGTAAGATGACACCCTGTGGTCAAATTTGTTTACTGCAATCACTCTCTCACTTGTTCTGTGAGTTTCATGGCTGCTGCCAGTTACGTTTCAGCACCAGAGGATTCTAGATAACACAGGCGAGTCATGCACAGTATGCTGATAAGTAGAAACATATATTTTCATAGCTGGTGCTAGCACTTATGGGTGCTTTAGAGTAGGGAGCACTTACTATGCTTATTACAGTAAAGTGCCTCTGGCATGGAGGAAGTGTGGTTTTTACCGTCTTGCTTTATTGCTCTGAATAACAACTTTTCTATGCGTGAGAGCGGGGGCGGGGTTGTTGCACGCGGATCGTTTCACCTCCTCAAAGCCAGGCGGACACTGTGTGACTTTTTCACTAGTAGCATTCAGCTTCAGCTCAAACTGTACGACTTCCCCGCAGAGCAAATCTCACAAATCAAGTTCTCACACTGTATGTTCCAGTTCTCGGACGCAACCTGACTGCTCACACCGTACGTCTGGTAGCAACACGTTGGACCCAAAATGCTAAAAATAGTTTTTACACAACACGTCAGACTTTTTTTTGCGTTGTTATTGATGTCTGTTGTCCTTCTGGATTGCTGTAGGAGGAAACACAGGGAATTATGGTGGTTGGATGACGAAGACGAAAGAAAGTAAATCAACATTTTATCAGTTAATTTTGACATAAACATGCTTGACAATCCATGTCATTGTGTGTGAAAAAAAGTGTATACATAAAAACCACTGACGTGTGTTAATAGGAAAAAGGCTGACGAGCCGTGTTGACGCATGTGCTGTGAGCGGTTCTGCTACTTTTTGGGTTGCAGCACCGCTTCTACAGTGCAATACTCTCACGAGGAATGAGTAAAGTGTCAAACTCGCCAGAAATTCGTGCGAGCTTGCGATTGCTGATCGGTAGTTGGTCATGTGGTGTTGTGTGTGTCTCATGTTCATTGCATGAGAGTTTGCAGTCTAGTGACTCATTTAAGGAAGTAAAATGCCACATTTAACTCATTATTCACTTCACACATACATTTCAATGTCATATCAAGTTGTTGGTAATTGAAAAAGTAGCTTTAGATATTTCTAGAGCCCACTATTTACTTTTAATTCACCATTAGCACTGTTATCTCAACGTTAGCCTCCAGCCTTCTTCACCTGATAACAGAATGAAACAAAGAGTGGCTGTTAGACATTAGACTGTTTTGGGATTATTTCACTGTGGAAATCTTCCTTTAATCTTACACGCTGCACCTTTAATGAGGAGAACATGAACATATTCAGTTTTTGAGAGAAATGTAACTTATTTTCTGGAACAGAATTTGATGAAAGCAAAACTATTGAGTATATTAAACTTATATGATTTAAACATTTATTTAATATAATACATAAAATGAAACTTATTGACTGAAAAACAATCCTTTGCAATCCCATAGACAATAAACAGGATGCAGCTTTAGCGCCATTTTAGGGAGAGATTTAATAATCTGAGAACATTCTCTATTTAAATTAACATAACGAGATTAAAGGCCAATTTCTTTTTGTTCAATAGCTTCATCGTGTGGGTCAGACCCTTAATCTGGAACATATATGCTTTAAATCAATATTTGTGTAAAGCATTGTGTAAATATAATAATAGTGACATTACTTAGTTCCAGAAGCAAACTATATTGGGAAATTTAATAGTCAGTAGACACCGTGTAGAACTTTTTCTTTTTCAGTTTGTCTGTTTCTCTCAATCCTCGTGGATGAATATATATATAACTGTTTCATCACAGAGAATGATTTTGTACATTAAGAGTTTTTCAGGTATTTCCTCAGAGTTTTAACTCTCTCCCCAGATTTTCCTAATTTATTAGCAACATAAAATAATAATTTTATGTGATCATAAATAAAGACATGATGCAGAAATATCCTGTAACATGCACTGGCTGAAGGCGTGCACGGGGCCATGTTCATCTACCTTGTTGTGTTGTTCTACAATGAAAGACCTTTCCTTACAGAGCATCTGGAGCAGCATGGGAGGAAACATGCTGTTAATCAGCAACTTGCACAACCACAAAAAAAGTTGCATTTACTGCAAAATCCTTTATTTATTTATTTATTTATTTATTTATTTATTTATTATTTATTTATGACATATGCACACAAATGCAAATGCTCAGTGTACATGCAATCTTAATTAATTATGATCACTTTTAGAGTTTTGGGGCATTTTTATAGAGTATGCATGTATTGTTAAACTTTGATTCGACTAAATATACAATATGTCCAGCTTTGTAGAGTTAAACCATAATTTAGACAACAAATATGTGAAACGGAATCACTGAAAGTCAAAGGTCTGAATGTATAAATTAGGAAACTTTCCATATATGTGAGTACATATTTGAAACATCTGCACTTTAAAATGTTGTTCAAACTTTTTACAGCTTTATCAGTGAGAGTAAAGAGCTTTTTATTCGGTTCCGGACAGAAAGTAGGCCATCTCGTTGATCTCTCATCGACAGATACACTGAGAGGTAATCTGATGTCCTGTTTCAGTGAAATGTAACAGGACTTGCTCGTCTTTATGTCAGCACCACCTCAGCTGTAAGAGGATTGGCAAACTGCCTTCATTTTGGCTCACAGCCAAGACAGCTTGGCACATTTGGATCCAGAAGTGTGTCACTCACTAGTGAGGTGAATGACCTGAAGGTTACAAACTCATAGAAGCAGACGGAAACCAGTGAGAGACATAAAGCACCATTGAACTTCTCATGGTGTACGTACCATTTCCTTGGTGGGGGCCAGCATCTCCTCGATCATCATGCTGTCCCGCGTGAATGAGCTCCGGTTCAGCGTGTTGGACCTATCAGAACTGAAGGAACGGAGGCTTGGTGTGGTTGCCGAAGCAGTCACGGATTACCAAGGCAAAAGTCACAGTGATGAAGGGAGGAGTAGTTGGTAAGGGGGGGAGGGTACGAAAGTAAACAGAAAAAAACAAACAAAAAAATAACCATTAAATGCATGCAGCTTCCAGGAACTTGACTGTACCCAGCTAGTGATACACACTAAAAAGAAGAAACCTAATGGAGCAGTTAATTATGACTTGTTGCTGTTTATTTATATGAAGTAATAGTAAATAAAGCTAAATGCTATAAATAAATCCACAAGTATTTGAGACTTTGCTGATTCTTTAAAAGAGATTTCTGGATGAATGCAATAAACTGGTTTTAGTCTACAGCATATTGACCTGCTTCCACATTCCCCTCTGGAAAGAAGATTTCCACTTTGAGTCTGACAACTTTCTGACAGTCGGACAACGAGCAAAACTTTCAGACATTATCTTCAAATTAGTTTCTTATCTATCTATCTATCTATCTATCTATCTATCTATCTATCTATCTATCTATCTATCTATCTATCTATCTATCTATCATCTATCTATCTATCTATCTATCTATCTATCTATCTATCTATCTATCTATCTATCTATCTATCTATCATCTATCTATCTATCTATCATCTATCTATCTATATATATATACATATATATATAATTTTTCTTCCATCTTCCTTATTGTGCTTTTAAGGATACACCTCATATTTTTCCACTGAGCAGCTGGTTGAGAGACATTTTTGATTTTCTTTTTTCAAATACCACCCTTTAAAAACACTCAACACTGGAGACTCATTTGAATTACAATCTGATATTAGAAAGTTTTAACTACATCAAAAGACTTTTAGCTAGAAACACCATTCAAACAGTGTAAAGGCCAAAGCTGTACTATCCCCACATGGACTGGTGTTCGTTTTCTTACAAATGTGATATAACAGTTTAAATGTAACAATTTTGAGACAGTTTGAAACCATGTGACAGATTCATGGAACCCCGAGGAACAAAGTGGTGACACTACCACATCTTTTACAACACATCGATAACATATTACAGTGAGGGTATTTTGTTTCTTCCTTCACCTAAAGTGCCCTTCATTGCTGTACACATTTCAGTTACCTGTCTAATCTTCCCCAGAAGGTGGAAAATGTAAGCTCTAACAGACATTTACCAAGTCACACTTTCTCTTCAAAAAAGGATGTGAAAGTTGCTTTAACTTACCAAATCACCCACATAAATGGCAAATAAGCCTAAAGTTTCACACGACTGACCACCAGAACCTCCTACTGCTCAATGCTTGAGTTTTTGGACAGAGTCTGCTAGTGTGAGCTTTTCTTTTAGCTCTACTTTTTGTGTCCCTGACATAAAAAGTGCAGCTTTTATTTGCGCTGCCCTCACAAACGAGGCGGGAAAATTTTGCTCTGACTGGCTACGGCTGCACCAAACTGCCCTAAGTTGCTTTGGTCAAGGCAAACCCAAAGCAGATCCACACCAAGCTCGAGTTTTGATTCACAAAATTATTTTCCTAAATTCTCTCACCGAGAGAAAGACAAGTAAGAAACACTAATGGGCCATTCCCATCTGTACCGGGTCGGCCCGGGCCGGGTAGCGTAGGTTGTTTACATATCTGGGTGGCCTGGTATTTTTCTGGGCCAACCAAGGCCCATTCTCAGCCCTCTTCTCGAGGGGGTCTGCTTCAGGCCGACCAGGGCCAACACACCCACTGCTGACAGCAAATTCACACCTTCCATTAGAGCAAGCCTCTGATTGGTGGGTAGAATCAGCCCACATGGGCTTAAGACAATGATGTGTGGAATCAACCGGGCCAGGCTGGGGCTGACTGGGGCTACCCGGCCCGGGCCGACCCGGTACAGATGGGAATGGCCCATAAATGAAAGATGGTGTTGGTTTTACACATCTGGGGGCAGACACTTTTGAAATTGTGATCAAACTCATTGGCAGGCTTTTCGAGTTCCTGTCAGCGCCTGCAAGCTGCGATGTTTAGACTGTGCTTTGCAATGAATTTTATGAGGCAAATAAAAAGCATTCCCGAGCAGTGACGTGATGAATGTTTGCCTGCAACATCTCAGCAGCGATTACACTAATAAATAATTACAGGGGAAAACCGGACACGGTGGAGGAAGTCCTCTTAGTGAGGCTTCAGGAATCTGAACTAGGGATGGAAATCTGAGCATTTCAGACTAAGCCAAATAAATAATAATGAGTGCAAAATCGTGGGCTCGCTCTGCATTCCATCAAAATCAATTAAATCAAAAGCCAAACCTTTAACATTTGAAAGACAGGGACAGAAATCTAACTGCAGTGACTCAACATGTTTATATGACTACAGCGCAAGAAAATATGCAAAAATATTTGTTGCATTTGATGCGGTTTCAAACAGCAGTCGTGCAAATGTCCTTTTACTCTGTGTTTTATTCATGTCTGCCTTTGCTGACAGCTGTCACCATGACAAAATCTAAAAGGTTCCATAAACATCTAACACCTCTAGAAATCTTTTAGAGGATTTCTTCCAAAATCAAGCAAAACGAGAGCAAAGCCCTGCAACTCACCTGAGGACATTCAAAAACCTCACAAATGACACAAGATAAACTGTTGTTCAGTTTCTGACATATGCATGTTTTACTACTTTTTTATTCTCAGTCATGGTTTCAATGTAAATAGGGATGCTCTACAATGGCTTTTTTTTACCGATACCTGATTTTGTCTAACTCTTAATTCCCGATACCAATAATAAAAAAAGGAAAAAAAATTATAATTTAGGTTACTAACATCACATATCTTCTATCACAAATGCTTAAGCTTTAAACGTTACCCGTGCAAAATTGCAACTACTTCAATTTACGTTAGTAATAGAAAAGAAATGTCATGTTTAATTTGTCTCCAACAGCAGCTGAACGACATTCTCCTTGAGAAAATCCTGACCAACACTCTTTGACGCCTTTAGGCCAAAGATAATTAAGCGTAGGGCTGCTCGATTATGGCAAAAATAATAATCACGATTATGGTGACTGAAATTGAGATCACGATTATTTAGGACAATTTTTCAATTTATGTTGATTTTATTTGTTTTTATTCAGTCATAAAATTGCTCAGGGCACAATCAGGACAAAAATAAGAAACAAGATGATCACTAAAAGAACTCCTGATTCCCTGTATAAAAGACCAATATACTTATAGCTCATAGTCTATGACCCAAGGGCTGTAGACCTTGGTTTAACTCATTTAAGTCTAACCAGTACAGACCCAAATACCAATATCTTGCAAATACTGACAGCAAGAATTATACAGTGGCATTTATAACAAATAAATGCAAATAAATTGATGTTCACAAAATGTTGCATAACATTTATTGAGTTGTGTCAAGGTGCTGTAGGAGAGTGCACTAGCACCGTGTCCTCAGAGAGATTAGTTATTATTTATCAGCGTGAGGAAGTTATTTCTACCTTATTTACAAACTATTTATTTACAAGTCCATCAGTTAATGTAATAATTGTCCCAACCACAGCTGCACCCCCCACCCCCCAACCCGGTCTCACAGCAATCAGGGGCAAGCTGCACGTGTGTTTAGCGCGCCGCACGCGCACATTTTGCTGTTTTTAGCGGCTCAGGAGTCCGCAGGTGCGGTGTGTGTGTCACTCACTCTGGTTACTCCAACAGGGAGCAGGGCGGCTCCGAGAGCTGTCTTTAGCGACCGACACATCACTACATCATTCCCTTTCCTAATGTCCTGAAGAACGGTCCGGAGTGCAGGCGGAGTGTTTAGCTAACCTGCAGGAAACGTCGACGATAGTTATCCAGAAAGTAGCTAAGGGTTACCAGAGATGTTTCTGAGGTGTTCGCTAGGTACTTTTAGGATTAAAAAGTCAAGAAGGGGGTCTGAAAAGCTGTTAGAAATAGCGTCAAAGTCGCTAAGTTGGCAACACTGTGGAGGAGCGCTTCATTTGCAACTCAGGGCAGCGCAAGCGGGAGGAGCAAATAATCGGCTTGTTTTGTTTTTTATAATCGTTCAAAACTCAGATCGTAATCGTGATTAAAATTCGATTAATTGAGCAGCCCTAATTAAGCGTATGATGCAAAAAACACAGCAATTGTGCTTTATAGATTACTGCCTTGGAGAACGTTTACCTTTGTAAGCATCAATGTGTTTAGGGTGTTTGGGCGTGTGTTAAAGTTACTTAGTTGATCAAATGTAAGCAGTGTGAGCATATACAGGCTAAGCTAGGCTGATTGCTAAGATGTGTGTAATAGTAATGTATTTTTCTCTTTCTGTATATTGTAGTTACGGTCATTTACAAAGATCTTCATTTAAGAAAAGTAAGACTTGGGTGAAGATTCTGGTGCTTATTTTAGTTGTTTTGCTGGCTGGCTAGCTACACACAGCTATGTCTAAGGACAGCAGATCCTGACTACACACGGCAATTTCCTAATTATTCACAAGTTGTGCCACCTAAAACAAAAATATCTCAAACACTAAACCTCAGATCTGTTACATTTTTACATTTTGAGAGAGAGGAGATGAAGCCGAAGAGTTTGATGGGTAATATGAGCATGGTATGTAAAAGTTGGGTCGCTAAGGAGTAAAAACCGATACCGATATTTTCTAATACTACATTTTAAGGCCGATATTGGCCGATGATATCGGTAGACCAATAACATCTGTAAATAGAATGTAACTTTTCCTTCTCACAACAAACACAAAACTAAAACCACTAAAGAAAGAATGTACTTGTTATCTGCACATCCTTTATAACAGCTCAAGTCCCTGGAAGCTTGATAAAGAAAATCTCCACAACAAACCAGTTTGATGCAATGCTTCAACTTTGTGCAAACCCACAGAGAACCAAATTAAATACAGAAAAGGAAACAAAAGTGGCTGTTTGTTACAAGAAGCTGAAAGAAACTGGACCACATATCACACATTTACATCCCACAGTAAACAAACAACCAGGCAAAACCATTATGTTAGTAGAGAAATATGCAGAGGAACTTTATTACACAAGACTATAAACTGACAGCAACAGGGGTCTAGGGGTGGAGGGGGAAGGATAGGTGAGAAAAGAAAATGGAGAAAAGACCTCTTCATGCCTTGAGTCTTACCTGGCCTTGGTACTAACATTAAGAACGGACATGAGGAGAGAATAAAACATCATGAACAAACAGGAGTGGAAGGAGTGATGCAGGGAGGCAGAATGATACTGACTGACTGAAACTTGGAGAATCAGTTCAGATATTAACAGCTGATGAAGTAAAAAAGAACTTTATGAAAAAAATCTGTTAAAGTTGTTGCCTTTATTAACATTTTCAAAGTTATCTGCCCACAGACGTGACTAAAGCGGACCGCATTTGTAAAACGGGTCGATTAAACACCCACCCACGTCCCTCTTACTCAGTGTTTGCTGAGCCAACCCAGCGCTCCGGGTCATGGAATCGAACGTGTTTCTAATTTCCTGTGGCTCAGTGTTCGTTTATGTCACCCCTCGGATATTCAATAAGCCCCTTCCCTCTGCAGCACGTTGCACAAGTGTCAATATTTTCTAAAGAGAATAAAGTTCAACACCCACATGGTGTGCACTGTAACCTCCCCCCCATGAGGGAAGTGCTGCTGCTGTGAGTCTGTCATTTCACTTTTGTGAAACCCTGTTGGGCTATTAATTATCAAGAAATAACCACATATAAACTAGTTAATCTGAAATAATTGCTAAATATAAGTAATAAAGACCTAAGTTAAGGCCTGCAACAATGAAAAACACATTTTTCCCAAAACGCTGTCACCAGATGGAGGTCTGAGCACAGGATGCTGATTTATAAATATGTTGCAAAGCCATAATATCTAAAAAATAAAAAAATAGATGATACTTGATTAAAGCTGCTGTGTAGTTTGCAGAGGGATGCTGCAGAGAGCACAACAACTGCTGTCAGCAAAATACACACTCCCGTGATGTTCAAACCCATTTATTGTTATTTAGCTCATTATTTAACTGTTTATTTATTATTGTTTACTACAACCTTAAACTCAATTAACAGAAAATACTGTCATGGGAAGCACTGGAAGGAGAGGTTGATGATAGTCGGTGGGTTAGTAAGAGAGAGCTGAAACAGGGAAATTGGTTTGCAATCACAGAAAGTTATCCGAGAGCCAAATTCAGATTGCTCTCTGAGGATTTCCCGCTCCCCGACCTGGTTCTCTAAAAATTTCAAGTCCTGGAGCATTGTGCCAGGCATGAGTACAGGCCACCTGTACTGCATGACTCTCGGTAGAACCAGGAGGACATGCTGCCACACAAATGCAGAGATCCAGGCTGGAATCATCAGCCTTTAGGATTGCTTCTGAGGTGATTTGTTGCAGCTAATCTGCAAAATGTTAACAAGCTAGGAATTTGATCTTTTAGTTTCTCAGCTGATTACTTCTTTTTTAACATTTAGCATCCACAAAAAAGCCTCTATCAGGTGACATAACTTATGCCAAAAGGACATTTGCATGTAGCATTTATCAGTATCCATTTACTTATCCTGCTATAAAAATCTATATTCTGTCAATTTATTGCTGGGGAGAGGGAGAACAGGAAACAGTGTTTTCTGCAAAATGACTCATCTTTCCTCTAACTTCTGCAGCTTTGAGCATGAGTTTACTTTGGAAGGATCTTGAACAGTCACCTTATCATGGTGTAGGAGTTTGAGTGTCCTAGGAGCTAGGTTGTCTGGGGCACTTTGTGCCCCTGGTAGGGTCTCCCATGACAAATTGGTCTTAGGTGAAGGGTGAGACAAAGAACGGTTCAGAGGATCTTTCATGGAGGTACAATCGAACAGTCGGAGTACCCAGCCCGGAGAGTTACTGGGGTCCCACCCTGGAGCCAGGCCTGGGGTTGGGGCCCATGGGGGAGTGCCTGGTGGCCGGGCTTTCACCCGTGGGGCCCGGCCAGGCACAGCCCGAACCGGATACATGGGCTCATCCAACTGTGAACCCACCACCCGCAGGAGGAACATGAAGGGTCTGGTGCAGTGTGGATCGGGTGGCAGACCAAGGCGGGAGCCTTGTCAGTCCGATCCCCAGACAAGGAAACTGGTTTTTGGGACATGGAACATCACCTCTCTGGCGGGGAAGGAGCAGGAGCTTGTGGCAGAGGTTGAGCGGTGCCCGCTAGATATAGTCGGACTCACCTCGACACATAGCATTGGCTCTGGAACCCAAGTTCTTGAGAGGGGTTGGACACTCTCCTTTGCTGGAGTTGCTCCGGGTGAGAGGCGGAGGGCTGGGGTTGGCTTTTTGCTAGCCCAAGACTCTCTGCCTGTGTGTTGGGGTTGACCCCGGAGGACGAGAGGGTAGCTTCCATGCGCCTTCGGGTCGGGGAACGGGTCCTGACTGTTGCTTGCGCTTATGGGCCAAATATCATTTCAGAGTAACCACCCTTTTTGGAGTCCATGGGACGAGTGCTAGATAGTGCTCCATCAGGGGACTCCATTGTCCTGCTGGGGGACTTCAATGCTCACGTGGGCAATGACAGCATGACCTGGAGGGGTGTGATTGGGAGGAACGGCCCGCCTGATCCGAATTCGAGTGGTGTTTCATTACTGGACTTCTGTGCAAGCTGCAGTTTGGCCATAACGAACACCATGTTCGAACATAAGGATGCCCATCGGTACACTTGGTACCAGGGCAGCCTAGGTCGCAAGTCGATGATGGACTTTGTAGTCGTATCATCTGACCTGCGGCCATGGACACCAGGGTGAAGAGAGGAGTGGAGCTGTCAACTGATCACCACCTGGTGGTGAGTTGGATCAGATGGCAGGGGAAGATGCTGCGTAGACCTGGCAGACCCAAACGCATAGTGAGGGTCTGCTGGGAATGCCTGGCAGAAGAAACTGTCAAGACGGTCTTCAACTCCCACCTCCGGCAGAGCTTTGACCGCGTCCCGAGAGCAGTGGGGGCCATTGACTCCGAGTGGGCTTCGTTCCTACTCTGCGATTGTTGAGGCGGCTGTTGCTAGCTGTAGTGGCAAGGTTGGCCGGTGTCAGTCGTGGTGGCAACCCCCGTACCCGTTGGTGGACACCAGAGGTTTGGGGAGCTGTCAGGCTGAAGAAGGAGGCCTACAGGGCGTGGCTGGTCTGTGGGTCTCCAGAGGCAGCAGATACCGGATAGCCACGCGGGGTGCAGCAGTGGCAGTTGCCAAGGCAAAATCTCGGGCGTGGGAGGAGTTTGGTGAGGCCATGGAGAAAGACTATCGATCGGCCCCAAAGAGGTTCTGGCAAACTGTCTTGCGCCTCAGGAGAGGAAGGCAGCAACTTGCTCACACTGTTTACAGTGGGGATGGGGAGCTGCTGACGTCAACTGGGGCTATAGATGGAAGGTGGAAGGAATACTTTGAGGAGCTCCTCAATCCCACCTATGCGCATTCCAAGGAGGAACCAGAGCCGGGAGACCTGGGGATGGACTGTCCAATCTCGGGGGCAGAAGTTGCTGAGGTAGTCAAACAACTACACAGCGACGGAGCCCCGGGGGTGGATGAGATTCATCCTGGGTATCTCAAGGCTATGGATGTTGTAGGGCTGTCATAGTTGTTACGTCTCTGCAACATTGTGTGGTCATCGGGGGCAGTTCCTGTGGAGTGGCAGACCGGGGTGGTGGTCCCCATCTTTAAGAAGGGTGACCTGAGGGTGTGTTCCAACTATAGGGGGATCACACTCCTCAGCCTCCCTGGAAAGGTCTACTCCAAGGTACTGGAGAGGAGGGTCCGATTGATAGTTGAAACTCAACCCAGCATGCTTCGCTATGACAGTTTCACTTCCTGTTTATTCAAGATGTCAAAACTTTTCCTTCAGCCATTCATTTCAAATTACCACACACGTTAGAAACTGATCAAAGCGTGTGTATGGGGGTTACCTCTGTGACCGTGCACCAACGCTGAAGCCCATGTAGCCCTCCTGAGGGAGCGAGTCATCCCCCAGCTCCCGAAGGTCGTTGGGGGCCAGATATTTGTCCGTGTCCCCCGTCATTGCATCCTCACCTGTTAAAGAAAACACACAGTTGTAGAAATTAGAATTACTAATATTTGCAGTCCAGGATTTTGCAGATCCCAACATGCAGCCTAAAGCAAAAGTAGGAAATTCTACTTCTTTTCTGTTTTCTCAATCATTCATGAACACACACACACTCTTAGACAAAGAAATCAATGCATCCTCAATCCAGAAGCTGTTCTCTAGTCACACACACACACACACACACACACACACACACACACACACACACACACACACACACACACACACACACACACACACACTGTCACTGAGGTATCATGTCCCACAAGAACAAATAAAACACCCAGAACAGTTCAAGTAGAGTGAAGCCAGTTTGGGAGTTAAACCTACATCACAGGTGTAGCAGGAAACCAGTTAGCAGAATGTTAACTCCTCAAAGGCACAGCAGATCCAAACCTGATGGAGCGCTGAGAGCTGACAGAGTGAGGAGAGCAAGTGCATGCAGGCGGAGAAATGAAAAGAAAGAGGACAGCATTCCAGCTACCACAAAGCTGCAGAGCCTCCCCTTCCCCTCCATGTTTCTCTGTGTCCCTTCACCCCCCGCTGCCGCAGCACCCCTCCCCCTAAAGCTTTCCCTCCCCACACACAGGACACTTCACAGACCCCATCTGGCCACATTCCAACCTATTCTCCAGGACTCGCTCCGAGTTCAGCTCCAACTAGAGCGGTCTCCTCCTCAGGGAGCCAAAACTCACCTCCAGCCTTAAAGCACTTCATTCAGTCCCGTTCAGAGAATTTCACAGAGCAACTAACTTTTCCTCGACTTTCAACCTCGGAGCTCTCTGGCATTAACGGTCTGTGTTTTAGATCCGTGCACGCTCACAAACAGATCGTCTTTCTCCCGCCTCCCAACTCCGCTCCGGGATTATCCAGACTGTGTGAGCGCGTGTGTGTGTGAGTGCCAAAATACACACACACACACACACACACACACACACACACACACACACACACACACACACACACACACACACACACACACACACACACACACACACACACACACACACACACACACACAGCACAGAAATAGTAATTGGGTTTACGACTCAGACTGTTGCCTAACTTCTAACCACTTTCCTGGATCCATCAAAGTTTTTCAGTTTATACATTCTCTCAGTTCATGACTTAATCTGTATAAATGAGCAGTAAAAGAAAACAGATAAAACAAGTAAATGTTTCCACCAAAGCTGATAGTTTTAACACATCCAACCAGTTTGCCTCTAACAAAAAACTTCAAACTGCACTTTTACTCTGGGATCATGAGCTGTCAAAGCTCAGGCACTAATAAGGCTGTTTTGGAACATTATTAATTATTTGGAAATATTTGATGCATGATGCATCAAGAAATAGATTATAGTTTTCTTATGTATACGAAAATATAACATGGCTAGGGGAGTGTATGCAAAAAGCCAGCATTTATGTTTTATCTGCTTTTTTTATGAGCCTTTATCCTTTCCTCCTATTCACTCCTCGTCCCCATCAGTCTGCTTTATCTGACTTCTCATCCATTTTTGTTCCTTTTGGCATCCCATCCACTTGCAAGCAATGTCTGTCTGTCTTCTCAGAGTAAACACCTCTGTATACTTTGCTACAAGTTCCCACAAAGATGCATGGTGCTCACCGTGACATATTAGACTCTGCTACCTGATCTTTCTAATAAACACCATGAAGGCACGACTTCAACAGAGCAAATCTGAACCAATAAAGGTAAAGGTGGGTTACCTTAGTAGTAAATTAAAGATTATATCTTTTTTTATCTATTATAGTGGACTGAATAACATTTAAGTCCAGTTTATGTCAAATGGTGTTTTGATTTAAAGTCAGTTTTTATTAGGAGCTTGAGTCATGGTGCAGGTGGTAGCACTGATGCCTCACAGCAACATGGTTGCAGGTTTGAATCCTATGCCTTTCTGCATGATTTAGCATGTTCTCCCCATGCACATCTGAGTTTTCTCACACTGACCAAAAACATGCATGTTAGGATAAATGATGACACTAAATTTTCCCTATAGGTGTGAGTGAGTGTGTTTGTTTCTGTGTGTCCTGTGAGGCTGGAGACCTGTCCAGGAGACAGACACCAGATCCTTGCCATCCTGAACCTTGCCATACTATGCAATTCTTTCATCATTTAAAATAATTTTCGAGCCAGTATGTGCTAAAATGATCCTTTAAAGGGTTAATGAAAGGTCACTCAGACCCCACTGCCCTTTGTGGCCAGATTATCGCACTTGCAACTTCAGAGTGCCAGTGCGGTCCTTGTTAGTTTCCACCTTAGCCTTAGTATAATAATCAATTTCCCTCTGGGATTAATAAAGTATTTTTGAATTGAATTGAATTGTAAGTGGAGCTGACATGCCTGAGCTGCAGTCTGCTTCCAGCACATTTCTTGCATGTTTTAGATCATGAACACAGCTGGTTTGGTTGACTTAGTGATGAATTACTCCTCTAGAGCCCAATGAAGGCTGAGGAGACATTTCAGCTGTTAGATTAACCCCAAAATTCCACTATCTCCGCTCCACTCCGGCACGAACTCCGCAGCAAAAACGGTCCCGTTGTAGTCAATCAGAGCTGTTCCACTACTGCGCCCGTGCGGCGCAGTGCGCCGCCCGCCGTTCCGCCATCCGGCAAAAATAGGATCGATTCTATTTTTGCCGGACGCCGGAGCACCTCCGCAGTCAATGGACAGAAATCACAACCGCCCAACAGGAAAGAGAGCAAGCACAACTTCCGTTATTTCACAATAAATCGATAACAAAAAGCGTTTTTTTGTTTCATGTGCACAGGTTTAACAACTTTTAACAACTATCAATGGCGGCTGAACTTTAAATGCACAAAAATAAGCCATAAATACAGTTTCTACTATCAAAGTGGTCACACTTTGTTGAGCCAAACACTGCTGATCTCTCAACACAAATGATGGGCAGATTAAACAGTTCATTTCGATGATTCTCCCACACAACGGGTGTTTGGATCTAACTTCCGCGTTTATTGCTCGGACTGTATCGCAAGATCTCGAAAATCCCGCGCATGCTTGTTTGCGCACATCAGGTCTCCGCACCGGAGCGGAGCCGTTGTAGAGCAGGTATAGTATAATTTCAGTTCGGAAGCGAGCGGCAGCGGAAAGCGGGGGCGGAGCGGAGATAGTGGAATTTTGGGGTAAGGTGTTAAAAAGATGAACACACAGCGAGGACTACGGGGTGTAAATGCAAGCCAAAACTGCACAGAATCCCTTTAAAACTTTGCATTAACAATCAATTCTGTTTTCACCATAGCAAACACAAACAGTCAGAAGTTGGCCAATTTTACAGATGCTGAGCTAAACATTCCCATGTTAGTAGCTGAAAGACAACCCCAACATAAACTCAGAGAGCTAAATGCTAGCAAACGCTGGGCCTTTAACTCCTACTCTAACTCACTCACTGTCAGGCTTAAGTATAATTCTGTTGGTCAACAGCAGATTTTTAATATTGAACATTTGTTAACATAGATTAATCTGAAAGCCATATTGTAACAAGACTTTGATTTTTACGTGTTTATTATTATTGTGACTCATTCAGGAAGTACTGATGTACTTTGTTATAATTGTAGGCTTTGGATGTAAATTTCCTCACATTATTTTTCATGTCGCCATCAGACTATGACATATTGCTTCCTGTTTATACACTGATCTGCTTCAATTAGATAATGTAAAAGGGTTACCAAGTCCAAATGACTAATTACTCTATAGAAATAAAAATGCCAAAGTTGGACTCCATAATAAATAGTCAAAAATGAAAAACGGCATTGGAATGAGAAGATTAGAGGTAGAAAACATTCATTACATTATGAGTCTATAAATACATGTCAAAGTTCTTCAGATTTCACGTCCAATATGACAAACTACATCAATTAGCTTTGGAAAGGCTCCATGACCGAGACGGATCAGGAAATACTAAACAAGTTCTGCTGGCCGTTTGGACTGTGTGTGTCTAACAGTGCTACTGCTGCTGCTGGTATGTGAGCATGTGAATGTGACTACAGTTACACTGGGTTTATTTATAGACCAAGATGGACAACAACAACTTGGAAACACATTATGTATGAAGGCAAACAAGCACAGAGCTATTCACTAACTACACATGCTGCATCAGCTCACACTGTGAGTTAGTTTCAGTCAGATTCTGTTTTATGACTTACAAGAATAGTTGATGCAGATATTTTCAACATCCATTTCTGTTCAGAAGCAAACAGAAACATTTATTAACCTTTTGTCCTCTTGAACTTAAAAAGAGCCTGTGTGAACGGTCCAGTTTTAATCTTTTTGTGCACGCTTAAAGAAACAGATCCACTGTGACATCACCTGTAAACAGAGAAACTCACTTCCTGGAACAGAGCTGGGTTTTGTATGTTTTATTACATATACTTTAACTGACAGCAGCAGATACGTTCAGAGACACCTATGATGGCAACTAGCTGGAGACAAAAATCAGAGGATGCTTTTGTTGGAGTCATACTGAATTGGTCCCTGTTATCCTGATTTGGGGTTTCTTCTCGTATACTTTACCATGTTATGCTATGGATGATCTTTTATTTGTATTTTTGTTATTCATTTATAGTTGGTTTTCTTTAGTGTCAGGTTTCATTTTACAACCCATCTCATCTATTTCTTGTTATGTTTTATCATTTCACAAGCTATTCAGCACCTTTGCAAACCTGTCCTTTACCTTCTAATTATCAAGCTACATTTCCAAATGGGTTTGACTGAAAGCAACTGGACTTCTTTGGTTTCTTGAAGGTGTTTTGCTTCTCATCCGAGGATCTTTGTCAATTCAAACTGGAATATGGGACAGTTTCAGTCTAGTTAACACCCTCCTAATGGAAACAACCATTCCAGCACAATAGGATATAACGACATTGATGAATCAAGGGTAAGGGAGGAGGGGTATTCATATGAAGTTTCAGCTTGTTAAGCAGCAACAGACAGCTACAGCTTGTAAGCTTGACCCTCCCATATTCCAGTCAGAATTGACAAAGCTCCTCGGATGAGAAGCAACACGTCTTCAAGAAGCCGCAGAAGTCCAGTTGCCTTCACTAGAACCCCTTTGGGTTACCATGACCTGGATGACTGAGAACCGTCACCAGCACAAGTTACATCTCATTCCACTAATCACTTCTTCCTGTATGAAGAGAAATTCACAACTTGGTTTTGATTGTGGTGTTTGCCCTGTCTGTTTTTTCAACACATTCTCACACCCAAAGCATCAAAATGACGCGTGTGACCAAGCCTCAATACATGTGTTGAGATATGTGCTCTGATGTACTACATGGGACTTTTATTTTGGAAAACACGGTTAAAGGATATGACGTGTGTTGTCATGTGTTGTGTTATGTGCCAATAAGAATTGTAATGAACTCTGAACTCTCCCATCCACCAATAAATACAGAGCTTTGGTGATATACTGCCGCTACTGCAGACACCAAGCTCAAAACAACAGCTCATCTCAGTGTTTGTGAGAAAGTCATTTCTACTGCGTACGTTATCTGCTAACAGGTTATGAGGCCAGAGTCTTCGGAAGCCCTAGGATTACCCAAATCGCTCGATGACAGTTGAAAGACAAGATGCCTGTCCAGTGTTTGTAGCCTGTTAAGCTACACGAGTCATGAGTCGGAGAACCATGGATTCCAGTACCCGCTGGTTGAGGCTAATGTTTGATGGAGACGAAGAGAAGTATGAATTGTGGGAGACAAAGTTTCTCGGTCACCTCCACCTCCAGGGATTAAAAGACGTGGTCCTGAAAATCGAGGATGAAGATGACGTATCGAAAAATGCAGAGGCTTATGCAGAGCCAATACAGTTTTTGGATGACAAAAGCCTGTTATTGGTGATGCGGAATGCAGCAGATGATGGGCGGAAAGCCCTGGCGATCCTGAGAGATCAGGCTAATGTACTACATGGGACTTTTATTTTGGAAAACACGGTTAGAGGATTTGACGTGTGTTGTCATGTGTTGTGTTATGTGCCAATAAGAATTGTTTGTAATGAACTCTGAACTCTCCCATCCACCAATAAATGCAGAGCTTTGGTGATATGCTACCGCTACTGCAGACGCCAAACTCAAAACAACAGCTCATCTCGGTGTTTGTGAGAAAGTTATTTCTACTGCGTACATTATCTGCTAACAAAATGATGATTCGAGATGCCCCAGCGCGTCAGGACAGGACGATCAGGGACACGTGGCACCGCTGGCGTCCGTATTTGACAGTCGCAGTCACACGGACATTATTCCACGATGTAACCTTCCCCTCACCCCAATCCTAACCTTAACTCTGTAATTCAGCTGAGTTAAGGTTAGAATGGGGGTGAGGGGAAGGTTAAGTAGTTCACAAGTCTGGCTAATGTCCGTCTCACCGCGGGCGTCGGACACCGACGCTCTTGGACAGTGCGTCCCCAATGCATCCTCTCCTGACGCACTGGGGCATCCCAAATCGTCATATATTGAGGCTTGGTCACGCGTCATATTTTGACGCTTTGAGTGTGAGAATGTGTTGGTTTTTTTAAGATCTCAATTGTTTGTGATTGCCTTGCCATTTCCTTTTTTCCCATTAACTACATAATAAAGTATTTCACTTTAATCTGCACCAATTAGGACATTCTCACATTCTGAGATTCTGACTCACAGAAACCAAACTGAGAAGTGACTGAGAAGAGTTTTAGACCCAATTCTGTGAATATGCTGAGAGGAAATTTGTAGGGCAAAATACTGAAGCAGGTTCGAATTTCCTGTGACACCAAAAGCAAGGGCACACAACTCACACATTTCTCTGATTTAGCAGCAAAATTGAGCTGTTGGGCACATTTCTGGCCCTGCTAACATTATAAAAGTAGATACAATATAAAAGTTTCTAACATCTACATGTCAAAGCATTCAAATGACTGAATGAGACAAAGTGAAGGAAAATATTTAGTCTGAGTGATTTCTAGTAATGTTGGTGAAGTTCACGAGTGTTTAAAGCCACACAACAGACTGTAGGGGGAAAAGGACGTCTAGAGTAAACAGTCCCCTCTGCAGCAGCTGTATCAGCGTTTGCTTTGGCTCCACTGTCTCACACAACAATGGAAGCATCACTGACAAGACCAGGAGGACAAAGGAGCGGGTGTGTGCGCCATCTACTCAACGTCATGAAAACAAATCTGTTATACAGTCCACAATGTGCAGACAGTTGACATGGCAACCAAAGGAAAGCCATTTTCCATGCACTATAATGGTTGAAAGTTCACAGAACTCAGAGGGAAAAAGTTAGAAAAAGCAGGATTGCAGAACACATACTGTACATGACTGAAAGCTAAAGTATTAGTGATGCAGCTGCAGAACATGTAGAGAGCAAGAGAAACACGACATGTTTTACTGCTTTAAAATATGTATTTTGTAAGCCCCCAGGTCGGCCCAGGACTACCTGGAGGAAATACATCTCTAGGTTGGCTAGGGAACGCCTGGGTGTCCCAGCTGAGGGGCTGGCGGATGTGGCCGGGGAAAGGATTGCCTGGGAGGCTCTACTTGGGATGCTGCCCCCCCCGACCCGGATAAGCGGAGGAAGGTGAGGTGAGGTAATAATATTGATTGAATTAACTGAAAAGCAACTTCAGTTGTTTTTAAATGCTCTATATTCGTCTGTTGGACAAACTGATCAATATAAAATGTTATAACTGTTCAACTTGATAATGAAAGACAGAACAGTAGCACTTTTTATTTAAATGGTGATCAAGTAAAAAATGAAAGCAAAAGAGCAAAATGAGATGAGTAATTTGAGAAACAGAACAATGACATGCAAGAAGATCCAACAAAACAAATTTAGAGAAATGAAAAATACCTTCTTCCTCATCAGAAAAATAGTCGTCTGTGATCATTTCAGGAACATTGGCTTTATAGACTGGGATTGGATGGAGGAGAAAAGTTGAGTAAAACAAGAAAAAGAAGCAAAAGAATCTGGATAAATCATAATCACAATAAAATATACCATGCAAAAAAAATCAAAGATGATTACTGGACAATCAGAAAAGCTGGATAGGTCGGTTTAAAACGGTTAAATCACAGAATCAGTGATTGTAACAAAAAGATTCAATGATGGATGGCATCATAAGGTCTACAATTAATGAATGTTGCTTTCTTTACATAAATAAAGAGAAACTTTGTTAAACCAGAAGATCAGAAAATACCCTGAGCCAAATCACACTGGAGTTTGGTTTGGTTCTTCTTTAATGATTTTATCACTAAACTCAGCTGGTTTGAAGAGAACATGGTTAAACGTTGGATCAGTGAACTGAAGCTGGGCCTTACCGTCATCATCAGACATGTCCAGCACCTCGTTCATGGTCTCTGGAACGTTCATCTTATGCTTCTCTACCACGGTCTGTTCAATAATAAAAGAAAACCCGGTTACCATGCTGTTGATTCATAGTCACTACAGTACACAATAAAAACTAAGACGAATCATCAGACTAAGCTAAACCGCAGATGTAGAAACACATTTGTGTTTAGTTTACACACACACACACACACATTACATATATATATATATATATATATATATGAAAAGAGAAGCAGAAACATGGCTGTCTTTAATGGGCAAAACTATTAAACAAAGGAAGAAGGTTCGTTCAAGTTGTTATCAGTGCAGAGCACAAGAGTTCTTGATGATGAGGCACCTTACAGCACTGGTTCTTAATGTTGGGGTTGGGGCCGTACTTTGGGTCATAACTCACCAGATTAAAGTCTAGAGCAAATCTACATAAATCAAATAATTATAATCTGACAGACAATGACCGACCTAGTCTTAACTGTTATACCCAAAACAGCCATAAGAGGATAAAAATAATGTGATTGTTGGTGAGGATCGTTGCTAAATGGTTCATTAGTGATGTTTCTGTATTTAAAGAGACAACGTGTAGTTTTTACCATTAATTTCTGGAAATATTCATCGAAGTGTTGTTGAAAATGAATGAAATGATGCCCAGTTGTTGAAAAATATTGGTGGCTTCATAACGTATAACTATAACAATCTGGGCTAAAAAACAAAATGGGAGCGGGTCTAAGTCTCTGGGTGATGCCTTACTGGATGCCATGTTTCCTTCTACGGGAGCCAATGAGGACATAATGCATTTACTGAATTGTAACAAACGGTTACAAAACCTTTGTCATTCTTAAATGTTGTTCTTTTACACATGTACCTCTTCACTTGTTGCCAGTGATGAAAGGGAATCTGAGGTGCTTGTTATTTTGCTAAAGTTTGCACTCCCCAGGGCTTTTTGACCCTAATGGGCATCAGTTGGTAACACAAAAATAGTGCTTGCTTGCAATGATTTAGGTATCCCCTGCCCCCTATCACCAAGAAATATACACACTGTCACTTTAAGCAGAAACAGAAAGTCTAAGAACGTTTAGGAACTGTTTGTTCAGAAACATAAGACACAACAATTTGATGTTTTGGTGTAAAATATGTTGACAAATTACATTTTTTCCCATTCAACCAGTGAGGTTCTGTTGTGAACAAATCTGGGAGCTAAATATTCTTGGAAATCTTCTAAAGCACAATAATATCTATATAAATCAAAAACTGTAGAATTTAAATCCCAATGTGATGTGGTGAGAGTAAAATATCCAATAATTTCTTCATTTAATAAAAAGACACTATAACATTTTAAATAATAAATACTTAATAAATGAAGCAAAAACAAAGCAGAGGTGTACACATTCTCATTAGAGGCAAAACAACACAAACCTTAAATCAGGGAGGTCTTTAGGAAAAAAAAAATCATACCTGTGTTCTTGATAAGTGTAAATGGAGCTCCTTTTTGTGAACTCTGTCAGTATTTCTGAGCAGTAGCATTTTTTATTTTTTACCTTTGATTAAAATATTTGATTTAGGACATTATTTTTAATCCTGACGCAATAGTTGGAGGAACTCTACATTCCTGTCAACTGGATTAAAGAAGATCTGAAGAAGTAGAACACAAACCTTAGTGGTAATCGTTTCCTCTGTGACCACCTTGAGCGTGTCGACCACAGAGATGTAGCCGAGCCTCCTGGCGATTGACAGCGCGCTGTTCCCGTTCTAAAAAACAAAAATGAAATCAGAAATTGGTGGAGGAAAAATTAGACCAGAGCTATCAGGTGTCACGTCTCTGAGTTCACTGACAGCAGTGAGCTCGTTGGGCGATGCTCTGTGGTGCAGCAGAAGGTTGATGATGTGTGTGTGTCCCTGCTGTGCGGCCTGATGCAGAGGTGTGTAACCGTTCTGTGGAGGACAGATGAAGAACAAAATATGAACACACAACAATACAGATGTTACTCTAACTACTTCAGGTTTTATGCTCAGAGATTACCTTGGTCTTAGTGTTGACTTTTGCTTGATTCTTCAGCAGGAAGTTGACCATCTTCACGTTGCCATAGTGACAGGCCACATGGAGAGGGGTGTATCCCAGCTGACAAAAAAATAGCATTTTAATGCTTTTTCTCAATATTTATGATAAATAAACACAAAGTGCCTCATTAAACTCAAACAGGGAGGCATCCACCATGAAAAACACAACGATATTCAGTTTATAATTAAGTACAAATGAATAAGTAAGTGAATCCTAACCTCCGGTAAGAGGATTTTAGCCATTTTGATTCCAAAAAAGACTTCATAATTTGTCATACCTTGGTCTCTGGGTCTATAACTGCTTCATGGTTGACTAAAACCTCAGCAACATTGACTTTATCCTCCTGGGCAGCCAGGTGAAGTGGAGTCAGACCAGACTGAGGACACAAAAACAAACAAACAGACGGACAAGACAGTCAGGATGATACGGTTCAGTCAGAAACAAGATGACAGGTTTGCAGACCAGGTTGTTGAGGATAGAAATCAGCAAAACAGAATGCTAGGACTGTCAAAATAACAGTCTTTGGTAAAGACCGTTATTTCTCTGAATTTAATGACAACTTTGGCTGATGAACACGTTTACACTAAACACACGCTACCATTATACCCTGTTTGCATTTGGAGAGAAAGAAGTGGCAAAGGCAGGTTTCCCACATGGGTGTTTCACCTTATTGCCCATGTTAACGGGGGCATCTCGAGCCAGCAGCAGCGTCACTATGTCCACGTTGCCTTCCTGGGCTGCAAGGTGAAGAGGGGTAATTCCCTGTCTCGTTACCGCACTGGTAGAGGCGCCATACTCCAGTAACGTGGTGGTTATCTCCATCTGGTTCTTCTTGGCTGCAATGTGAAGGGGAGTGTAGCCATTCTGGATAAAAGGAACAGAGAGAACAACCAAGTGATGACTTGTGAGAGAAAATCTCTTTACTACAAATGACAAAAAAGTGAATTTCAAAGAAACTTGCAAGTTATTTGAATCTAAAAGAAGAGAAATGCAAACCTAGGTATTATGATGACTGTCATTCATTTTGAACTGTTATAATCTAACGAAGGAGGTCATCTGGGAAAGATTATTTAAACTTCAAATTACAGAAGCAGAGTTGATAGTTTCCTTCAAAACCCAACTTGAGTTAGAAACTGTGATTTACACTTTATATTATTTCTTGTAGATAGGATTACAGTAATGCATATTTTTGGTCAGATTCACAAAACAAAAAACAAACAAACAGGTAATCCTGGTTCTTTAAGCTTCTGAGATCATCTCCGAGATGCAAACATATGGACACCAATTCTGGATACTCTGCATTGGCTTCCTGTCAACTTTAGCATTAGTTTTAAACTTCTTTTACTGGTGACTAAGGTGCTGAATGGGTTGGCTCTGACCCATTTGACTGAGCTGTTGCAGCCACATGTCCCTGCTCAGGTGCTCCGCTCCGAGAACCACTTGCTGCTTTTGGCTCCCAGAGCTCGGCTGAAGACGAGAGGGGATAGGGCGTCCTTGGTAGCAAGACCAAAACTATAGAACACACCTCCCTTATCTGTTAGGCTCTCTTCATCAGTCGCAGTTTTTAAAATGGGGCTGAAGACCCACATTTATGACCTGGCTTTTACCTCTGTGGGTCAGCTGTTGCTGATATTTTAAATGATTATACTTTGCTGGTTTTATCTGTTTAGAGTATTATTGTACAGCACTTTGGTGGCATGCTTCATGCCCTAGCCTAGCCAACCCCATGCTTCCTTATAATCTCTGTGTACAACTAAACAGAGGACGAGTCTGGCAGGCCGATCTACTTCCCTCCATGATCCTTTACACTTAAAATTGCATAAATCTCGGAGGCCATGTCTCTCCTATCTGTGCGTCCTAGTGCTGTTTTCCTTTTCTCGATTAGTTTACTATGAATTAGTTACTCTCTTAGTTGCACCTTGTGATATTTCTTAGCCTTTTCAGTTTTATTAGTGTCAATTTTAGCAGGTTTTATTAGTTTTTTTCTCCTTACTTTCCTGGCTTTTACTTGTTCTCTTTGACAGATATATATATATATATATATATATATATATATATATATATATATATATATATATATATATCAAATTCTATCTCAGATGCATGCATGACACCTTATCTAAATGTGAGCAAATTAAAATAATGATGAGATGGGGTTTGGAAGGATGTGCAGCCTCATTTATTAGGGTTTCAAGAGAAATCTGATGTTCAAAATCGAAATTTGAGCTCCCACAAGGACAACGATCATTTGTTAAATTTGGGATTGTGCTTAGGTTTGTTGCATAAAATTTGCTATATATATAAATTAGACTTAACAAGAACAGTTGTTGAAGTCATGTTTATTCCACAGTGGGAACAAGATGTAGACTACAGAGGCTGGACATGATCATTAATGGGGTAAGCATTAATCACATCCTGAAACACTAGTTTAGTCAATATTCAATCCTGTTAGGGCAGCCGTGTTTTAATGGACATGAGTGACTCTAACTGGGTCAGGCTCTGGTACATAAATGCATGTAGGAACATTCAATAGACTCTTACCTTCGCAGAAGCGTGAGGTGAAGCTCCTTGTTTGAGCAAGAGCAGCGCCACCTTCTGGTTATCATAGTGTGCTGCCACATGCAGTGGAGTTAGTCCACTCTGAACACACACACAAATATCAGCGACTGTTAAGACATTGACATTCAGGTGGGGTGAGCAGAGGTGATTCAGCTTTAGGAACAAAGAACACATGTTTTAAACACTTGTCACCTTCCCAGCAGCATCAGGCAGAGCGTTTTTCTGCAGCAGCAAGTTAGCTACCTCTATCTTCCCATATTTGGCTGCAACATGCAAAGGGGTAAAGCCCTTCTGAAAAAAAACATGACATAACAAAAAATATAATTCAAGCATTTTAGCATTAATGTTACTCATTCCATACATTGAAGGTGCAATTTGTAGGAATGTCATCCTGTGGTCAAATGTGGTTACTACAGTCCATTTTTTAAGCAGAAAGGTTACTCTCATTACCGTTCCAAGAGTTTAATGGCTGTTGCCAGTTATAGATCAGCACCAGAAGATTCTACATGACAAGTGAAGGCGAGTCATACACAGTAAGTTGATAAGTAGATAAATACATTGTCATGTCTGCTGCTAGCAATCTTGGGTGTTTTGCTAGCAATCTTGGGTGTGTTGCTTAATCTTGGTACGCTACCGCTCACTACACTTATTATGGTAGTTTGTCTCCAGCATTACAGGAAGTACAGTTGTTTGCAGTATGGCTGTTAGCCTGATGTGGTAGTTCTGAACGACTCAATAAAGAAAGTAAACCAGCACGATTGAATCATTACCCACTCCACAATTACATTATCACTGATATATTTAGTTATTGGTAATTGGAAAAGTAGCTTGGAATATTTTTAAAGATGACTTTTTGCTTCCAATTCATCATTACAGCATTATTCACGTTACAGCATTATTAGCTCAATGTTAGCCTCCAGCATACTTTACCTGATAATAGAATAAAACAAAAAGATGTTGTGGCTTCTTAGGGGTACAAGAAACAACTTCTGGGTCGCTCTTGTTTACTGTTATCTTTAAACAACTCTGGAGATTTTTGCCTGCTGGTGTTGGATTATAAATGCTGTCACTGCAGATTTGGCAATCTCGCAAACTCACTGATAGAAACAGGAACTACACCCCTCTCTTTTTTCAAGTAGAAAAACCTATAATCCCACCGTGGATGAAATCTGTTTCAGTATAACTTTCTCTTCAACATGACTGTGACATTAGACTGTTTTGTGAATATTCCATCATATAATTCTTACAAATTGCTCTTTTAATGTATTCTTCAAATGATGATACAACAGAAATATGTGTCAAATCAGTCTTCTACAACATTATTTTAGTCACTGATTACAAATGATAAAATGTTCAGGGTGGAGAAACAAGAGCTGATTCTTTTGCAGTGAAGTAACACCACAACTGCAGTGTTAATGTGGGACAAAATCAGTGTGTGCATGCAAACTAAAAGAGGCTACACAGTTACTGTTATTGTTCAACTGATGATGTCTACTGAAAATATACTTAGTTTGCAAATTAAATTAGATTTTGTTTATTAAATTGTGTCAAAATCACTTATCAACACAAATAGGATTAAGCCACTTTAAAAAGTAAAGAAACTGACTAAATTTAGTGATTTTAATTAATTTAGCACACACTTGTATTAAAGGTTGAATATGAAACAATTGAATAAAAAGCTATATTTTTTAAATGATATCTCCACATGGCATTCAGTGGTATGCAGAATGAAGGTATTTGCTTTAAAAGTTATATTTAACTATAAAATAGTTAAAAGCTATATTTAATTATAAAATGATCAAATATTTATTTTGATGTGTACGACACTGAGTTTATGTTTACATCCACCAGCCACTAGAGGGCATCATTTCAGGTTGCCAAACTGTCCGCTCAGCACAGCGAGGCTGGCCCTGTGGAAAACGGACTCTGTAAGTCCAGCAGCTGCTTCTGAGCCCAGAAGATGTCGTTATCATTCTCAGAAGAGGAGCGATTATAAAAGATCTAAAACCAGAGTGACTTTAGATGAAGCCTACAACAGATGGACCCAAATAAAAAAATTCACCTATCGGCAGTGAACCTTGCTCTATTGTTGTAACTACAACCTCCACACACTAGATGCCACTTTAGTGCTCATGTTCCATATTCCACCTTTAACAGTGTCATTTTGCTGTGGAAACTACTCACATTCTGAACACATTTAAAAACTGCACACTTATTATAAACATTACTCAGGTTTAGGTATTTTTGGACACATGGAAATGCTCCAGAGCAACAGAATTTTGCCCTCACCTCACAAATCCATCCCTCCAAGCTAAAGCTTTTCAATGAGCTCTCTACACCATGTGCATAATAGTGTTTCATAACATTATTTTGAACACACTTTCAAAAAGGGTGATGTTATTATCTTTATCTCAATAAAGTATTATAAATCTCACCATAACATGCATCCATACAGTCACAACAGACTTTTCTCAAAAATAAATAAATAAATAAATCAGGAAACTGTGCCAAAGCAGGACTAACAACTCTTCTATCAAGTGTTTTGACTCTGATTTTGTCTAAACTTGATGACCCAACTCTTCCATTCTTAGTCAATCTTTGGAATTCCCTAAACATCTGTCTGGAACAGGTCCAAAATTTGCATCAACATTCTAACTACAACAGCTTTTGTACTTGGACCAACACTATCTGTGTGTATGTGAGGCACACACCTTTGTGGTAGCACCCAGACAGGCCCCTCGATCCAGCAGAGCTGCTGCAATGTCTCTGTGGCCTTCTCTGGCTGCCAGGTGTAAAGGTGTGTATCCAGAGTTGGTCATGGCATCTGGGCATGCTCCATTTGCTAGCAACTGCTGCACTATGTCGTGTTTGCCAAGACGACTTGAGATATGCAGTGGCGTCTGGTCATCCTGATGAAAAACAATGTAATAAAAACAAGCAAGGGCATTATTTTGAAGATGCAAAGACAACACATTCCGATTTTGGCATAAAGCAACATCGACTATCATTGTGAGCGGCAAAAAAGCAAAAGTCTAATGCTTAAGCACGGTTTCTGGTGTTTTGGGTTTGCTTACACATCTGGCAGTAATAAAGGCATCAAATTTGTGAAGTGAATGGAAAATAATTCACTGCGTGAACAACAAAGCAGCAATCAATGTAAAACTCAAAACATCTATACGTTTGAAAAACTGTCCAGTGACATTGTTTACACACGGCCGAGGTTAGTTTGGGCCAAAATATGTTAATTTACCTATGTGCAACAATTCTTTGGTAATATGAAATTACTCAGACTTCTTTGTTTATTCCCCATTATGTTAAATGTCTTGTTGTGAATGTAAAGGCTGTGCAAATCAGTCCTTCAATGAATCTGATAAAGGCTGAACTAGGGCTGAACGATTTTAGGAAAAGATTGAATTACAATTTTTCTAGCAGAAATTGCGATTTCGGTTCAATTCTTGGTTTTCTGCAAACAAAGGTCCAACACTAGCCTGCCAAGCCATCCTGTAGATTAAGTGAAAAGATGGTCTAGATTCTAGTACAACAAATCATTCACATTTATATTTACTATTTATTCATACAATAAAAACTGTTAAAGCTATGAATATTTTCTCCCATTATTATCTATTTTAAATTTTTTTTATGTGTTTGTGAAGCAACTTGTGCTTGTGATTTTTATGTAGAGAGGAGCTTTCTAAAAACACGTTCTACTAAAAAAATGCATGGAGGAAATCTATAGGTAGAAATAGCTTTTAAATGTGTTAAATAACAAATTGAATTGAACTGAATTCATAACTAGTAAAGAACTAGATTCTTCAAATATGCAGTTAATTTAGCATCCTCATATAGAAGTAACTGATCATAATCAATGCTACTGAAGCCATGAACACTAAATCAAGGTTTAGGTAACTCCAGTCATAAACAGAGTCTTGTCGTGATTTGGCGCTATATAAATAAAATTGAATTGAATTGAAAAATGCACACAGTTTTCCCTGCATTACCAAGGCAGGCTGGCTGCACGTTTTTCGAAGCCGTCTGATAGTTTTTCCTCACTAAAACGTTGGTTCCATGAGAGAGACGCACGCATTCTGACACCTTAGCTTGTTTAAACTAACATGTGCCATCAGAAACATTCAAACCATTTTTAAAAGAGAAGTTGAGCTTTCAGGTCTACTAAAGTGCGCGACTCCGCACTCGCGCTGATGAAGCATAAACCAAGCTTTAGAAATCAGCCTGAACCTGCTCCGATGTGGGAGGTGTCTCTCTCTCCCTTACTCAACTACATTCTCTCTCTCTGTCCCAGGTTCACCTACAGTGCCACTATTATGGGCTCTAGCAGCGCTGTGTGTGGGAACATAAAACAGGGAAAATAACCTGAACATGCAGCTCTGTCAGATGTGGAGTTGGGCTCGGCTCTGGACGGTACACCCCACCCCCCTCCCCCGCGCTGGCCTTTGTCGCCGCCATAACACAGGGGGAAAAACCCGGATGTAAAAAAAAAAAAAGTTCCATAACTGATCCTGGATCAGTCTAAACCGCTAAAACGGCAGTTTTGACGGTCACGTGATCGTGCTGTTTGAAATCGCAATTTCGGTCCAAAAACAATAGATCGTTCAGCCCTAGGCTGAGCTGCTTAGAAAACAACAAACATGCCTTCTAAACAAAACAAAAACAGAATTAAATCTGTTAATGAGCACCATATGTTTTCATATAGAGGAATCAGCTATCTACACTGTATTTAATTAACAAAAAAATATGAGGAATGTTTCTGCATTTCAGTAAGAAATGCTCAAAGGAACAACACACACAAACACAAACGCACACACACACACACTCTAGTCATTCATTGTGAAGACCGTCATTAACTTCCATTCATTTTAGTGACTGGATTGTGCCTAACCCTAACTCTACCCATAACCAGTCTACTCCTAACCCTAACCTTAACTAAAACGTAATTCACACCATACCTCTAAAACAACGAGTAGAGCTCTGCAACTACTGTCCCAAAGTGAGGACCAGCAAAATGTCCTCACTTTGCTAACAATGTCCTCAGTTAGCAGGTAAAAAAATTTTGATTTGGTCCCCACTTTGATGTATTGACTGACACACACACACACACACACAC